GGTCGGGATGACAGACATCCAGAAGATCTTCTGCTGCCTGATTCCGTGCGTGGGTTATGCCGAGGTGTTCACCATGATGCTGAACTACGTGTCTGCCGGGGTGCATTACGGATGGCCGCAGGCGCGCGTGGGCTACTTCGACTACTCCATGGCGATCGGCATGATGTGGGCGTCCTTCGGCATCCTGATGCTGCTCGGCTTCTACCTGGATCGCGTCTCCTTCGGCGCCGTTGGCCGCCGTGCGCACCCGCTCTTCTTCCTGATGCCGCTGTGGAACATGTTCCACAAGCCGAAGGCCCCCCTGATCAAGATGAGCGACATGGGTACGCCGCTGGTCCGCGGCTCGCTTGTGACACCCGAGACGCCGGAGGGCTCGGAAGCCTACGGTGAGTCTGCGAATACCAGTGCGCTGAAGAAGAGCAAGAAGGAGGAGGAGGACACGCACCGGCTGATCGAGCACTACAACGACGTGGTGGACCCGCTGGACCCGTCCATCGCCGCCGTGTTCCACCGCCTGCGCAAGATTTACATTGGCGGCGGTATCGTGGGCTTCTTCTACACGTACTTCACCGGACTGTTCCGCAACGGTGACCGTGTGGTTGCGCTGGACGGAGTGACGTTTGCGATGCGGACCGGCGAGGTGAGCGTGCTGCTGGGGCCGAACGGCGCGGGCAAGACGACGATCATGGGGATGGCGATCGGCATGGTGAGCCCGACGAACGGCGACGTGTACGTGCGTGGGTACGACGCCCGCGAGCACCTGGACGAGTGCCGGCAGAACATCGGGTACTGCCCGCAGAACGACATCGTGTGGTCGCACCTGACGGTGGAGGAGCACATCACTTTCTACGCACGCATGAAGGGCGCCGAGTCGATCGATGTGCGGGACAAGGTGGCGCACGTGATGGACCTCCTGGAGCTGACGGAGAAGCGCCACTGCAAGGCGAGCAACCTGTCCGGTGGCCAGCGCCGTCGCCTGTGCGTTGCCGTTGCGATGGTGGGCGACTCGTCGGTGCTGTTTCTGGATGAGCCGACTGCGGGCATGGACATCAGGGGCCGCAAGACGGTGTACGACGCGCTGAATCGGTCCCGCGCGAAGCGGAGCGTGCTGATCTCGACGCACTTGCTGGACGAGGCGGACCGCATTGCGGACCGCGTGCTGATCGTGAACAAAGGGCTGCTGTGCGCGGAGGGCTCGACGATGTACCTGAAGTCGCAGATGGAGGTGGGCTACGTCGTGACGTGCCTGCTGGAGGGCGGCATGACGACGAGCGACGAGAACCGCGCCGCGGCCGCGCTGGTGGACTTTGTGCGCGCAGAGAGCTACACGGCGCAGCGGGGCCAGACGGGGAGGGAGGACGGCTGCGTGGTGCTGGGTGCGGAGCGCCGTGGCCGCGAGGTGTCGTTCCGCTTCCCGATGACGCTGCTGGGGTCTGCGGGCGTGGGTCTGCTGTCGCTGATCCAGGCCAACAGCAAGCGTCTCGGCCTGCGCAACGTTGCGCTGAACCTGACGACGCTGGAGGACGTGTTCTTCACGGTGACGCGCACGCGGCCGCTGATGGCTGCCGTTGCGGAGGGGGAGCTGGTGACCGGCATGGCCGCGTCGAGCGACTCCGCGGTGAAGTCGCCGCTGTCGCCGTCGTCGACGGAGAACCTGTACGAGACGAACGTGGGCGTTGCTGCGGTGTTTTGCCGCCACTTCCGCGCGCTGTTCCTGAAGCGGTGCCACTACGCGCAGCGCGACATCAAGCTGCTGGTGTACCAGGTGCTGCTGCCGGTGATCTTCCTGCTGCTGTCGCTGCTGGTGAACCTGGTGCGCGACCCGAACCAACCGTCGCTGCGGCTGGACATGACGATGTACCCCGAATACGCGACAAACCCGTCGCAGGTGATGACGGCGTACTCGGACTTCAGCGGGCAGGTGCGGCACATAGGCCGGCCGTTAACAGTGACGAATGCGTTCCACCTGAGCGCGGATCTGCCGGACAGCGCGTGGGGCTCGCACTACAAAACGGACTACCGCAGCATCGCGAGCGGGCAGGCGAACGCGACGTACGACATGAGCAACTTCCTGATGGAGGACATCGACACGCACACCTCGCCGCGCTACATTGCGATTGCCCCCGTTGGCGCGGTGTTCCAGGCAGGCATGCCAAAGATACTTCCGACGCTCATGCACAACACCACGACGAGCCACGCCGCGCCGCAGGCGCTGGACGCGCTGTACCGCCTTGCGCGGACGCAGCTGTTTGGCGCGAGCGTGCCGCAGCACACCGTGGTGAACTCACCAATGAAGCTTGGCGAGTTTGAGAAGAATATGGTAGCTACCAGCAAACAAGTGATGATGGGCATCTTCATTATCATACCTTTCATCTTCATCCCGTCCAACACGATTGGGTACATTGTGGAGGAGGAGGAGTCGGGTGCGCGGCACATGCAGTGGCTCTCTGGAATGAGTGTGTTTGCCTACTGGATGAGCAGCTTCATGTTCGACGTGGCGTGCTACATTGGGACGCAGATTCTCACCTTTGTTATCTTCGTGATCTTCAACCGCACGGAGTTCGTAAGCAAGGATACGGTGGGCCCTGCGATTGTGATGTTCCTGTTCTACGGCGTGTCGTCGATCCCCGTGAGCTACTTCATGAGCTTCTTCTTCAAATCAGCGTTCTCTGCGCAGTCGGTTGTGTTCTGCATCAACTTCACGTTTGGCTTCTTGTGGGTGACAGTGGAGTCGATGATTGCGGAGCAGGCGTTGCTGTTCGCACAAGTTGTGACGTATATCCTTCGCATTTTCCCTGCTGTCTGCTTTGGCGAATCGATGTACGTGCTTTCCGGCACGGAGATGGCGAACATGATGTTCCCGACGCGGGTGAAGACGAGCCTGTTTGCGCTGCTGAAAATCAACGCCAGAGGCACTCCAACTGGCGGCATCGGAACGGGCCTGATCTACATGTCGTGCGTTGGTGTGGGGTGCACGATCGCGTTGATCATCGTGGAGTACCTGCGTCTGCAGCGCCTGAACGCATTCTTCACGCAGTGCTGCACGAGCGCGAACGAGGAGGATGCGGCGGAGCACGCGCTACTGGAGCAGCAGGACCCCACTGTGCTGGCGGAGGAGCGGCGCGTGTGCGCGGACGAGACCGGACCTGCGACGGACCGGATTGCGGTGCAGCACCTGCACAAGCGCTTCATGGGTGAGCACCACGCCGCGGTGGAGGACATCTCCTTCGGCGTGCGCGAGGGCGAGGTGTTGGGCCTGCTGGGTCTGAACGGCGCTGGCAAGACGACAACGGTGGGCATTCTGGCTGGCGAAGTGATTGCGACGGGCGGCAAGGCCTTTGTGAACCACTACGCGGTGCAGAGCCTTGCGAGCCGGTCCTACGTGGGCTACTGCCCGCAGTACGACGCGCTGCTGTGCAACCTGAGTGCGGAGGAGCACCTGTGGCTGTACGCGCGGCTGCGCGGGATCCGCGAGAAGTACATCGAGGTGGAGGTCCCTGTCCTGCTGCGCGAGCTCGGCCTGTCCCCGTTCCGCACGCAGGCGGCGGGCTCCCTGAGTGGCGGCAACAAGCGCCGCCTGTCGCTTGCGATTGCTCTTGTGGGCCACACGACGAGTGTGCTGCTGGATGAACCGACGTCCGGCATGGACGCCGTGGCGCGCGCGCAGACGTGCGAGATGGTGCGGCGGCTGACGGTGGACAAGTCCGTTGTGCTGACGACGCACCTGCTGGACGAGGTGGAGGCGCTGGCGGACCGCGTTGCCTTCGTGGTGCGCGGCAACCTCCGCTGCGTGGGCACCCCGCAGGAGCTGAAGGCTGCGTACAACACGGAGGCGTCCTACACGCTGAGCGTGCTCTTCCCGAACACGGTGCGTCTGCAGAGCGAGGAGAAGGACCTCGTGGAGAAGGTGCGCGAGTACGTGCTGCAGACGGTTTCCGCGATGGGCACGCAGAGCGACGCCAAGCGTGAGATCACGTGCGAGGTGAGCGAGGTGCACCCGTGCTCGATGGTGCTGCTTGTGAACGGCGACCTGCCTGCGATCTGCGCGGTTGTGTCGCAGCTGCAGGGCGGGCGTGCGGAGGGCATCCCCGCCACCACGTACGTGAGCGTGAGCCAGCCGACGCTGGAGGACATTCTACTTCTGCAGTAGCCGTGTGCGTCGCCGCGCGAGCAGACGAGCATTGTTTCTGTTGATTATCTTACCGGTAGTTCTTTATCACGTAGGCATCTCTTTTTTCTTTCTTTCCCCTGCCGCTCTGAGATGGCAGCAAGCGGCGGAGTCCGCACCGGGCGGACTGCACCACCGCGTCTTCTTCCCTTGCCGCACCACGGTGGAGACACCATCGGCGGCAGTGAGGCCGTGTGATGCACCGCGGTGGTGGCGTGGCCGACTGCGAGCTCAGCGAGGTATGGTAGCAATAATAGTAAAAAAAAATAACCAAACCAAACAAAGAAGCGGACGGCTCGGTTGGCGTCTCGTTCTTTTTTCCTTCTCTCCATCTCGTTCTCCTCCGTGCCGTGCGGGTCCTGCCTCTCTCCCACAGGCACCCCCACCCGGACGGGCCGCCCTCGACGGACACTCGCGCCTCGCGTCGTCTGCGCTCCTCCTTCGTTCCGACACGTTCCTTCCTGCCTGCCGTGCTCTACACCCGCTCTCTCTCCCTGACCGCTGTGCGTGACGGGCGGGGCAGGCGGGCGACGGCGGCTGATGCTGGCGTGTGGCGGTGATAGGTGTGTGTGCAGCCGACGCTCCCGGGCACGGAGAACCTGCACCCCCTGCGGGGTGAGAGGACGAGTATCAACGCCAGCGAGAGGGCAGAGCGCGGTGCGGCGTACGGAAAGGGTACGTCGCTTGTCCGCTCTTTTCTGTGCATGAAGCAGTAGCGAGACACGGTTGGACGATTAGACGGCGGAGATGAGTAGGCCGAGCGGTTTATGTCTGTCTTTGTTTTGTTTCGAATTGTATCTCTCTCTATCGTTGGGTGGGTTTGCGCTCTGGAGTCTTTCTTGTTCTCTTGTCGTCTTGAGAACCACAAATCCATAAACATCTTCGCTGCCCTCACCTGCCCAACCCTCCTTGGCTCCCGTGGGGTGCACTCCCCTGAGGAATGTGAGGTCTGGGTAAGGGTCTTGGAGGTGTACCTCTCCACCCGCCAGTCGGCTCAAATCCGTATGGTCGCCAAGGATGGGCAGGGAAGTCCGATGATGTTGAGTTGCAAGGCGTCTGATGAGGGCGGAGGGATCGTGGCGAATCGCCTAATTGGTGCGCTGCCGTCTTCCCGAATTGCGGGAAGAAGTTTCTGCGTCCAACGGCCGGATGGACCGAGCCTTTCTGCCTAAGGTTTTGATATTCTGCATGGGTGGCAGAATGCAAGAAGGCCGTGTGATTTTGCAGTTGGAGGGGTGGTCTCACGCCTTGAAGATCACCTCCGCAGAATTGCGGCGCCAGTCGTGTTACGTGAACACGAGGCACGAGGCGTTGGGGCAACGGAGGCCAGCAGTCAGACGAGAAATTCCTCCTTCCGGCGGCTTTGCAGGAGCACGTGGTGGACCCGGATTAGTTAATGGTCGACTTCCGGTACCACCGAGAGACGTTCAAGAGCGGGTCAGAGATGCTCGACAAGGACGGGCCAATTGCCACGATAACAGCGCCCCAGTCGTACCCCCCGTAGGGGCGAGTCTCTCCTCCGCTTTGGTAATCGATGCATCGCTAGATGGGCGGGGGAGCGATGCTTTTTCTGGAGAACGGCGGAATCAGAGTCCCCAGTGAGGCATGGGAAGCCGCGCCACCGATGATCGCTTCTGATACGATGCGTGCCGTCTATTTCGTCCTGGTGGCTTTCGCACATCATATGAGGGGCCATGTTGCGATTCGTGTTGGCAACACGGCAGCCAGGCATGTCCTCAAGAAGAAAACGGCGAACTCCCAGGCTTTACAGCCTGGGCTTCAGTGGCACCTGCAATTGCTGCGAAAGCTCCATTTAACGGCTTCGTATGCGTATGTGCGGTCCAAGGACAATCCGGCGAACGCTTTGTCGAGGGGTCGCCTCTTGACCGCCCAACGACGTGGCGACGGGGAAAACCTTGCGAAGGGGAGGACTGAGGGTGAATGGAAAAGGACTTCTGCCGCTTCGTTTGTTTCTGCTACCGTCGAACAAAAGAAAGAAGAATCATGAAATGCACTTTTGCTCTTCTCAACTATCTGTATTCATTCGTGTTTAAGAGTTCGACACCTTGCTCTCCCTGGCTTGCATTATGATGCAGTTATAAATGCTTGTCACCTTCTTTCTTTTTCCTTTTATCTTTCCCCCTTCTCCTTCCTCGACCCTGAAATCGTCCACAATTATTCTGGTACGCCGTATTCTCTCCCCCCCTCCCACCGCCTTCGCTACTTCACCGTTACCGCTGCCGCCACTCGTGCGCCAGACGTCTATGTTTTTCCTCCGCTACCTTTCCTAGCCGAATACGAAAAGCAATAGTCTTCGTTAGCTGCCGTCATATTGTTGTTTCTGTCTCTTGTTATTTTCTTAATATATTTGTTTTATTATTTGCTATTCATTCGGTGCTTCGTTCGTACCCGCTACCCAGAAAGGAACGCACCGTGGCTATCGGCGCCTCTTCTCCGTGCATCACGCTTCCTCTCCCCGCGACACCGCTTCACCTCGAGAGATCGTTGTCTGCGTCGGGTGAGCGTTTGACACGAGTTTCTGTGCACTGCACTCGAAGCTGCGTAGCCGGTATCGACCAACCCGATTGATGTAGGACATCGCTGTCCTCTTTCCTTTTCGTTTCTTCAAATCTAAGGCTCTCTGCGGCCTCCAACTTCCGGTTTAACCCGAAACAATCCAAAAAAGTTACAAATACTCCTTTCAAAAAAAAATATATACAAGCAAACACCATAACTACTTTCTTTTTTAAATTTCTCTTCGTCTTTCGCTCTCTTGATTCATCTTTAAGTTTGTTATCCAGTGCTCTTAAACCGTTATCTTTGTCTTCTCTTTTTACTAAAAACAAACTCTGTTCTCACTGTCTTCCAAGCGACGGAAGAAGTTGACAAAGCAGAAATAGTTCAGCACCTCTGTCCGCTCTTTCGTCTTTAAACGTGACCCTTTTTGCTAGGCGAAAGAAGCAAGTAGAGCGCAAGTGTTGTGCTTCCGCCACCTAAGCCTACAAACCACAGCCACTACCTCTCTTTCTCAACCACTCACTGAGAAAAGACACACACACACACCGCACACTGCAGGTATCGCCATTAGAGCTTCGGTTTCTGGTGTCCGATATTTGTCTGTTGGCTTTGAGTACGTGAAGTGCTTCCAAATAAAGTACAACCACTACAACAATTTTTTGTTTTTTTCTCGTAAGCGTCGGCGTTTTTAGGAACTGTCGATTCGACGGCTTTCCGCTTTAGTGTACCGTCTTTTGGATACTTTGTTCGCACACTGCGTTCAGCAGAACGTGGACCTTTTTTCTCGTGTGATCTAACTGTTAGTATCACATATATATTTTTAACCAGCGTTTCGCCTTTTTAATAGCAAGGCGCGTTTCTGCAACGCTCTCCCGTACGCACACACGTGGCTGAATCCAGTTGTACAAGTAACACCGACTTCTTTACGTAAAAACTAAGTACGGAAGCCGTCTTTTTGTGTTTTTCAAGTAATATTTCTTTTCTGTTGAAGTGTTCTTCGCCTTTTCCCCTCGTTCGGATCGTTTGTTAAGGTTGACGGCTGAAGTACCTTGCTGACGTGTCCCCACAATTCTCTGTGCAGCCGCCCATTTCGATCGCGACGAAGTGTGGCGCTGACCGCTGCCTGACTCATCAAGGGCCCAATCAAAGGATCGGCAGCAGCATTCGCTTTTTCTCGCTTTCCCCAGTTCTCTTGTGATCTATCGCGCTGTTTCAGGTGCTAAGAAACGTGCGTGCTATCATCAGATCACGACCACTGAAGTAGCAGACCCGCAGGCCCACTACCCTTGCGTCAACAAGATCAAGCGCGCTTTCCCAACCCCACTGCCATCCCCTCACACTCACACACACACGCAACAATGTCGTTCTTGAGGCAGTACTTCATTCAGCTGTATGGATTCCTCGTGAAGACGTTCCTGCAGCGGTGGCGGACGCCGGTCTCGACGGTTGTGGAGATCCTGCTGCCATGCCTGTTCGTTATTCTTATGTCGATTGCGTACTGGCGCTGTGAGAGCACGATTGTGCCGGCGACGACGTACGACGGCGGGGCTGCGTCGCCTGCGTTGAACATGACGGAGTTCTTGACGTACTTCGCATGCAAGAAGATGAGCTCGAAGCTGAAGGTGCCGTGGTACCCCTGCAGTCCGACGTTGAACGCGACCACCGGTGTGTGCATGAGTTTGATCGGGAACGGGGAGGAGGTCTGCTTCCCAATGGCGTCGTACGGCAAGATGAGCGGCATCATTTACGCCATGTACTTTGGCAGCGGCCCCCTTGCGCTGAACTCGATGGACGGACACCTCACGCTGGCCGCCATGGTGACGCAGATCGCGCGCCAGGACAACCCGACGTACTTCGGCCGCAGCGGGCGCGCGAGTCTGTCGCACTACGGCAAGCTGCTGGTGTCGAGCGACTCGGATGCTGTGGCGCAGCGCTTCATGAAGTTCTGCCGCGAGAAGAGTGCGATGTGTGGGGAGGTGCTGCACAGCACGCCGTTTACGTCGCTGGACGCTGCGCAGGACTACGCGGCGGCGAACCAGAACACCGTGTGGGGCATCGTGGACATCCCCTCCGCGTCGCTGACCACGACCGGGGAGACCGATTTCACGATCAGCATGAATTTCACGGCGACGGCGAACACCGCGAAGGGGCAGGTGAAGTCGCTGTTCTCGCGCGGCCTGGTGACGGACGGCAGCGCCGGCTATGTGCTGTACTGGACGAGCGGCTTCATGACTCTCCAGACGTTCGTGCATGAGTTCTACATGCAGGAGGCGCTGAGCAAGTTCGCCGTTGTCGGCCCCGCCGCCTACGCGTCCGATGCGGCGTCCGGCGTGGAGGGCATCAGCAAGTATCTGACGCCGTACGGGTCGGAGGTGATTCCGATGCCGACCAGTGCGCACTTCGACAACGCGTTCCTGACGAGGTGGGCGTACTACATGCCGCTGCTGGCGATGATGGCTGCCCTGTACCCGACGTCGCGCCTGGTGATGCTGATTGTGAGCGAGAAGCACAACGGCATCCGTGAGGCGATGCTGATCATGGGCCTGAACCCGTCCTGCCTGTTCTTTGGCTGGTACGCGTCGACGCTGATCATCGACATCATCGCGTCGCTGCTGGCTGCGATGTTTCTCAAGGTGGGCTTCTTCAGCCGCGTGGACTACGGGCTGCTTGTGCTCCTGTACTTTTCGTTCATGCAGCAGAACACGGCGCTGTGCTTCTTGGTCAGCTCCATCTTCAAGAACCCGCGCGTGGCGAGTTGGTTCATCGCGTTCGTGCTGTTCGTGTGCGCGATCCCGTCGTATTCTTTTCCGGTCGGGATGACAGACATCCAGAAGATCTTCTGCTGCCTGATTCCGTGCGTGGGTTATGCCGAGGTGTTCACCATGATGCTGAACTACGTGTCTGCCGGGGTGCATTACGGATGGCCGCAGGCGCGCGTGGGCTACTTCGACTACTCCATGGCGATCGGCATGATGTGGGCGTCCTTCGGCATCCTGATGCTGCTCGGCTTCTACCTGGATCGCGTCTCCTTCGGCGCCGTTGGCCGCCGTGCGCACCCGCTCTTCTTCCTGATGCCGCTGTGGAACATGTTCCACAAGCCGAAGGCCCCCCTGATCAAGATGAGCGACATGGGTACGCCGCTGGTCCGCGGCTCGCTTGTGACACCCGAGACGCCGGAGGGCTCGGAAGCCTACGGTGAGTCTGCGAATACCAGTGCGCTGAAGAAGAGCAAGAAGGAGGAGGAGGACACGCACCGGCTGATCGAGCACTACAACGACGTGGTGGACCCGCTGGACCCGTCCATCGCCGCCGTGTTCCACCGCCTGCGCAAGATTTACATTGGCGGCGGTATCGTGGGCTTCTTCTACACGTACTTCACCGGACTGTTCCGCAACGGTGACCGTGTGGTTGCGCTGGACGGAGTGACGTTTGCGATGCGGACCGGCGAGGTGAGCGTGCTGCTGGGGCCGAACGGCGCGGGCAAGACGACGATCATGGGGATGGCGATCGGCATGGTGAGCCCGACGAACGGCGACGTGTACGTGCGTGGGTACGACGCCCGCGAGCACCTGGACGAGTGCCGGCAGAACATCGGGTACTGCCCGCAGAACGACATCGTGTGGTCGCACCTGACGGTGGAGGAGCACATCACTTTCTACGCACGCATGAAGGGCGCCGAGTCGATCGATGTGCGGGACAAGGTGGCGCACGTGATGGACCTCCTGGAGCTGACGGAGAAGCGCCACTGCAAGGCGAGCAACCTGTCCGGTGGCCAGCGCCGTCGCCTGTGCGTTGCCGTTGCGATGGTGGGCGACTCGTCGGTGCTGTTTCTGGATGAGCCGACTGCGGGCATGGACATCAGGGGCCGCAAGACGGTGTACGACGCGCTGAATCGGTCCCGCGCGAAGCGGAGCGTGCTGATCTCGACGCACTTGCTGGACGAGGCGGACCGCATTGCGGACCGCGTGCTGATCGTGAACAAAGGGCTGCTGTGCGCGGAGGGCTCGACGATGTACCTGAAGTCGCAGATGGAGGTGGGCTACGTCGTGACGTGCCTGCTGGAGGGCGGCATGACGACGAGCGACGAGAACCGCGCCGCGGCCGCGCTGGTGGACTTTGTGCGCGCAGAGAGCTACACGGCGCAGCGGGGCCAGACGGGGAGGGAGGACGGCTGCGTGGTGCTGGGTGCGGAGCGCCGTGGCCGCGAGGTGTCGTTCCGCTTCCCGATGACGCTGCTGGGGTCTGCGGGCGTGGGTCTGCTGTCGCTGATCCAGGCCAACAGCAAGCGTCTCGGCCTGCGCAACGTTGCGCTGAACCTGACGACGCTGGAGGACGTGTTCTTCACGGTGACGCGCACGCGGCCGCTGATGGCTGCCGTTGCGGAGGGGGAGCTGGTGACCGGCATGGCCGCGTCGAGCGACTCCGCGGTGAAGTCGCCGCTGTCGCCGTCGTCGACGGAGAACCTGTACGAGACGAACGTGGGCGTTGCTGCGGTGTTTTGCCGCCACTTCCGCGCGCTGTTCCTGAAGCGGTGCCACTACGCGCAGCGCGACATCAAGCTGCTGGTGTACCAGGTGCTGCTGCCGGTGATCTTCCTGCTGCTGTCGCTGCTGGTGAACCTGGTGCGCGACCCGAACCAACCGTCGCTGCGGCTGGACATGACGATGTACCCCGAATACGCGACAAACCCGTCGCAGGTGATGACGGCGTACTCGGACTTCAGCGGGCAGGTGCGGCACATAGGCCGGCCGTTAACAGTGACGAATGCGTTCCACCTGAGCGCGGATCTGCCGGACAGCGCGTGGGGCTCGCACTACAAAACGGACTACCGCAGCATCGCGAGCGGGCAGGCGAACGCGACGTACGACATGAGCAACTTCCTGATGGAGGACATCGACACGCACACCTCGCCGCGCTACATTGCGATTGCCCCCGTTGGCGCGGTGTTCCAGGCAGGCATGCCAAAGATACTTCCGACGCTCATGCACAACACCACGACGAGCCACGCCGCGCCGCAGGCGCTGGACGCGCTGTACCGCCTTGCGCGGACGCAGCTGTTTGGCGCGAGCGTGCCGCAGCACACCGTGGTGAACTCACCAATGAAGCTTGGCGAGTTTGAGAAGAATATGGTAGCTACCAGCAAACAAGTGATGATGGGCATCTTCATTATCATACCTTTCATCTTCATCCCGTCCAACACGATTGGGTACATTGTGGAGGAGGAGGAGTCGGGTGCGCGGCACATGCAGTGGCTCTCTGGAATGAGTGTGTTTGCCTACTGGATGAGCAGCTTCATGTTCGACGTGGCGTGCTACATTGGGACGCAGATTCTCACCTTTGTTATCTTCGTGATCTTCAACCGCACGGAGTTCGTAAGCAAGGATACGGTGGGCCCTGCGATTGTGATGTTCCTGTTCTACGGCGTGTCGTCGATCCCCGTGAGCTACTTCATGAGCTTCTTCTTCAAATCAGCGTTCTCTGCGCAGTCGGTTGTGTTCTGCATCAACTTCACGTTTGGCTTCTTGTGGGTGACAGTGGAGTCGATGATTGCGGAGCAGGCGTTGCTGTTCGCACAAGTTGTGACGTATATCCTTCGCATTTTCCCTGCTGTCTGCTTTGGCGAATCGATGTACGTGCTTTCCGGCACGGAGATGGCGAACATGATGTTCCCGACGCGGGTGAAGACGAGCCTGTTTGCGCTGCTGAAAATCAACGCCAGAGGCACTCCAACTGGCGGCATCGGAACGGGCCTGATCTACATGTCGTGCGTTGGTGTGGGGTGCACGATCGCGTTGATCATCGTGGAGTACCTGCGTCTGCAGCGCCTGAACGCATTCTTCACGCAGTGCTGCACGAGCGCGAACGAGGAGGATGCGGCGGAGCACGCGCTACTGGAGCAGCAGGACCCCACTGTGCTGGCGGAGGAGCGGCGCGTGTGCGCGGACGAGACCGGACCTGCGACGGACCGGATTGCGGTGCAGCACCTGCACAAGCGCTTCATGGGTGAGCACCACGCCGCGGTGGAGGACATCTCCTTCGGCGTGCGCGAGGGCGAGGTGTTGGGCCTGCTGGGTCTGAACGGCGCTGGCAAGACGACAACGGTGGGCATTCTGGCTGGCGAAGTGATTGCGACGGGCGGCAAGGCCTTTGTGAACCACTACGCGGTGCAGAGCCTTGCGAGCCGGTCCTACGTGGGCTACTGCCCGCAGTACGACGCGCTGCTGTGCAACCTGAGTGCGGAGGAGCACCTGTGGCTGTACGCGCGGCTGCGCGGGATCCGCGAGAAGTACATCGAGGTGGAGGTCCCTGTCCTGCTGCGCGAGCTCGGCCTGTCCCCGTTCCGCACGCAGGCGGCGGGCTCCCTGAGTGGCGGCAACAAGCGCCGCCTGTCGCTTGCGATTGCTCTTGTGGGCCACACGACGAGTGTGCTGCTGGATGAACCGACGTCCGGCATGGACGCCGTGGCGCGCGCGCAGACGTGCGAGATGGTGCGGCGGCTGACGGTGGACAAGTCCGTTGTGCTGACGACGCACCTGCTGGACGAGGTGGAGGCGCTGGCGGACCGCGTTGCCTTCGTGGTGCGCGGCAACCTCCGCTGCGTGGGCACCCCGCAGGAGCTGAAGGCTGCGTACAACACGGAGGCGTCCTACACGCTGAGCGTGCTCTTCCCGAACACGGTGCGTCTGCAGAGCGAGGAGAAGGACCTCGTGGAGAAGGTGCGCGAGTACGTGCTGCAGACGGTTTCCGCGATGGGCACGCAGAGCGACGCCAAGCGTGAGATCACGTGCGAGGTGAGCGAGGTGCACCCGTGCTCGATGGTGCTGCTTGTGAACGGCGACCTGCCTGCGATCTGCGCGGTTGTGTCGCAGCTGCAGGGCGGGCGTGCGGAGGGCATCCCCGCCACCACGTACGTGAGCGTGAGCCAGCCGACGCTGGAGGACATTCTACTTCTGCAGTAGCCGTGTGCGTCGCCGCGCGAGCAGACGAGCATTGTTTCTGTTGATTATCTTACCGGTAGTTCTTTATCACGTAGGCATCTCTTTTTTCTTTCTTTCCCCTGCCGCTCTGAGATGGCAGCAAGCGGCGGAGTCCGCACCGGGCGGACTGCACCACCGCGTCTTCTTCCCTTGCCGCACCACGGTGGAGACACCATCGGCGGCAGTGAGGCCGTGTGATGCACCGCGGTGGTGGCGTGGCCGACTGCGAGCTCAGCGAGGTATGGTAGCAATAATAGTAAAAAAAAATAACCAAACCAAACAAAGAAGCGGACGGCTCGGTTGGCGTCTCGTTCTTTTTTCCTTCTCTCCATCTCGTTCTCCTCCGTGCCGTGCGGGTCCTGCCTCTCTCCCACAGGCACCCCCACCCGGACGGGCCGCCCTCGACGGACACTCGCGCCTCGCGTCGTCTGCGCTCCTCCTTCGTTCCGACACGTTCCTTCCTGCCTGCCGTGCTCTACACCCGCTCTCTCTCCCTGACCGCTGTGCGTGACGGGCGGGGCAGGCGGGCGACGGCGGCTGATGCTGGCGTGTGGCGGTGATAGGTGTGTGTGCAGCCGACGCTCCCGGGCACGGAGAACCTGCACCCCCTGCGGGGTGAGAGGACGAGTATCAACGCCAGCGAGAGGGCAGAGCGCGGTGCGGCGTACGGAAAGGGTACGTCGCTTGCCCGCTCTCATTTTTTCTGGTTTTGAAACGAAATGCTTTGCTCCTTTTGCTCCTGAAATAAATAACAGTGAAAAAGAGAAAAGAAGCACAGAATGAAAAGAGGGGGTGTAGAGCGCTGTCTTTTGGGTGCTCAGGATTACTGTGGTTTCTTGGTTTTATCCCGTTTCTGAGAGTTTGATTCAACTACACATAACATCTTTTTCACTAAAAAGTGGGGTATTTGCATTGGCGCGTTGAAAGCCTAGCTCGTGTCTCATACGTCACAACAATTCTTTCAATGAAAACTGTTTGCGGCGGTGGGCTGTTTGCTCATCTCCAGCAACACACCAATCTTGTAGCCCATGGATGATATTTTCCCTTTTTTTCTGGTTACTGTTTTTTTACTTTACTGATTGGTTTTGTTTTCCTTTTCCTTTTTGTGGTTGTCATTTTGACCTCCACCAGAACTGCATGCAGTAAAGAAATAAAAATGCATGTATTACATGGTTATATGTTAAGTTGGTTGTACGTACGTCGTCCTTTTTTAAAAATTATTATTCGCCAATTTGTGCCTGGGCAACGTTGTGGTCGTCGTGCAGTGTTCTCTTTCTTGTTCCTCAGCAAACAACGATCCAGCGGCGGTTCGAATAAGCCCTTATTGGCCTTGCTTTCTTTTTTTGTCACTGAGGCGGCGGGGGAAAAAAGGAAACTGGACTGTGGGTGTGGAGTAGACCCATGCGATCAACAGCGAGCAGTTGAAAAATAGCAATGCTACGCTCTACAGGAAAAGGAACGTTCCAGCGCCTTTCAGTGACGCTGAGGCGACACAACGTCTACGTCTTTCCGCCAATTCCAGAGTGCGTTTCACCTGCCACTGGAGCCTCTTTTTTTTTGTGAAAATCCGCAACAGCATCAACTTCTGTTTTCTTTTTTCAATTGAGCATTGACGAAAACCGAACTAAAAGATACTGTAGCTGCGATAGCCTTTGTTTTTGGTTTTAGTGTATTATCCCTCAACAACATCGCTTTCCCTTCCGCCAACAAGAGTTATCGACCCACCTATGTACGAAGCTGAGTTGATGCCACACGTGGCGCGACGAGCATGAAGTGCTGGGTGAAGCGGAGACTGATGACTCTTCGGTAGACGAAGTGAGGCGCCAGAGAAGAGCGTCTTAACTTTGATGTCCCACTTCGTGTCTGTTTTGGCGGAAATAAGGAGAACAACGAAAAATACCATGCACACCTCAACTTGGCGCTTTTTTTCTTCTTAAACCGTCGTACCTGTCCTTTTGCTATCCTTTTCTCTTCTTTGCGCAGTAGGTTGCTGCTCTTTCATCCGTTGTGTCACGCTCACCGGCAGGATGAGATTTGCTGCATTGCTGCTGAAAACGTTTCTTTCTTTTCCTTTTCCCTTTCCACTGTACCCCTTTTATATGTCGTTTTGTTTTTCATCTACGACTGCCTTGTGAAAAGTCAAAATAAGGCGCCTGGATGCTATTTATTAAAAAAAAGAGTCGTCTCTTTTTTTTGTTTTCTTCTCTTGCGCGACTCGCACTGATGGGAGTGCCCTCTTTGCACCGACAGGAAGAAATCGAAACACGACGCTGTCCATCAATGAACTTTCGAAAAACCGAATAGAAGCCGCCGTACTAGAGTGCTGTCATCGTATGCGAGTGCAACGGCATGAGAGTGTTTTTCGCGACGAGCAAGACCGGTGCGGCAACACATGGGCCAGGAAGCTCATTTGGAACTTCTGCAGTTTTTTCTCCCATTTGTTGCGCACATTTGACATGCGGTGACGGAGTGCGCGGAGGATGGACGTCGTCGTGGAAAATTTCCTCTCTGGCGTTTTCAAAAGAGAAAAGAAAACTTTTTTATTGTCATTTTTAATTCTAAATCTGTTCCTTCCGGAAAAAAAAAAGTATCTAAACAGATTATAAGGTCAAAGAAGCTGTACTGGAGGACATTGTCTAGTGGCAACACTATGTCAGGCAAGCGTGACCCCCATTGACTTTGGATCAATTGGAGGTTGCTCTTCTCCTCGTTTTTTTTTGTTTTTACGCGTTCTTTCCTTCCCAGAGGAGGTAAATATACATATTACCTCGTCTCCTTTCTGTTTTCTGTCACCTATTTCAAAGATTTCTTTATCACCGTCTATATAAAATAATAAAGAAAGCTTTCAACATCATCTATAGGAGAAGCCGTGTTCTGCCTGCGTCACAGCGGAAGCTCAACAAGGCGGTATTCAAGATTGTGAAGTTATGTTTTTTTTTTCACTCCTAGTAGAAGGCAGCGAACAGGGAAGCAGACTCCTGTGACCTGCGCCCAGACCGCTACAACGCACCGCGAGTGCCTTTACGCAGCCAACTGAGCTATTTTTTTTTCCTTTCTGCGCTGTGCGACATCATTGCATCTTGAACTCTCGTTTCAAGGCCTCACAACTATCTTTCTCTTCATTTCCGCCGTTTGTCTGCCCTCATCTTTTTTCTTGTTGTGAGGTGAGAACACCCGCTTTTAACCGCCCCAGCGAAAGAAAGCTGCATTTATATATTTTTTTCTGCGTGAGAACGACGAGAGCGTCAAGGAAGCGAACACCAACGCCAATTGCAGACGTGCAATAGAGTTGAAGGGCGTTTTCCTCCCCTTTCCCCTTTCTTTATAGCAGTGTAGTGTGTGTTTGTGTTGGAAATAGTTCCTCCTCCGTGCAACCATGCGCTCGCATCGGCATCCGCGACCGCCCTTCGCCGATGTCTCCTCGGAGGTCCTGGAGAAGGCCTTCCATCCCTTCGACAAGCTCGTGATCGGCCTCCCGCCTGCCATGGCGAGCTGGACACGCGCGTACGGGTCTGCGACGGAGTGGAGGTCTCTACCTCCCAACCCACTCATGCCGGGTGCCCGCCGCCCGCACAACGGCGGCGACGCTCCCCCAGCAGCTGAGACAGCAGAGGCGTCGCCTTCACACCTGCGAGGACGCGAGGAGGAGGGGCCCCATACGCAGCCCGCTGGGCGACTCCCAGCGCGGCCCTTCCGGTGCGACGCCTGTGATCGCGACTTCGCCGTTGAGGAGAAGTACGAGGAGCACATGAAGACACACATCTACTGCACCGTGCCGGGCTGCAACTTCACCTGCCGCGAGCACCGCGCCCAGCAGATGCAGGAGCACATGGATGCCTTACACAACCGCGCCGACGCACCCAACTTGGCGGATACGGGACACTACCTCGAGCAGCGCAAGCGGCGTTTCCCAACGCAGGAGGTCATCAAGGGTAAGGTGGAGGAGCTCTACTACAAGGCGGCGCGCGGCGTCGTGCTGCCGGATGAGCGGCGGCGGTGGCTGCGGCAGTACGGTATCGACGTAGGCAAGCGAGCCCGCACGGAGGCGTCATTCATTGCCCGCGGCAGCCTTCCGGAGCACTCGCGCTCGCCGTCGGCGCCGTCGGACGCAGCGTCGGAGACATCATCGCACTCGTCCGAATCGCGTCGTCGCCGTCGTCATGATGGTGGCCGTAGTGAGGATGGGGAGCAGCGCCGCTCTCCTCCGGCCACTCGCCCGCCTCCGTTGCCGCCGCAGGGGCAACAAGAGGAGGTTGTTCGGCCTCGCTTTGTTCAGCCGCCGTCGCAGCTGCTGGAGGACCCAACGGCACCGCCTGGTGCCCACGCCGCCGCTCCCGCGCCGCCGCAGTCTTCTCGTGCTTCTCCGCTCGCCTCGCCTTTGTCTTCGTCCTCGCCGAAGCAGCCCTCTGCCCCGTCTGGGCCGAGTCACCTCACCAAGATGATTCCACTGGGCCCCAACGGCACCTTGACACCACGGCAGCGGGTGCAGCTGGTGCGGGAGCGTTATGCGGCTGCCAAGGAGGTGCCACAGTTCTACGTCTGCCACCGCTGCGGCACGAAGGGCGAGCACTGGGTGGACGACTGTCCCACGAAAGGCGACCCGACGTACAACCGACGTGTGGTATGGGGGGAGGCGAAGATGGAGGCGGGGGACGGCAAATCCAACGCGGCGATGAGGCGGGAGCGCGGCAGTCGCAGCCGCATTGCGCAGAAAGGGGAGGAAGAAGAACAGGGTGCGCAGCGCCCCGCTGGGCAGTCCGAAGAGAAGGAAGGGAGGGCCGAGGAGCCCCAGCGCGAGCCCCAGCAGGAATCAGCCGCACCAGAGACCTGCGAAGTACACGGAGAGACGCCAGAGGCGGCCCCGCCTCGTGAGCCCAGCGGCAACGACAACGACAACGGCGAGGACGACGCCCCGCCAGCCCCGCAGTCCGCTGCGCCACCGGCAACTGAGCCAAGGGAGGTGACGCGTGTGATGGCGCCGGTGGCCGCGGCGCGATACGCTCAGCCGCAGCGTCGCGATCCCCTGCGCCGTCCACCGCCTCCCCTTACCCTGTATGAGCGACTGACGGAAGAGGAGCGCCTGAACGAGCAGGGGGTGCTGCTGCAGGCGATGCGCTTCTTTGCGGCCCATGATTTCTTCCCGGAGAAGAAGTGAAAGCGAGCGAAGAGGAATCACTTTGAAGCTCTTCTCTTGTGTGGGTTGGTTGGCGCCTTTTCCTCGCTTCGCGTCAAAGGTTTTTGCGACACGTCAACTGCGTATGGTTTGGAATGCACGTGTGAGTGGGTGCGTGTGTCCGCCGCTGCTTTGTAGCGGTTCTTGTGTTTGAATGAGCTGCCTCCCTCTTTCGGTGTTCGTTTATGTTGCTTCATCAGTGGTGGTTGGCGTCTCTGTGGCTGCTTGCTTTTGCCTCTGTTGTCTGTCTTGCGTGGCGTTGCGCCGCGGCCTTCAGGAAGATGGCGATGGCTCACTTCGCTGCTTTGCTGCTGCGCTTTGCAGAATGGCCGGTGCTGTTGTGTTCGTCTGTCCTTCTTGGTGCATGCAACAGGTCGTACGACGATGGAGAAGGAAGAGAATGTGTCGTGCTCCATCGTATTCGTCTGCCTCGTATGGTGCTTTTCTTGTACACCGGTTGCGAACGTATGAACGACAGTTTACGAGGGTATTAGCGACCTTGGTATTCATATTTTTTATTGTATCTTTAGCAGGTCGATCGGTGCTTCTCCGTATAATGGAAAGCGAGGACAAAAGAGAAGGAGAATGTGCAACGACACGCATAAGTATTTTAATTCACGTCGTTGGCTTCTTCATCTAAAAAGGAAGTAATAACTTTGGACCTCGCACGGTCTCATACGCCTTCGCGGGTTGTTGTTGCGTTCTGTCGTTTAAGAACTTAAGCATTGATGAGAGGCCGGAAAAGGGGGCGTTTTATCCGCGTACGCAGTGTGGCCGAGATGATGGCGTAGGTAGCGGGATTGTCCCTAGGGGGGTTTGCCTTCGCCTCTTCTGTTGTCTCAAACTGCTTCGTTTGTAGTGCTTCTTCTTCTAGGTTTTCCGTGAACGGTGACGCGAGAAGGCGAACAGACGAGGAACGGAGATCGAGACATCCTTCAAAAATCAACCACAGGCAAGAAACAACAACAACGAGTTCCACGAGCGTCTCCGCGTCGTATTCTCTTTTATTGATGTCTCATTTCTTCAGCCGGCGACGATCACCTTTGCACCTTCCCCCCTCCCCTTCATTCTTGCTTCTTCTTTTGCATCTCCGTGGCTTTCGATTCGGCAGCTCGCAGCGCAAGTATTGCCTGCCTTGAATGAAGTTTTCTTTCTTTCACCGCACAACGTATAACTAAACATACGAATACCTTTAACTCTGTAACATCCCTATCTATCTATATATATTTTTTCTACTTTGTCCCAGTTCTGTTACTTTTATTATTATTTCATTTGAGTCTTTCCACCGCTCGTTATCTTGCGGGAGCCTTCTGGCGACCCTTGTCGTGGTCTCTTTCATTGACTTCCGGGCTTTTGTTGTTTTAGTGGGGAAGGGTAGCGATATACCCATCCCAGCAGCGCCTTGCCGCTTCTACCAACTCCTTTTTTTTTAGTACTTATAAGCCGTACTCATTATCATCTCTTTTGCCGGTTTTTTTTTTGCCTTGCTGCGAAAAAGGAATCCAAGAATCATCAAGAACGGGGGAATCGAGCTTAAAAGCCGTTTTCTCCTCTGTGACTCGTCTTCAATCGAGTATTCTTACGCACCTTGAAGTTGCAGAAGACACTTCTCATCCTCGTCTGCTCTCCACGTCCGCGATGTCGGTCTCTCCGCAGCAGACGCAGGAGATCGCCGATGACCTCGCTGGCGGCCGCTACGAGTGTGCCGTGTGCGCAGAGCCGATTGGCCACCAACACGAGTTGTGGTCGTGCAGGTGCTGCTACGGTGTATTTCATTTGCCCTGCATTCGTTTCTGGGCGGACAGCCAAACCAATGAGCGTGAGAAGCAGCTGCAGTCGACGTCGGGCGTGGCTACGGCGGGCGAGCTGGATCGCTTCCGATGTCCTCTCTGCCAGTCCTTCAACCCCAAGAGCAGTCTGGCGGCGTACAGGTGTTACTGCGGCAAGGTGACGAGGCCGACGGTGGATGCGATGCTGGTGCCCGGTAGCTGCGGTCAGCCCTGTGAGCGACGCCAGGCAGATCCGTGCTGCCCGCATCGATGCACGTTGCTCTGCCACCCTGGTCCGTGTCCACCGTGCACCCGCGCACGGGAACAGGCCTGCTGGTGCGGCAAGCGCACCAAAACCGTTGGCTGCTCCAGCGGAGTCCACGGCTACGAATGCGGGGAGACGTGCGAGAAGGTGCTGGACTGCGGTCAGCATCGCTGCAAGGCGCCGTGCCACGAAGGGCCCTGTCCGGTGTGCACGGTGATGGTGACGGAGACGTGCTACTGCGGCGCCACGCAGCGCACGCGTCGGTGTGGGGCCTCTCCCCCCGCAGGGGAGGCGACAGCGGCCGAAGGCAGTGTAAGCGGCGGTGGCTTCCGTTGTACGCGCCACTGTGGGAAGATGCGCGACTGCGGCAATCACGTCTGCGGTCTGCTCTGCCATCCTGGCGAGTGTGAGAAGTGCTTTCGCACGCCGGAGCGGCAGAAGTTCTGCCCGTGCGGCAAGACGCGGGTGCGGGTGCAGCGCACCTCGTGCTTAGACCCGGTGCCGTCCTGCGGCCTCCTCTGCGAGCTGCCGCTGCCGTGCGGTCACCTGTGCTGGCTGAAGTGCCACGACGCCACGCCGTGTGCGCCGTGCAAGGAGATGATATCGATGCCGTGCCAGTGTGGCGCGCGCACCGTGACTCTCCCTTGTTTTTGTCAGTACCTCCCACCGTCGGAGTGGGAGGCGGCGCGGAAACGGTGCGAGCTGCCAGCCAGCGCGTTGCCCTCGTCCTTCCCGCCTCGGTGCAACCAGGTGTGTAGGAAGTGGCTCTCCTGCCACAAGCACCGCTGCACCAACACGTGCTGCGTCGAGGCGGAGCACACCTGCATGCAGATCTGCACTAAGAAGTTGGCGTGTGGGGAGCACCAGTGCGGGCAGCTTTGCCACCCAGGGCCGTGTCTCCCCTGCACCTACGTCTCCTACGAACCTTTGTACTGCCGGTGCGGACGGACCTGGGTGGACCCGCCGGTGCCGTGCGGGACGAAGCCCCCGCCGTGCCGCTACCCATGCAGCATCCCACGTCCGTGCGGGCACCCACCGAACCACGAGTGCCACATGGAGCAGGAGTGCCCGCCCTGCGTGGTGCTGGTTGAGAAGCTCTGCGAGTCGCACCAGAGGCCGATGCCGTATCACATTCCGTGCTACAAGAAGGAGATCTCGTGTGGTCGAAGGTGCGGAAAGAACCTGCCGTGCTGCGGCAAGTTCTGCGAGTTGGTGTGTCACAGTGGGCCCTGTGTGCATCCATGCAACAAGAACTTCCCTACGCTGGCGGATGTGTTGAGAAGAAATCAAAAGAACGGCTCGCTATGAATCCGCTTCGGGGCTCGCAAAGACAAAAGAATTGTGTTTCCCAAAAGAAGAAGAAATAACTCGCTGTTACTTTCATGTCAGGTATTCATCTTCTCTTTGATCTCAGGAGTGTTTGAAGTTTTTTTTTTTTGCAGACGGACGTTGCACTTTCCAAGCAGAACCCTCTCTGGTGTTTCAACGACGGCGTGATCGACGAAGGAAGAGTCCCGTCTTACAGCCGACCCGCAGGTTCACGCGCACACACACGTACACAAACATAATAAGATCATTCAAATGAGTAGCATTTGACGAAGGGGCTTCATGCAAACTCGCAGTCTCGCCGGCGCATTTCCTTGCCTTGAGGCAGTCACAAAGGCAATTTCACCGTCTTTTGTGACGTCTCTTCTGGACTTTGGAGGCGGATGACTCGCGCTTCGTGTGGTGCTCCCCGCTCCATGCACTGCAGGCGCTCTCATCGGTTTTTTTTTATTACATTTCTCCCCCTCTCTCTCTCGTGTTTCGATAACCGCGTCCCTACGAAGTACATCCCTGCATGGTAAAGTTCGATACTACTGCTGCGAAAGAAATCGAAGCAAAGCCGAATGAACGTTGGCGCGTCGGGCAACATTTTTATTGAGCGGGCGCACCCGGCCTACGAGCATGTCGTCGATTTTCTTGTGTCCTGCTGCGAGCCGGTGAGCCGAACGCACCACATGGAGCAGTACCGCATGGACAGCTCCTCGCTGTCCGCAGCCACGGCTGAAGGCACCTACACGTTGGACATGATTGAGGTCATTCTTCGTCACTTCCGTCTCAACAGTAACCAAGAGCTACCTGTGGACTTGGAGCGGTGCACCGCGCTGCAGCAGCTGGCGACCGCGGTCGACGAGTCAACGAGTGCTGTTGGCGACGACGTTGACCTCGCCGCGGGGTCTCTTCGAACTTCTCCCAGCAGCCCGTTGTCTTTGGAGCATGCGTGGGCTTCTGGGGCGGCGGCGCGCGCACGTCTGCCGCCTTGCATTCAATCGATGGATTTCAGCGATACTGTACTAGCACCGTTTTATCCAAGCAAGCACCCCGATCACCGAACGCAGCTGTCCTCCACTCTTCCCCAAACCGTAGAAGAAGAAAGGAAAGAGATGGCGGCCACAGGTGCCTCAAGTCTATCGCCACCTTCTCCTCCGACTTCTTCTTCTTCAGGAAGAATCCTTCAACTGTTTCGTCCATCTTCTCCAGCAGCAGCAGCAGCAGCGGCGGTTTCGCCGACTTCGCCGACCGGCGGGGCAGCCTCCTCGCCGCCGACAAAGAGACCGTTAATTGCGCTCGCGGTGGTGCGCCCGGACGATGTAGAGCAGCCGCTGCCCGACGCCATTGCGACGATGCTGTCGGAGGAGGAGACCGCGTCTCGGGTGCAGATTGTCCTGCAGCCGCGCCTCCGCCGCTTTCACCAGTTCGATGCCGGCCACGGCGGATTGTCGTCCGCGCACGCGAAAGCCTCCAAGGGCGGCGATGAGGAGCTCTTTTACTTTGTGGAGTCGCGCCAGCGAGCGCATTTGGAGCTCGTCCTCGACGCACTCAAGGAGTTCCTCGAGCCGGTGCTGCTGTACGGCAAGGAGCGGTGGATCCTCTCCGATGTCGACCGCAGTCCGGTGGACGCCGCGGTGGGGAGTAATGGCGGGGGGAGCGCGACGCGGGTGGCGCGTGATGCCGGCCGACCGGCGGTGCTGCGGATGCTGTACGAACCTCCAAAGCTGGATCCAGCTAACAAGGTCGGCGCACATGCGCCTTCGTCTCCCACTGCTGCGGCTGGTGCGTCTGCGTCGTTGTCGCCTGCCCCGGCGAGCCGCTTCATCTACAAATGCCAGGTCAAAGCTGGCAAGCTGAGGGAGGTGAAGGAGCGCCTCTTCTCCCGCTTCAACATCCGCGCTGACTGCTACTACGACTACCTCCAGGACAAGACGCTGCACGTGGAGAACTTGAACCTGGCGAGTCACGTGCGACTGCGTCCCTATCAGGTGGCCTCGCTCGAGCGCTTCCGCCGCGGCAGCAAGGCGCACCAGGGCGTGGTGGTGCTTCCATGCGGGGCGGGTAAGACGCTGACAGGGATCGGCGCGGCCGCCGCAATGCAGAAGACCACGATTGTCATGTGCGTGAACAACATGTCCGTCTTCCAGTGGCAACGCGAGTTCCTTCGCTGGACCGATTTGACCGAGGCGGAGGTGACGGTGTGCACGGCAAAGATGAAGCAGATGCCGGGGAGGGTCTTCATCACGACGTACAACATGGTCATCGCGAAGCGGGGCCGCTCGGACGGCGCCGCCGCGGAGCAGTCGCGCGCCATCTTGAACGCCATGACCGCCCAGCCGTGGGGCTTGCTGCTGTTGGACGAGGTGCACACGGCCCTCGCCCACCACTTCCAAGACGTGCTGAACACCGTCCAGTACAAGTGTGTGTTGGGGCTCAGCGCCACGTTGCTGCGCGAGGACGACAAAATCGGCGATCTACGCCACCTCGTCGGCCCTAAGCTGTACGAGGCGAACTGGCTGGACCTCACCCGTGCTGGCTTCCTCGCCAGCGTGGAGTGCGCGGAGGTGCAGTGCCCGATGCCGTTGCAGTTCTTAAAGGAGTACCGCGATGTGCAGCGGGCGCGGTTGGCGTTTGGGGCCGGCCGAAGCGCCGTAGCGAAGCGCCGCCGCCGCGAGTCTGTCTTCGATGTGGACGGCGATGACGTCGAGGACGGGCCATGGGAAGGGGAAGAAGGAGTCGCCGGCAGGGGTAGAGGAAGACGCGGTTTCCAGGCCGCTAGCATGGGGCTGAACTCGCGTGCGCTGCACCTCGCCTCATGTAACCCGTACAAGCTGTGGTGCACGCAGGCGCTCTTGGCGTTTCATCAGCAGCGATCTCCCGTCGACAAGGTGATCGTCTTCTGCGACTACTTGGCGGATGTGCGCTTCTTTGCGCATCACCTGCACCTCCCCTTTATGGATCAGCGCACCAGCGAGGCGGAGCGAGCGAACTTGCTAGAGTACTTTCAACACTCGCCGGAGGTAAACGCAATTATTCTCACCCGCGTCGGTGACGTGGCGCTCGACCTGCCCTGCGCGTCGGTGATTATCCAAGTCTCCGGTCTCGGTGCCTCGCGCCGCCAGGAGGCGCAGCGCCTGGGCCGTATTCTGCGCCCGAAGCCCCCCTCACTGGACAACACCTGCGCGTACTTCTACACGTTGGTCTCACAGGACACCGGCGACATTCGCACCAGCTACAAGCGACAGAGCTGGCTGCGCGACCAGGGCTTTGCCTACCGCATCCTGCACTGCGATCGCGTGCTGGGCGAGTTTGTGCGGGTGGGCGGGCAGCCGTGCTGCGTCGGCGCACCGCAGTGGTGGTACCAGACGACGAAGGCGCCAGACGAAGCTTCCAAGTCCACGGGACCAAAGACGACGACTGCCGCCCGTACGCCCGTCTTTCACGAAGGGTTTTGCTGGGTACCGTTTTCGCTAGAGGCCGCTTTGAAGATCGAGAGGGCGTTCCAGCAGGGCAGGGAGAATTGCGTGTTGAGGGCTGGGGAGTTGGGCGCGGACACGTTGCGGCCGTCCGCCGTTGAACTGGGCCACTACGCCTTGCGCCCCACCGAGTCGTGGGAGGTTACATTCAGCAGCGCTGACGCCCCGCAAACGTTTGGCACGGTGCGCATCGGCGAGGTAGGCGGCGACGTCGCCTTGCGCGTGCGCCGCGTGCGCCGTGGGTGCCTTGACCGGACACACCGTTGTACAGCCCCCGACCAGCAGGATAGTTGCGTGAAATATGCCTTGAACGCGGTGCTGGGCTCGCATGGAGCGGTGGGGGCGTTGGCGGCCGGCGTGGATGTGTCTCTGTCAGATAACGACTCGTCGGACTACGATGATGACCTGCCCGTAGGCAATTTATGATTTCCGCCGCATTGCGTGTGCTTGACTGACGCGTGCTGTTCTTCGTGCGTTAAGCAAAAATAGCCTCACCAATTCGCAAGAGTAACAAGAAAGAACTGCTGTTTGTCGTGAAGCAGTGCTAAGCTCATAGAGAGAATATCAAGCGGTCTTAAAGAGGAGTCCGAGAGGCTTGTAGAAGGTCTACGAGTCGACACTGCCAGCAGCATAGCAGCGCATTCTGCACTTTATTGTGTGGTGCTAAGAACTGTGTCCAAATTACGGTCACGGCGCTCTCGCTCGTCCCTGCTCTTCTTATCTTTTTCTTTTACAATATTTTTTCTGAGGGCTGCATTGATTGGTCGCTGGCGAAGCCGCGCCGTTTACACCCACGAACGCCCTGAGTACAGCTGAGAGACCCCACAATTGGTCGTTCGAATAAGGAAAGGGAAAGGAAGAAAGCATCACGACTCATCGCACTTCACACGCCGCACACGCCGTTATTATTATTATTGTTATTATTATTATTATTATTATTTTCTTCACATCGACAGCGACAGCACGTTGCCAGCTTGCGTTGGAATGCCAGGCAACTTGAACAAAGCACCTCCTCTTCCAGCTCTACGGCCAGCTTCCGACACTCCAACTACACAACTTGAGGCGGCCGTGACCACAACAAGCGCCGCGACCGACGGACCCGCTGCTGTGTCGCCCACCGCCTCCAGCATGGACGCGGAACCGTTTGAGGAAGACTGGCAGCGGCCGCCGGGGGATGTCGGCTACCTCCAAGATTTGCTCCAGTCGCTAGGAGGGCGGCATCAACGTTCCGCGGCACTTTCCGCGGCCGCTACGGATGGCAGCAGTGCGGAGGGGCCGAAGAAGGCCGCCACAGCAGCACCTGCAGGTCGACCAGCGGGATACAAAACCAGCGGGCACGATGAGGAGGATGTCGAGGTGCTGCGTATGCGAGAAAGGCAAATAGACGTGATTGAGCGCCGCCGTCGCCGTGCGCAGCGTCGGTGTGACGCCGTCGATGCGGCCTTCGCGCGGTCAGTGCACCGGCGCATGCAGGCGATGCGGCATCTCGCGCTGGACCCGCCCGCCGAGCGATTAGTTGGACAAGGCATGACACAGTACGTGCCAGCCGCCCTCCTGCCGGATGACATCTTAGATGCCGAGGGGCGGCTTCGTCCTGGGTCGCTGCCGCTGCTGCCCCACTCCGTCGTGGAGACACACGTGCAGCATCAACTCACGCATGGGAGGACGAACCTGAATCCTACAGCCGCGCCGCTGCAGGCGGTGACGGCCATTACCGATCGCTCTGCCCGCCGACCAAACGAGCCGGATGCGCTCGTGTTTTTGACGCAGCTCGATGCAGGCGTAGCCCCGGAGCGTGAGACCGAAAAAGGATGCACGGTTGACGGCGCCAGCACCAACAACAATAGCGGCCCTCCGCAGGGAGCATCCTCTTCTTCCGCTGCAGACGGCGGCACGAACGCACGTGCCGCGTCACCGCCGCAAACCCACATCGGTGCGTCGACCCCAGCAGTGGAAGACAAGGCAGCGGGAACCGTTACAGACGCGGTAGAGGACGAAAGACGGGAGGGGGACGATGAACGCTGGATGCGGCCCTCCAATCTCACGGCCACCAACAAAGATCGCTGGCGCGAACTCGGCTACCACGTTGTGGTGGTCGGCGGCGGCAGAGGTGCCGAGAACGCAGCCGCCCGACGCGCCTTTCAATCCACCGCTGCACCGCCAGAAGCGAGCACGAGCCCCAACGCGGCCTCCATCACCCGCGTTAGCCCTCCCCACCAGGGCAACCCTTTTTCTTCCACCATGTCGTCGACGCCGCAGCGATCCACGACGACACGGCAGCGAAGTCCGCCCGAACGCGGTGCCCCGTCGGAGGAGAAGGCGCTGTGGCGATGGACCGCGCTGGCCCCGCTGCCGCCGGTGTGTCTCATCCAACGACGGCTGCCAGAGGAGGACATGACGGCGAGGGAGCTGCGACATCAGCAGTCGTCGTCGAGGTTCACGTCTCGCCGAGGGCCTGCCGGCCGCGGTGATGCGAGACACTCGTGGAAGACTGGGAGCAAATGACTTCGCGGAGGGGCGTGTCCTTGGCGAGTTGGGATCACTAGAGAGAGAAAGGGAGAGCTGCTGAGGGGGTGCTGTTGGCGTTCGTCGGACCACACACACTCTTGTCGTGTTGTGTTCATGAAACACTAGGAATGGAGGGGGGGGGGGGAAGAGATGTATATATTGTGGGTGTGCCAAGCAGAACGTGCAGCACATGAGCCCACCGTTTGATTCTGTATACGTTTGATATGATCGCATGTATAGCAGCCTTTTTGTTGGCTCATGACTCATATTTGTTTTTTCAACTCTGTTTTCTTTTTTTTTTCTAGCTGTTTAGCTTTGTAGAGATGAAGTGGAGCGGAGAGAAGAAGCAAAAATTCTATCACAGGAAGAACACCCCATTCACCATCATTCAAAGGAATGCCCAGACGAGTACAGTTCGAGCCTTTTCCTTCGTTGGGATGATAATTCCAACTTTAATAGGGGCGACATATCTTCTTTTACCGATTTCAGCTCTTCGTTTTCTTCGAAAAGCGGGCAACGTTGCTATTGCCTTCGTTTCACGTTCTCCTTTCTCCTTTCTCTCCTCTCTTATCACCAGCTTCCTCTTCTCTTGATGCTGCTACTGTGGTGCGTAGGAGTTACCTTTGTGGAATGCACGCTAATCTTGTCTCTTTCTCTCTCTTTTCGAGCTGACTTTCTACGACGTGAGATATGACGAAGCAGCAGCGCGTGACGATCCCGCCGGAGCTGCGAGCCATCGCTCGGGCCGTCGCGGATGCTGATGTGCATCAGTTCCCTGACCTCGCGCCGGCTCCCGGGCACACCCGGCCCTCCCTCGATGCGCTGCGTAACCTCACGACGGAGCTGAACAACGGTGTTCCCCTCACCGTGCAGGAGTTCAAGTTCTTCCGCGCCGCCTACGCTGAGTGTCGGCAGCACCTACACAGCGTCACCAATGGCGCCATGACCTCTGGCACCCCCGTCGCCGATGTGTTGCTGCTCGCGGCGCGCATGGATTCACTCTGCACCGACCTCGGTGTCTCGCTGCTCGCCCTCTTTCCCTCTTTGCGCGAGATGCATTCGTACCTGCTGGAGCTAAGCGACAAATTGGCGGTAGGACGCGGGGAAGGCCAACACCACTCGGACGTGCTGCTGGACCGACTTGTGCGAGTGGTGCAGCTCATCCTGGAGCGGGCCGAGCAGGCCCTCAGGTGGTACGAGTCGTGGGAGGCGCAGCGAGGAAAGCCGATGGTGGAGCAGAGTATTGTGGATCTGATGAGCATCACCACCACCGTCGCCGGCTCCCCGTTGCCTTCCGGGACGTCGTTCCCCACGAGAGACGCCTCGACGCGACGGGTGAGTGTGGCGGCGACGGACGGCAACATCGGGCAGCTGAGCCCGGCGCAGCGGCGCTCCGTCGTGGAGGCGGGTGGTTCCTTCGCAGCGGCAGAGCACAACCCGTTTTCTCCCATTGCACCGCACCGCTCCACCATCACCACCGCCACCGCCACCGTTGCGGACGCCGCGCCGCCTCGCCCCCTCAGCGGCAAGCGGCGGCTGCCGGCGAACGTGACCGACGCCCTGGCGAGCGTGAACGCCGACCTGGACGTGCACTTCGCGCACCTGCGGTGGTACGTCTCGGTGACGGACCGCGGCGCCGTCTACTTCGATGCGCGCGACTATCTGGAAGAAAACGTACTGCGAGCCGCGTGGGAGCGCTACGTGGGCCGCAACCGGGCCGCCTGTTCTGCGGAGGACTTCTTTCCGTTTTTGAAGCTCTTCCCTGCGTGGACGCACCCGGCGGTGCTGTCGGTGGTCGACTTCAAAGAGTGCGGGGTTGTCTCCGTGTACTCGCTGCGTCGCCTGCTGCGTGTGTGGGGCCCGCTGCAGCTGCTGGAGGTGAACCTGCGCCACGACATCGACCACGGCGCGGTGGATTTGTCGCAGCCGTTTGCCTACCTCGCCGCCTCGCTCGCCTCACGCCCCGACGCGCAAGTGGGCGACTACGTGATTGGTCTGTCCGATGTACTGGGCGAGCTGCGCGTGGCGGTGCTGCGCCGTGCACGCGGCTATCACTGGCATCAGTGGGCGGGCGCCTCTGAAAACACCCGCAAGTTCTCGCCGACGAAGTTCGCCGGCAGCCAGGGCGAAGGGGAGCCGGAGTCGTCGCAGACGAGCCCCACGTCACGCAAGCCGTTCAGCACCGTCTCCTACACCTTAAGCCACGACACCGGTGCATGGATGGTGCAGGGGCTGACCCGAGAGGAGTTTGACTCGGCCGCGGAGGCCTGCAAGGCGTTCCCGGAGATCTTTCAGCGTCCTCGCGGGCAGCTGCTGATCGGCGCGCATTCGCACCGCCTGCACTTTGGCCTCTCTGCCGCTCCAGGTCTCTTCCCCACACCGGTCACCCCGACGCAGGAGTTCAGTTCGCCCCTCGAGACGGTCGACGGCAACGTGTCGGCGCTGCACCGCGCGTGCTACCGCAACAACGCCCGCTACGTGCACACCCTGCTCGACCGCGGCGGGGGCACCGTCGTGAACAGCGCGTTGGTCGACCCGCTGGTGGGGGAGTCCTTCTGCTGGACACCGCTGCTCTGCGCGGTGAACAACCCGCACAGCGACCCGGTGGATGTGGTGCGGCTGCTCCTGGAGGCGGGAGCGGATGTGCAGTACCACGACGACGCCGACTGCACGGCGCTCTACTACGCCATCGCGAATCGCTACGCAGAGACGACACGGGAGCTGATGGAACACTGCCCGACGCTGCAGACGTCGCCCTACACAGTGCCACTGCTCGTGGCGATTGGTGCCCACGACTGCCACCTGCGGGAGTGCGACATTCGCCGGCTGGTCGAGGTGGTGCCGTCTGCCGCCGTGCTGAGCGTGGTGGTCGCCTATGAGTCGGACATGTCCCTCGTCGCCTTGGCCTCCAACATCGTGGAGGAGAAGGTGAACGGCCGGCACTACGTCGCGACGAATGCGGAGCGGCGCATGGTGGCGGAGCGCTGTGCGGCGGGTGCGGCTGGGGCCGATCGCTTTACCGCTGTCGAGGAACAGAGGATTCAGGAGTGGGTTGCGCATCACACGCACTGCTGCCTGCAGGCGCGACTGGAGGTGGAGGAGGCCGTGCGTGTGCTGTACGCGCGCGAATACGTGCTATCGTGGCGGGTGTGGCTGAAGTTTCTCGACTGCTCTGCCGAGGAGAAGCGGCTGGTTACCCGCCTGGCTCCGATATACCCGCTGGGCATGATGCACACCAAACCTGTTGGACACGCACGCAACGTGGTCGTCGCGGCGCATCTTTCGGCGGACCCTCCCCCGCGTCGTCTTGGGGCGCTGCAGCAGGCGATGCGGTCGTCCGCTGATGAACGCACCTTCGGAAGCTCGTTGTTCAGGGCTACCCCGACGGCCCCCTCTAACTACGTGATTTAAGCCAGCGGTTTTCTTTGAACTGCCCTGCCTGGTCGCATCGTTCGTTTTAGTTTTACTTTTCATGTACACTACGCACGGGCAGTACGTTGATGGGCTCGGTGACGTGCCCACTCGCCCACTCTCTACTGTTGTTATCTTTATTATTCGTTGTTTGCCGCTTTGCTCTCACGATGTGAAAACACCTGTTGGGTTGAATGTGAAGGGAATGACGAAGGAGGCGAGATGGGTGTATCTCCGGCGATGCGCGTTCACCCACGCCGCGCACCACGGTACGCGACGCGACGTGCACGCGATACACGTGATGTTTTGTCAGGGCGTCGCTGGGGCCTGCAGAGACTCCAACACACACCACGTCATTCTTTGGTGTCTGTGTGTGTGTGTGCTGTTAATCGTTGTCGTCGCCGCCACAGTAACCCAACAGTACATCGTCTTTAACGAAGTTCTTTCAGCCCGCGGAGTGCTGTGGCCTCAGAGCTGTCTGTCTCTCTTGCTATTTTTCCTTTTTCTCGTACACCAATCTTCAATCGCTTCCGTTTCCTTACCTGTACTTTTCCTTCTACGTTGCCGCTAGCGCGTCTCACGTTGCATGCACTTAAACCAACCAAACAAAAACTCTCTGCACTGCGAAGAAGCCGAACCGCAACACGACGAGCACACATACGGAAAAAGGTAAAGGTCCAGCTCGTTGCGCCTGCTGACCTGGTCCGGGCTGCATCCATGTCTCCCCACAATAAGCGTGGCAAAGCCAAGGCGGCGGCGAGCAAACAGAATCGTGCGGATCGCCGTCAGCATAGCGGCACCACTCAGAACCACCACTTTAGAAAAGGAGGAAGCAGCTCGTACCTCTCCACGGCTACCGACTCAAAGCAGAATCGCGTGCAGCACACCTTCAGCGACATTGACCCTTTGGATAAGCAAATTTTTGATTACATCATCGTTGTCGATGTCGAGGCAACCTGTGAGGAACACGACGATAACTACCCGCATGAAGTTATCGAAATTCCAGGCGTGTTGATCAACGTCCGCACCGGGCAGGTAGATCGGGCAAACTCCTTTCACACATATGTAAAGCCATGGCGCAACCCGACTCTAACGCGCTTTTGCACGCAGCTGACGGGCATTACGCAGAAAACCGTTGACGCAGCCCCGACGATTACGGAGGCGATCGCGTTGTTTGAAAAGTGGTACACGAAGACGATTCCGCGCGGCGCCAAAACCATCTTCGCCGCCGACGGCCCGTGGGATTTCAAGAGCTTCTTCTACGAACACCACGTCCTGCGCGACCACGTAGCCTTCCCCAGTATCTTCTACGAGTACCTCGACATTCGCACCACCTTTGCCCACCGCCTCAACCACGGCGTGCCGATCAAACTGGATGCGATGCTGCGCAGGATGAATCTGAAGTTCGACGGACGTCCGCACAACGGCTTCGACGACGCCTACAACATCGCCCGGCTCGCCGTGGCGATGATGCGGGCCGGCTGCGTCTTTGACTTTGTGCTGGCCATCCCGATGGACGACCCCTATCACTACCGCCTAGAGGGATACCCGCTCTATCGCCGGGAGGAGGGCAGCGGACACGTGGACAGGGACGTGGTGGAGGACATCGCGAAGCAGTGCTTCGGGAGGGACTACTTCAAGTTTGGCCAGACGCATCGGGAGGCGGTGCGGGCGTACCGGCTGGAGCACTCGAAGGAGTTCAGCAACGCGAACGCGATGACGCTGAAGCGGCGCCATGACCGCGCCTTAACGCGTCGTCGGCAGCGGATGTGGCGACTGCTGATGTTAGGGCTCATCGCGGTTCTTTTGGTTGCCGCTGCGTACGTGCTGGAGGTGCATCATCGGGCTGCTGCGTGGCTGCGTGCAGCGGTGATGACTGGCTCACGGAAAGGTGCGACGGCGGAGCACACGCGCTCCGACTCGACTACAGCAAATGTCGCACCCTAGGGAACGCGGGAGTAGAAGTTAAATAGGTGCGTGTGTTTCTGGTGCCACGAATTGGCCTTACCCGTTGGCCGCAGGGCTCCTTAGCTGCATTAAGCAGTCTCTTGACGTCTTGACGATGATTTCCCCTTTCACACAAGTGCAGTTGTGCCAGTGATTGTGCCGAGAAATATGTGGGCCCGTGTGTTGACGCAGATGGTCATCCTCGACATTACATTTATCTCTCTTACTTTTCTTTTTTTTGGCAAACGGAGAGGAGATAGTCGAGCGACGCTGAAGGTGCGTTGAGAGTTGAGGGCTCTCACACCTGTGTATAGTACGCTTTCATTGGTTGTTATTTCACTAACCGCGCGTTGCACGCCTGTTTTCCTTTAATATACTTTAAAAACAATTAACTTAATGAACCACTTCACCTTGCACTCATTCTAAGTGTGCTTTGCGATGCTCCACCACATTGCTGTTTGCTCTGGAGTGCGTGAAAGAATTCTAAAACAGTTAAAACGAAAAGAGCAGGATTCACCTGACACCTTAGTGAGACAATACACTGACGCGTCGAAGAGGTGCTCTAGGAGAGAACGTTCATGTTTTGGCGGTGCGCTCCTGGCATTTGACAAATAGACGTTCATCGTAGTTTCACCACCAAAGTCACAGCGTGACCTCAGCACGAAGGTGCCCACAGGCAACAGAAGCACTGGCAAAAAGACAGCACCGGCAAGAGCTGCACGCTCCTCGCGGTTTTGTGCCACCATACGAGGTTAGATGTCATAGAAATGTCGATGGCCGAGTGCGCATGAGATTGTTTCCCACTTCTATCTCCTGCGTCCTTCATGCGTTGTACGTATTATATTATTGTTGTTATTATGCACTCTTCCTATTCACCAAACAAAAACCTTTTTTTTAAATATCCGGCAAACTTACTTCGGTGCTTCTGATCAGTACTTTTGCCACTTCATACAGCTTCGCGCTGTCCTTCCTCCCACACGCACGTTCCCCCACACGTTTCAATTTACTGATAGAGGTGACCGTAGGCGCGCTGCGGTTACGTTTCGCTACCGACATCATCGCAAACAAACAAAGGAAAGGAGGTGATTACGAGAACGTATGGATTTGTGTGGTGTGCAGCGAACAGCAGTGCAGGAGGAGATACACACTATCAAAAAGAAAGCAGTTTAGAATCCGCACCCAGTGAACGGAAGAGAAACAGACATACCTAGAGGCACGGCAGCCGTGTGTGCTTGTTTGTGTGCTTATCTTTTTTTCCCCTTTCAACCCCGGCACTTTTGTCTTCGCATTTGTCGCAGTCACGCTCAGGAACTGAGACAACATCGCCTTTGCATCTTCTGCTCCTTCGCGAAACCGACAGAAGACGACGACGGACGTAAAACACGTATTTTCCATCTGTTGTTTTGCCGCGGCCAGTCTTTTGCTTTCTGGCTGCTTCCGAAGGCATTGTCTCGTTGCGCTCTTGAACTCTTTCTTTCTTTACCTTTTTCCTTTTGAAACAAGAGATATAAGTGCATCGTTACAAGAGCAGAGCAACAGAACGTTCCTGAAAACGCAGCTCGCTGGAACACTGGGTCTCGATGTATTGATTCCGCCTTGTCACTTTGGTGAATACATATATCATATTTAGCTGCTATACCTCTTCACTCTTGTGCTTTCGTGCGGTGCGCGAGGTCCTGCCAGCGAGCATTGGAATTGTCATCGTATACGCTAACAGAAGTTGACTTTTTTTTTATTATATAAAGAACTTCATTGCATTCTTTTCCTTTTTTCTTCCTCTGCTACTCGACTCGTTGTCCGTGCGTGTGTGTGTGTGTGTGTGTGATTCCGGTTCTTGTTTTTCTTTTCTCATTTGAACGTCATTAAGCCTGGCGTCATACATATATAACCCCCATCTTTGGTCGGGCTCGACGTGCTACGTGAGAGCGAACTCTTTTCCGTTTGTCTCTTGTTGTTGGAGGTCTTCACCGTCCGGTCGCCCTCTCCACCGATAGGAAGAAGGAACGCTTGTTTTCTTCTTTCTTTCTTTTTTTTGGGTTTCACGTCGATGCTATTCGCTCTCCCTGTCACTGACGTGAATCACGGTGACAACTCCATGTTGAGTGGCGGCAGGCCCACGGCAGCCGGAGAGAGCGGCGATCGGCGGACACCTTCATTGGTCCCGCTGTCGCACCGTCACGGCGGTGACCGTAGCAGGCGATCGTCCTCCCCACTGGCGGTCTCCCCGGAGAGCACCGGCGCAGCGGAGCGGCAAGAAGTTCCCCCTCCTTCGCTTCCTCTTCCTGCTGCGGAGCGCAGCAAGGCGGAGTCCATCAGCTCCTCGTGCTCGGCGGAGGTCATGAACCCTCCTCCTCAACGGCAGTCCACGCAGCCGCGGGCGATGTCCACGTCTCTCACGTCTGTGGGTGTAAATGAGCATATTGACGCGGTGCCACAGCCGTCCACCAAAGCGGTAGTTGCTGCTGCTGTTGAGCTGCGAGCCTCTGCCTCCTCTTCGTCCCCAACAGCACTACCACAGTCATTGAGGGCAGTTTCCGATAGCGCGGAGCTCAGTAAGAGCCATAATCTTCATTTGGGTGGGACAACCTCTGCGACCGCCATCACAAAAGTCGATGTGCCGGCGGCGGTGGCGGACGCGAGTGGGTCCAAGACTCCAAAGCGCGTGCTGAAGACGACCAGCACCACACATGCGCATCGCCGTGCCAACGAAAGTGGCGGCAGCGACAGCAGCGGCGGAGGCGTCGGCTCGCGTTCTGCGTCGGAGCGCTGCAAGGCCGCCCGCACGCTAGCCGCCGAGCTCATGTCAGCCCTCATGGAGCGTCCGCCGCAGACAGCCCAAATCGCGCAGTACCGCAAGTCCATGCGCTCCTCTGCCTCCTCTACCCCAAAGCCGGCACTGGATAACGCGGCCGCTGCCGCCGTCGCAGTGGATGGAAACTTGTGTGACTCCCTCGCAGAGTCCAGCAGCGCCGTCACCGCAGCCGCGGGAGGCGTCCGTGCTACAGCAGCCCCGTTGCCTTCCGCTTCGGCATCGGCGGCGTCGCATTCGTTTATCGACGCTGTGCGGAACGGACGTGCCAAGTCGAGCCACACACCCTCTTCTTCCGCTTTCTCTTCTTCTGCCGCGGCTACTGCTGAACCCGTGTCGACAGCGGCGCATGGAAAGACGGCAACGACCTCCCCAACGGTGGCCTTGAAGGCAAGCGGCGGCACCCCGCTGCATGCACCGACCGCTGCACCCCCCACGGTCGACCACAACAGTATACGACGGCGCAACGACTCCCCCAACCCCCTCTTGCTTCCCGCCGGAGCGACGGAGGGGTTTGGCAGGCAGCCGTTCGAGCTGATGCCGGAGGACGCGTCTCGCATTCCCGAGCTGTTGAGCGTTCTGCGCGAGATTGCGCTCTCCGGCGCGTCGCTAGACCCGCTGTGCAGGCCGGCCAACTCCAGTGCGAGCACACCGCGGAGGAGCAACAATAGCGGCAGCGCAACATCAGCGGGGCCACCCGCAACTACTTCCGCATCTCCACCAAAGATGGCCACGACCGGGGCGGCGACCACGCCGCAGACCACCGGGACTGCCAACGGTACAGCTGCTGCTGCCTCCGGTGCGGTCGGCCCACCGAGGCCACCGCACGCGGTAGAGACGAACTACTATGAGGAGCAGTGGCAGCGTGTGCGGGCACATCTGCAGGCGGTGCGTGGTCTGGTGCTCAACCGACGTGAGCTCGCCAGCACGCTGGATGAAGTACTGGGGGTCGACTGGCGCGTGACACCTGCTACCGCCGCCGCAGCGGTGGAGTCGGCAGAGTCGCAGCATGGCACGGAGGGGCCAGGGAACAACGACCCACTGTCAGTGCCCACCACAGCAGCGGACGTCCTTCACAGTGCGGCGGAAAGAGTCACGGTGGATGTGGTGGTGCCGGTCATGCCGACGCCCGTCGATCACGATGGGCCGACGCGGCTCGCCGCGAAGGGAGAGAGAAGTGCAAAGGAAGGTGCAGCAGCGGCACGAGGTGCGACTTCAACAACGAACACCGCGGCTTCAAGGGACGACAACACTGGCGTGGGGAATCGCACGAACACGACGGTGACGACAACCACCACTTTCACGATGACGACCACCACCGTCACCACCACCACGATCACTGCGACAACGTTGAACCACAATGCCCGTCCTTTCCAGACTCGAACTCCGTCCACCTTTCAGCGGGCCACGAGCACGCAAAGTGGTGGTTCTCCTCCTCTTTCTACTCTGACGGGCAGCGCATCGCCTTCTTCACCCCCAGTTGCAGTGGGAGGCGACAAGAGAGAGGACACTGCTGCTGCTGGAGCGCACCTTGGCGGCAACATCCATGCCGACGCCAACAACGCGTCCTCGTCAATGCAGCAGCTCTCGGAGCTCAGCTCCACTTACTCCCCGTCTCAGCACGTGACGACCTTCCTGGAGCGCTCCACCCCGCCGGCGACGGGCCGACTGGCGGACGAGGGCGATGCCGGCCTCTTCAACTTCCCCTCGACGCCGCTGTCCGAGGCGGCCGTGCCTTACCAGCCGTCGGTGACGCTCGTCGGCGGTACGAGCCCGCGCGGCGCCAACGCCTCCACATCGAGCAGCCCGCCCTTCCATTTGGAGTCGCGCGAGGAGATGCTCCGACGTCGCAGCGCGGCCCCGAACGCCTTCTACGCCTCCATGACGCACGGCGGGGCAACGCACTACCTGGGTGGCCCGCCCAGCGCAGCAACGACGCCCGGCACTTTCGTCTCCGCGTCTGTGCCGCCTGGCTCGCCGCCGTTTGCGCTGCCGGGCAGCGGGGCGCGCAGTATGCCCGTCTCACCGCTGCTGAGCTACGGCTCGCCGGTCACCGCCGCTCAGTGCCCGTACGATTATGTTCTCGTCTTGGACTTTGAGGCGACGTGCGAGGAGCACCCGCCGCCCAACTACCTGTACGAGATCATCGAGTTCCCCGTGGTGTTGGTCGACGTGCGGCTGCAGCGCGTCGTGGCGGAGTTCCACCGGTTTGTCCGTCCCCGATACAAGGTGGAGCTGAGTTCCTTCTGCAAGAAGTTAACGGGGATGCGGCAGGCGGACGTTGACGCGGCGCCGTCGCTGGAGGAGGTGATTTTGCAGTTTGAGCGCTGGTTCGCCCACACCCTGCCCCCGCACTCCCGGTGCGTCTTCGCGACGGATGGGCCGATGGATATGCGGGAATTCATGTACCACCACAGCGTCTCTCGTCAAGGCATTCGCTTCCCCCCTCTCTTCTACCAGTACGTTGATGTGAAGCAGATCTTCGCGGGCTTCTTCCACTGCTCGCAGGGGAAGATTAAAGCGATGCTGGAGGTGCTGCACGTGCCGTTTGAGGGGCGGCTGCACAGCGGCTTAGACGACGCCCGCAACATCGCCTCCATCGTCATTGCGCTGCTGCAGTACGGCTGTACGCTGTGTGAGGTGCCACTGAACAGGCTGCCCTTGAATAGGCTGCTGCTGTCGAGTCCGACGGTCACGGCAGCAGACAGCGGGTCAACGCCGCTTTCGCTGCCGCCGTCCACCGCAGCGACAGGTTCAGGCCGACGCCGCCCAAACGGGGCGTCGCCCACCTGCATCACCGCACCGTACGCGGTGGACGAGGACGAATACTCCTACTAAAAAGAGAAGGAAATCGATGAAAATCAGGGTTGAGGTGCGTTGGATTCCTGCTGAGAACGGAGGTCAGAAAAAGAGAGGCGATTACAAATTGGGTGCGGTGAAAGTAGAGAAGTTTGTCATTTGTTGAACAGAGATATTTATTTTTGCTTTTGAGCTGACTCCTTTTGTTGCCATTATTATTATTAGAGGTCAGGTGAAATCGCTCTGCGTGTTTGTGCGTGTTTGTGGTGTGTGGTGTGTGCCAACTTTATTGGGACGTTCGCTGCCATCTTTTTCCTTTCTTCTGCTTTCATGGACCTTCCCTTGGCGTTTCAGGCTGCGCTTTCTCTTTGACGCCACCGTTGTAACGATGGCCATCTCCATCTCTCTCTACCCTTCTCTCTATTTATATTTGCTCGTTAAGGTAGCTTCTTCGCCTTCCTGCCTCTTCTGGTACTTTCTCATTTGTGCCTTTTCCGCGTACTTGCTTGTTGATCCCGCGGCGAAGGATCCACGCTTTTCCCTCTTTTCGTTTCGCCACTTCACCCTTTGTGATTCTCGTATAGTTCTCCTTCTTGACTTCTGCCGTCTCTTCGCTTTCCTCTCTGTTTCTTTCATTGGGGGTTTTACTCGAGTGCTGATGAACACCGGTGCGGTGCATTTGAGGTGTGCGGCGGAGCCCGTCGCATCGCCTTTTCCTTTCCGCTTTAGCAACTGTGACGAGTATTCGTGTCTTGGGAGAGACAAGCAGAAAGGTGTACGATACAAAGAACAATAAAAAGAGGTGGTGGGGACCATCACTCAAGTGCTGCCGTGAATTCAATGGGCTTAAGATCTGACTGATGTTGCTGGACAGCTCGTTGTTGTGCACTGACAACTATCTCTGCACACGCCTCGGTAAACGCGTTTAAGGGGGAGGGGGAGGGAGGGGGAAAATGATAGGTAATATGGAGTGGGGGTGGGTGGGTAGACAGCACAGCGCGCGAGATCTGCCGTCAACGCCTTTCTTTTTCCCTTCCTTTCCCTTGATGCGCTCTCTGCGCGTCGGCGTTGTTTTTCCACGTTGTAATGCCGTTTTACGCCTTCGTACGAATTTAGTAGCCTCGCGCTTTTCAGCTGTAATTGCATTTTCAACCTTTTCTCTCTCTCACTCGCTCTCTTATTAATATTTTTTTTTCTTTTCTGCTTCTTTTAATAACAATGAGAAAGATATCCGCTGTTTTTCGCGTGTGGGTGTGAAGAAGCAGCACGTGTTTCACCTTGTTTCCGTCGTACTTGGGTCAAGGTGCTCACGTTGTGCGTCACCTGCCACACACATACCCGGATGAGGCGCCTTGATAGGACTATTAAAAACCGCTATCTTTTTACTTTCATTAAGGTTTCTTCTTCTCCCTATTTGCTACGCTAACTAACAGTAACTAAGGTTTTTTTCTCCTTATTTTAACTCGCATTTCTCTGTTCAGCTCCCGCTCTCTCTTGTGTATTATTGTAATTTTCTCTTGTATACCCGCCATGGTGCGCGTACGCTCTCTCGCCAAGGAGCTGCGCCATCTCGAGAAGCAGAAGCAGTCCGCCTCGACACCGTCGCCGCCACCCGCAGGCGTAGAGGATCGCGCAGTTGACCTCAACACCACGAGCACTTCAGTTTCTCCCAGTGACACGAACACGAGGTCGTCCAATGCGTCTACCACGTCAAGAGAGGACGACGCAGTCCCTCACCGCTGTTCGCCGACCGCACAAGCAGAAAAGGCAGCGTCTGCGCCGTGTTCTTCCTCCTCCTCTGCCAGCCCGAAGGAGGGGGGAGCGGCACGTCGTGAATCTCAGCACACTGCAAATAGCAACAGCAGTGACTCGGACGAGCGAGGCGCCTATGCAAGTTCGACGAAGGACGGAGGCGATGACGATGGACCGCGCAAACACACAAAGGGCACAACGAGCCTCTTCGCACTCGGTGGGAGTCGGTTCGACATTTTGGTGAACGGCTCGTACGGCGATGGGGCGGCGTGTCGGAAGTCTGAGGTGCGCAAGGCCGCCAAGGTATGCTCGAACGGCAAGGATGCTCTGCAGCGCAGTCAGGAAGATCTGACTGCGACTGGAGAAGAGCCAGCGTCGAAAGTGCAAAACAGGGTAATGGGGGACAATGCGGGGAGTGGGAATGACACTCCTGACGAGGCTGCTGCTGCTCCTTCGCCTCCGCTCGGTGCGTCGTGCGGCATCCCGGCACGCTTTCCTTTCAAACGGCTCCTCGCCCAGCCGTTTAGCCACATCCTCGTCTGCGACTTTGAGGCAACGTGTGCGAGCGGCAGCGTGCACTACCCGCACGAGATCATCGAGTTCCCGGTAGTGGTGCTGGACACGGCGACGCTGCGCATCGTGGCGGAGTTCCACCGCTACGTCAAGCCCGTGCGCAACCCGAAGCTGACAGCGTTCTGCACGGAGCTGACGGGGATCACACAGGAGATGGTGGATCAGGCGGATACCTTGCCGGTCGTTGTGGGGCACTTCCAGCGGTGGCTGGAGCAGGAGGTCTACCCGTTGTGTGCTGTGTGGGCAAACCACTACGGGCCAGAGAAGCTCTCCCGCCACCTTCAATCTGAGCAGAAGCGGTTTGTGTACGACGATCGCACGGAGGTGGCCAGGGCAAACGCACGCTACGAGGCGATGATTTGCATGGCCACTGATGGGCCATGGGACATGCGTCGCTTCATGCACGAGTGCAGCGTCATGCGAGACGGGGTCGCCTTCCCGCCGCTGTGCTACCGCTACCTCAACGTGCGACACAGCTACGGAGACCACTTCAAGTGCCGTCAGGTGAAGCTGACACACATGCTGCGGCGCATGAGTATGTCGTTTGAGGGTCGGCGGCACAGCGGCATTGATGACACACGCAACATCACCCGTGTGCTCGCGGAGCTGATGGCGCGCGGGTACCGTGTGCATCATGTGAGCACGATTAAGTACTCGCACGGCGGCGATGCATTTTTGCAGAGTAATAAGGCGGCACAAGAGCTCTTGTCGGAGTATGGCGAGATCAGTAAGACGCACACGAGCCGGCACAGCCACGCACGCAAGAACGCGGCAAAAAGCGGTAGAGGTAAACGATAATGCGCAGCCGTATCCGCTTTTCTCTGTCGATACACATATTTTCAAAGGGAAGGCAAGAGAGACAGCTGCCGTGCGGATTCGTTTATTTATTTTTGGTTTCCTTCTCAGCGCATTCGGGAATCATTTTTATCTTTGAATAACGGGCGGCTGCGGTGTTCGCTAAGAGACGTACATAGCCGCAATGAAAGAGTCTTCTACAAATGTTCTTTATTTATTCATTCTCATCATGGTTTTCTAGAATACAGCAACTCACGTCGCGCTGCTACATCTCATCTTCACCGTCTGCAGGTCTGCGACCATTGCCGCTTGAACGGAGCTGATCTTTGCGCAGGTAGCAGCTCTCCCATCATTTCCTGTCGATCGCTGACGTGCTGAAAACGATGATAGCTTTTTTTCCTGCTGACTTGCCAATGGTAGAATGTTGTATTTCTCCCCACGTGTTCTCACTCTCCTTCTTTTCTGTGCTCGCCTTCTTTTCCACGCGGCCGTGCCTTTACGCCGCCTCTCTCTCCCTCTCTACTGCGATTCTCTGCGGTTTCATACATGCTTGTTTTTCCCCTGGCTTCCGTTTCATGACGCACTCTCTGCACATTCTCTCTCCCCAGCGACGCGTCACAACCTGCTGTATTGAGTGTTTTTCTTTCGAAAAGATTTCTTTCTTTCTCTCTCTGTAACGCCTCGCGACTCGCATAAAGGTGTCAGTCATTGCTGTTTTTGTTCTTGACTTTTGTTTCCGTTTTGGCGAAGGGATGTTGATGCTTTAAGCAGTTTTGGACCTCGCCTTCCATTCATCCTGTCGTTCACTCCAGACGCCCCCCTTCTTCGAAATTTGAGCTCACACGCTTCTGTGTACTATTAATTCTTCATATATATATATATTATTGCCTTAAAAAAACTCTCTCTATACACTCCCACACTCCCACACACACGCTCCTCGCTCATCACACGAGCAGGCGAAATACCAACACGACGACAACAGCGTATTATGTGTTTTGCTCTTCTCCATAGAAGTTACTTTTTTTTTGGTGTTCGCTGAACTTTGCTGTGCGACATCCGACCTATTTTCCTTTTTTTGCATCTTCCGCTGCTGGCGCGCTGCGCACCGCACACTTATATATATATCAATACATCAATAAACTCTCTTTTGTTTTTGTAAGGCTGCTTCTTCCTCTTTCTCCCTTGTTCTGCGTCACGTGTGCTTGTGCCGACGCGAACGTTTCTATCTGAAAAGCAAAACACCCAACCGCAACTATCACGTCGTGGAGAGACAAGTCAACGCGACCATGTCCACCAAAGCAGCGGCAGCAATAGACGACGACGAAGCGCCGACCGCCTCTGCCGGCCACACCTCAGACAAATCGGACAGCGACCCTTCTTCGCAGAAATCATTGCACACTACCGAAAGTGCAAGAGGCGAGGTCGGACTGGTTGACAGCGCCGTGCACACGCCAAAGCGCACCTCACTGAACGTGGCCGCCGGGTTCCAGCCCTTTGCGACGGCCAATACATCCTCGCCTTTCCGCTCCGTTCAGCGGATCTCTGTCACAGCTCCTACGACGCTACAGGAGTTTTATCCGTCAACGTCATCTAATTCTTCAGATCAGCGGTATCATCCACAGCAACTGCAGGAGGACGGGGGTGGTCAGCGTCACGGCACTTCGAAGTCCCCAGAAGCCGTGTCCACGCAGCGAACGTTGCCGAGCGAGGGAGCTGAGACGCCGCGGGTGTCACCGCAGACCGCAGCGCCGGTGAGCACGTCGACGTTGACAGAGCCAACGTCCCACACGCCTCCTGACGCTAGGAAAACCGCAAAGCGAGACGCTGCGAAGAAGAGCGCCTTGGCAGCCGCAGCACCGGCTGCAGCAACAGCAGCAATCGGCGATGCGAAAGGCGACACCGATTCTTCTGACCCAGCTCAAGGCCTGCCGAACAATGAACGTAACCAGCGAGGGCGGTTTCACGTCTCGACTGACTTGTACGCACCCCCGCATCTGGAGCGTTCGGCTTCGAAAGCGGAGTCGTCGGCGTACAGCGATGACTTCGAGGTCGGTGAGGACGATAGCGACATTTCCGCGCGTCTCGACTCACCGGCCTTCTTGCCCACGCAGCCGCGGTCACAAACGGCTGAGGCGCTGCAGCCCTCCCAGCGAAATACGTCAGCGGAGCCTACGTCAGCCACTCCGTACCGCATCCCTCCCACTTCGACACCCCTGCCTTCCGTGGCCGAACCGTCCGTAAACTACTCCCGCGGTGTGCCCAATGCTGCCACCAACTCCATGCCAGTCCAACCGAATCGTACCAACGGCCGCGCGGGTGCGACAACGCCGCGGGTGCAGTACGTAGAGCTGAGCGATGAGCAGCAGGAGCGACGTCGGGAGGGGGCCCTGGAGAAGCAGCTCCACGCGTGTCTTTACGACAAGGAGAGACAGGTGCTGGCTGTCTGCCTGCGGCGCTGGTACACGGCGATGTTTCTCCGAGCTACTGCAGACTCGACAGGGAAGCACGGCAGGGAGGTCGCCTCCCGCTCCGCACCCACACCCACATTGGCGGTCACCCATAAAGATAAAGAACCAGCAAACGAGGACGACAAGGGCGACAAGAAAAAAGAATCGAGCGTCCCTCAGGTGTCTGTGGGAGTTCTGCCTCTGGCGGAACCTGCAGAGAAGCGTCGGAAAGCGTCGGCCAGTCGTGAGAACACCTCGGCGTCTGCGCGCAGCCCTACGCCGCTCTTCACCTCGCAGATCAAGACGTACGCACATGTACACCGTACACCAGATGGTCGCGTGACTCCGGTGCGTGCACGGCGCGCGGGAGACGCAGACGGCGACAGCGGTGCCTCCTCCGAGAGTGAGGGGCAGGAGCTGGAGGTGATGCGGACGGACGTGCGGTGGGTGATGAAGCCGTCGGCCCGTGCTGCTCCCTCTTCCTCCAACTCGTCCTTCTCGTCGCTGTTCAGCGACCCCGACTATGAGGCGTTGCGGCGCACAAAGGAGCAGCTGACGGAAGCGTACCGGAAGAAGATGGCGGCGAAGGGAAAAGCGAACGTTGCGGGTGCTGGTCGACCGCATGCGCACAAGGACGCTAGCACGCAGAGCGAACAACGGGCAGAGGGAACCGGGCAGCCAAAATCGGATGATAATTCCACGTTGGTCGACACGAATACGTCTTCTACAGTACCTGCGGAGACGGCTCCTCCAGTGGACAGTGATCGCGATCACGCCACTCCGCCGTCCGCCGCGCTGCGGCACACGTTGAGGCCCGCCGCGCCCCTGTCGAACACCGTGAGCATCGACCGTGAGGAAGAACTGCGCGACGCGGCTGTGGAGGGCGTATGCGCAGTGGAAGAAGACGAGGATGATGGTAGCACCGGTGAGGCAGCGGTGCAGCCGACACAAATCAGCAACTGCAGCAACGGCGACTGTGCAGACGTAGCACGGCCGGAGTCTCCGCTGAAGGAACCGCGAGGTACGCCACCGTTCTCCGCCTCCTCGCCGTCTCCATCGTCGTTGCAGCCCAACTTCTCGCAGGCGCACTCCAGCCAATCCTTTTCCAAGGAGCCGAAGTCGCCCGTGCAGAGCCTATCCGCGTGGGAGTCCGCCCTCGAGGCGCCTGCGGCGGGCGCTAACAATTTGGTGGTCGCCAGCGCTGCCGCTGCTGCCGAGCCTGTGGTGCCCAGCGGCTTTCGTATGGAGATGCACGAGGCGCCGCGCTCCCATTCCTCGGGTGAGCCGTCCGGTGAGGACGGGTTGGCGGACGAAAGTGCGGAGGAGGGAGCTACAGAACCATTGGAACCGCAGCGTGAGCAGCAGCATTTAGCCGATGCAAAGACACCATTTCCGCCGTCGGAGACTTCCGAAGAAGGTGCGGAAGAGGAAGCGGCGAGAACGCCAATAAAGGAGAAAGGGAAGAACGCTTTGGCAGCAGCTGCGCCAGCGGCAGGAACAGCAGCGGAGGCGGCGCTACCAAATCAGATCCTTCGCGACACCACGCTCCCAACCATGAGAGACGGCGACGACGATGACGACGACGACGACAACGCGAGCGCCTCGTCGCACACCACAGAAATGAACAGAGACGTTGTTCAAGAGGAGGCAAAGAACGCAGCACCAGGCTCATCGACCTCGCACCCCACATTATCGCGCGTTAACGAGACTCCTTTCTCTTCGGCGGCATCGTCCACGTCCACTTCTACATCGTTCTCTTCGTCTCGTCCTCTTACTGTAGCCAGCGCGAGTGACGTCGAGGAGCTCGCTTCTCATCTTTCACAAGAGGCGAGGTTCCGAGTGCAGCAGATTCTTTCGGCGTGTCCTCCTTCATCGCACCCCTACTCCTCAGCAGCAGCGGCAGTACCCACTGAGCCAACTGTATCTTTGTCAGCCCCCAACGCCACGACCTCGTCATTGCCTGGAGCGCCGCACACGTCTCAGTGCAGGTCACCATTGCAGGAGCGGCGCTCCCCCAGTTCGCGCTCTTGCACCTCTCGCTCCCTGCTTTCCTACTCGCAAGGCGCACCGTCGCATCATTCTTTCCCTTCCTCCGTCCCTGCATGTGCGGGCAATCGGGATGTGCCATGCCAGGGAGAGCAGCTGCGTAGCCCGTCCTCCGCCGCTCCGTCTTCTCATTCCCTTCCACCGCAGCTGCAGCATCCGGCACGTGCGGAGAGTCGTGTGGCAACACCGTTGATGACCACCGAGGAAACGATGCTGCCTGCCCCGTCGATCGCCGAGCTGCTCTCCGCTGTGCTAGGCAGCGAGGAGACAGGCACCAGGGAGAGTGGAAGCGCTGCAGCCCTCGGCAGCGCTGAAAGCAGCTCCACGGTACCCTCTGCCGAGCACGACGCCGATCGTGAGGCGCGTCACGCGAGCCGGCGTCATCGCCCGCGTCCCACATATAAGAAGTCGCGGCTGCCCAAGACACAACTCGCCCTGCAAGTGCTGCGGGCACGCTCCACCGCGGCTGCTGCGGGCAGGCCGGCAGCCCCGTCATCACAACCGGGGGGCGACTACAACGCGGCGGTGGCGGCGGCGCCCTCCGTGACTTTCCCGGTGTCCATGTACGGCGTGCTCGGTTACAGACGTGATGCGGAGAGCGGAGCAGACCCAGACGAACTCGCGCCTCTGCATCACCCCTACGATATTTCAGATGCGACTCTCCACCGCAGCGGGCCGCAACATGAATTGTGGACTGGCGTTGGGATGCTGTACAGCCGCCTTCTCCGTGGTAGACAAGGTCTGAAGGATTCTGCCTCGGCTCCGCGGGGCCGTGCGGGTGGTGAGGCGGACGATTACTTGTCGGGCTTGCCTCAACAGGAGCGCTATGACACACCAAACGTGAGCGAACCTGCACAGCAAACGGCGAACCCAACGGAGGTGGACCACCTCCAGCCCCACCGCCAAGGGGATCGGGAGAACGACGAAGACGCAGCCCAGCAACAACGGCAGTGGGCGTCAGCGGAGGAGACATCGTCCGCCAGCGACGGGGCCGTTGGTGCGACTCCTGCGCAGCAGCGGTCCGACAGCGACCGCGTCGGCTTCTCAGAAGGCTCCTCCATCCTACCGCCCTTGACCACACACATTAAGGACCGAACAGGAAGCGCCGCGAGGACACCGTCAGCTTCCTCGCCTGCTTCCTCCGTGGCGAGGACCGGCGCTTTACTATCGAACGTGCCAGCGGCGGGCCGCACATCTTCACCCAGCGCCTTCCAGGCAGGAAGTGCAGCGTCGTCCGGACACAGCACGAACCGCAACAACGCGACTGCCTGGCAGGATGAGCGGGAGCATGCAGATTCGCTGCATGGTGCTGCGGACACCTTAGGCAACACCACACCAAGCAACGACGCGAACTCCATCGACGGAAAGGACGGCTATGCGGCAGCAGCAGCTCGAACAGGTGTGTCCGTCGACTTCCATGGCAGCGGTAAACATAAGGAGGACGACGTGCCGATGGAGGGAAGTGAGGCGGAGCGCGGAGCACAGAGTAGCAACGACAATGGAAGGCCGTCCAATGACGTTGTTGCTGCTGGGGAGACGACAATCGCCGTGCAGACGGGAACAGCCGATGGCGTCGCTCATCCAGATTTCACGTTAACGAATCAAGATGATGCCGTGGAAAGGGATGGGAGGGCGGGTGCAACTGACTTGTCAGGTGGTGCCGATGATCCCGGCCTGCCGTCTGTCCACGTACCGCTGCTATCCCCGCAGAGTGATGGCCCGTCGTCCAGTAACCCGCCACGACCAGCCAAGAGTACGCAGCGACGGAACTCGAGTGGCGTGGAGGAGTTGGCTACTACTCCTGTTGCCGAAACGCCGAGTTCAGGTGTCCTAGCGAGGTTCCCCGTGTCAAGCAACTCACTCACACCAGGAGACCATCTCCATGAGGCGGCAGCCGCACCCATTCATGTACCGCCGCTGTCACGGCCGCAGGAACTGCCGGATCAGGCGAGCGAGGTCAGCGGCACGCATCCTACAACGGGCGCTCCCACCCCCGCCTCGTCTGCTCTCCCTCGCGAGGGGGCGTCGGTGGCGTCGCTGCCGGACAGCCCGACGTGGGGCAGTGCAGCCGCAGCATCGTGGCAGCGCCATCCCGTTCCAGCAGCGATTACAACACCAACGCCTCCCCCCATGACCTCCTCGGCGGACGAATTCCTCTCGTCGGAGCCGCACCATCGCCGCCGTCCATCCCGCACACCGCGCCTTTCCGACGCGGAGGCGGACTCCGCCGTGCCCTCCTCTCCTCAGCTGGAAGAGCAGTACTTATCTATCCAGAGTGTGAGGCGTAGCGATCCGGGCCCTGTGGTGGCGGAGGGGGAGGCGGATAGATCACCCGCGGAGAGCGGAGACGCACGCGAGCCGACACAGGCGCCGCAGCAGTCGCCGCGTGCTCTTCTGAATCCTGAGGCGCAGTCTACTGCCCGACAAACGCGCTCGCCCCGCAAGGACCACCATGTGATATCTACAGCCAATCGGTTGGCATTTGGCGTGATGCCGACAACACAACCGTATTGTTACCAGGACTTGCTCAATAACGCAGCGGGAATTGGGAAGGGACTCTTTGCCGACGATGTTTCCGCGTCTTCCTTGACGTCTTACGACGCTCATCGCGGTGCTACGCCGGACTTGGTGAACAGTGCGCGACGCGTCTCTCACAGGTCGGATTCACTCAACTTTTCTTCCCCTTCAGAGTCTGACTCAACAGGAGGGGCGGCGGCAGCACGGCAGAAGGCGCGGCAGCGGAAAGAGGCATCACTGCTGCCGAGAGGGTCGGCGTCAGGGCGCTTGCGGGGCGACGCGATCGCTGCGTCCTCTGCGGGCGATCGTCTCGAGCACAGACGCGACGGCGACCGTCACCGGCACCGCTCTTCCCACCATGGCCGTCACGGCAGTCGCCACGCACAGCGGCATCCACATCCGCATGAAGAACGAAGCCCGTCCTCCCACCCAAAGCTCGATGCATCGGCCGCTGAAAGGAGAAAGAAGGGCCCCCGCCACGGTGAGGGAAGTGAACATGTGAGGAGAGAGAGGAGGCGGAGCACCCCAGTTGCGATGCCGGGCGGCACAAAGGAAGAGGTCAGGGCGGACGGAAAAGACCTGCGCACTGGTGGTCGACTGCATCGCTCTGCCTCCTCCCGGCACCGGCGTTCTTCTCGTGACAGCAGTGAGTTCACTTTCGGCAGCGAGCGTCTGCCTCAGGAGCCGCCGCCACCGCCGCCGCCGCCGCAGCAGGGTCATCATCACCATCAATACGGCAAGCGTTCACCGACGCAGTTAGATCCGGAGAAGAGCAGAGCTGCGGAGGAGAGCGAAAGCGGCATTCACGGTAAGGCATTGCGTCCCAGCAAAGACAACGCGAGAGAGGGACGGACGCTGGGTGGGCATTGTGTCGACCCCCGCGATCCGCGGTACGTCCGGCAGGAGAGTCCGCTCTCGCCCACCGTCGCCAGACTCTATCCACAGCCATCGTACGCGCCGACCCATCCGTATGAGTGGCAGCCCGCCACACGCCACCCTTTGCTCTCCGCACCGCGGAAGGATCGAGCACGCGTTGCACCGGGCAATCGGAGCTCTGCGGTACCTTCTAAAGGAGGCCTGGTCGGGTTGGTCGGCAAGCCACAAAAAGGACTTGCAAGTGAGGGGGACGGGGATGTGCCTTCCGACCGAGCCGCACGTGCGCCCGGGGGTGCGCAACACCATCATAGTCACCGCGGCCGTCCACCCCACCTCAGCAGCCGCCACCTCTCTTCCGCCCTGACGCATTCTTCTGCGTCATCCTCATTCGATAGTCGTGGCAGCAGCGGCAGTGGCAATGCTCTATCGCTCTCCCCACACGGTGGTGGTCGTGGTCGTACGCGAAAGGTTTCCGCTCAGCATGGAAGTGATCGCCTCCTGCAAGACCACCGCAAAGTGCAGCCAAGTGATGACGATAAAGGTCCGAGTGAGGCGGTGGCTAACCCATTGGCACATGGTTCGCTAACACTGACAACACAACAGGAGAGTCTTTCACACCGCAGAGGAGAGCTAGAGCGAAACCGGCGCGAAGAGCCGCACATGCAACGGCACCACCACCGTAGTCCACGTCTAGAGTCCCCTGCGCATGCGTCTTCAGAGGCTGGCGAACCGCTTCGGCAGGGCAGCGGCTGCGCTGATGCCGTCGGCGACGTGCCCACTGCTGCCCAACCAGGCGATCTCTTCTACCAAGACGACGACGGTGTGTACCACCGCATACGCGATGATAACGAGCTGCGCAGCATCCTCGCCGCCGCCGCCGCCGCTGCTGGCTCGCCTTGTGGCCCTCCTTCACATCGACCCGCCCGTCCCCTGTACGTCGTGCACTACCCCGTGCGCTCGCCTTCCCCCGGCGCGCGACGCAGCCGTTCTCCGCCGACGCAGGTGCTGCCTCGACGTGCATGGACCATCACAGACCCGAAAAGCTCGCTGGGCTGCAGCCGCCTCAACCCGTACTGTGAGACGTGCAGGATGAAGTACAACTTAATATTTGTGGACGCCAACATGCGACCGTTGCGCTGGCCGTCGCCGCAGTCTGCGGAGCTGGAGCAGATGGGCGGCTGCCGCGTCCACAGCGGCTACATCTTTGGCGAGGGCGATTCCGCCTTTACGCAGCCCGCTTCACTAGCAGAGCAGCGGGAGCGGGCGTTGTACACGCGAGAGTGGCCGGCGCTGCCGCACACCCGTCATGGTCAGCTGCTGGTGAAGGAGGAGGACTTGGACCGTCCGCTGCGCCAACTCACGCCGCCTCCACGTGGACGCTTCATCCCGGTCACGTACGAGACGCACACCGCGGCGGCGCGGCGAGATCTGCCTTCATCCTTTGTCACCTACTCCAACGGCGGTGCTGCCGCCGCGGCGGAGGCTGTGGCGAGCGCGGCGCCATCTTCCCCGCAGCGGCGAGATCCGTTGCGATCAGCGCCACGCGAGAGAGCGCCGTCAGCGGCACGAGGACCGCTGCACCAGCGGGAGGAGGATTTACGCCGCCTCTACACGGCCTCCTCCACGCCGCCTGCACCGCCACAGAGGCGGTCACCGCAGGGGAAGCCACGCTTACCGTTGCCGAGCAGCAGGGATGGAACAGGTGAAGTCGAGGGCCGCGGTCGTGCTCCTCCGGCAGACTTCTCAACCCAACGTCGACGCAGCGGAGGCGGCGGCGAGGGTGTGACCAGTGACGTGGCCGTCGACTCCGCTGCCGCTGCGGCGCAAGTGGCATCTCTGCGAAAGGAGGAGCGACGGATCAAAAAGGCGTTGAAGCAGCTTCTCTGGCGTGACTTGCCGCAGCAACGAGGAACCCCAGAGTGGGACCACTACTTGCGTTCGCTGAGCCAAGAGCTGCAACGGCAGCAGCTGCTGTAATATTTTTTTCCTTTGATACTTGTGTGCATGCTTTAAGTAGCGTCACCCGAACAACACGTTTGGCGTGGAATAGACGTAACACGGAAGCAGCTCCTTCGGGGAAGCCCCTCTCAGCTTCAAACGCGTGGGCTGATGCGGCTACAATTAGAAGGGCTTGGACAATACACCTGATTTAAAAATATATGCTAACATCGTATATCGCAGCTCTATTGCAAATAGAAAGGGAAGAGAAATCGACACCAAACGAGGGGCTTTCACGTAGGGGTTGATGAGTTCCGCAAAGACACCACATCGGTCGCGTCACAAAGTCTGATGTCGGAGATACTTGTGACGCGTGTGTTTCGAAGGATTGCAACCACCACAGCAAAGAACACCGCTGCATAGATAGACTCTTCATTCAACTGCAATTGTGAAGAATGTGGTGGATATTCTTAAATAATAAAATGCAGTGCAGCAATGTTGGCAACGCTGCGTAGATGAACCTGACTTCTCCTAACGATCCATCACCTCTCGTTCATCTCGGCATTCAACTGTCTAGCTCCGACCCCTTTCTGTTCAACCGAAGGAACATGGCGGATGTCCGTCAGTCCGACGACGCGGCAACGTGCCCACGTCTCTTCTCTGTACTGGGCGGTGCGGTGACTCGGGCATCCCTGCAGCAGCTCCAGCGTGACATCGACGTGATGATGGAGGTGCCCGACGCCCCCACCTCTACACGATCGGCGAGTCCGACCTCCCACAACGCCCCGGCAAAGCGCACCCCGAGTGTGCAGTCTTGGCGACGCGTGCTGGAGGCGTTACGAGCAGCCCGCACGAACACTGACGACGCCGATGCCAGTGCGAGCACGTCGGCAACGGATGTCCCAGCGCCGTCTGCATCGTCTGCGCCACCAACACAGCTGCTGTCTCCTCATGGGTCGGCCGCATCCGTACGTGACACCTTAGTTCATTTGTTGGGCGTCTCCACTGGTTCCGCGTTGTATCGCGAGTGTGTGGCGGCGCCGCGTCGACGCGTTCGGCATATGGTCAAGCAACTCGCTCAAGCGGTTCGCACGCAGTACCTCCGCCGTCTTTCACTGTCGGAGCCGGTGGATGTGCACGTGCAGCTGTACCCATCTGCCGCTGAGGCATCGTGCTCTGCCGTCCCGGCCGCATTGCGTGAGAACAAAGGCTTCTGTGCCGCCATTACCGTGCGCCGTCTCGCCGACCTCGCCGACGAAGCCGCAGCTGGACAGCGGCTGAAAGAGCGCTACATGAACGTTGCGGCGCAAGGGCAGACGCTGGCCAGCGCATTGGCATTCTGGGCGGACGTCTCGTATGGCGATGCGCCACCGGCTGCGCTGGCCGAGTATCCCCCGTTGGGGTTTGAAGCAGAGGATTCGGTGAATGGGGCAGCGCCGCTGACCCGCACAGGCACCACCATGAGTACAACAGAGGATGATGGGCGGCGGTTGGGCCAGAAAGCAACGCGGCCAACACGCGTGGGAGAGGAAGAGGCGGGAGACGAGGTCGCGAGTTCATCGTTGCTGCTGGGGCTACCGGAGCGGAGACAGCAACTCGTTCCCGACCCGTCAGGGCGTCCAACCTGGATGCAGCCGAGCCTTCTCTCGTCGCCCTCCACGGCAGCAAAAGGGGGGAGGTCAAGCGCCGACAGCCGGCAAGGGGCGGCACTGCCACACCTGTCCTACTCCCCAGTCGGCTTGGTGGCGGTGTTGTATGTGCACAGCTCCGGCGTGGCCTATGTGGGCTACCCGCCTGCGCCGCAGGGGAGAGAGGAGGATTCTGAGGCGGACACGTCGTCACTTCCCACCGCGGTGACACCGATCGTTGCGGCTAGGCCGCCTCTTGTGTGCACGTTGCCGATGCTCTCGTCTACGGGCTTCACGCGAAGCCTCTTAGGACTCAGCTAGAGTAACGGGCGAATAAAAGGGAAAATCCCCCTCACTGACGGGTCCCATTTACATGCATTAGAAGAAGGAGTAACAGAGAAAACGACGGGGCGCAGTGCATTTTTTCCTTCGTTTTTGCGCTCCTTTCCTTTAGCTGAATGAAGTGAGAATTGCGGATGACGTGTGGTTCGACGGCCGCACTCTCGACTCTCGTCGCAGATAGGTGCCACGCCAAGCTGACCACCCCCTTCCGTTGTCTCCTACGGTCGCTCGATTTGCTCCTTCTCTTCACGCCCCTTTTCATCCTCCCCTCGTCGCCTTTGACGCCGACTACACCCCGCGCTGCGTCGCTGTCGTCGTACTCCGTCAGAGTTTTTTTCAACTGCATTTCTGCCTTCATCCTTCTACATATTTTTTTTTTCATTCGTGTTTTCATCGACATCGTTCAGCAAACAAACAAACAAGCACACCCCCTCCCTTTTCACCATTCTTCACCACGCAACCATGGCTATGTCTGGCGTCACTCTGGCGGACAACGTCCGCGGCGCAATCAGCGACCTCCGCATGAAGAAGAGCCGCTACGTCGTCCTGAGCATCGGGGCGGATGGCAAGAAGATCGAGGTGACGGAGATCGGCCAGCGCGACGTGTCCTACACGGACTTCACGGCCAAGTTCTCGCCCGAGAAGCCGTGCTACGCCGCCTTCGATTTCGAGTACGACGACGGCGGTGCGAACCGCGAAAAGCTTATCCTCATTCAGTGGATTCCTGACACCGCAAAGCCGCGTGAGAAGATGATGTACAGCGCCAGCCGCGATGCGCTGAACGCCGTGTCGGAAGGCTACCTCCCCATCCAGGCGAACGACGCCTCGGAGCTGGCGGCGGCGGAGGTCGTGCGCAAGGTGAAGTCTCATCGCACCGCTTAAGAAGGATAACAAAGAAAAAGAAGGCAATGCCGAGAGGAACGAAGGGGCGGAAGGAGCAACGTGGGAAAATGAATGAGAAAAGGACTTGCTGGTCGCACATCGAAGTAGAAGCGCACACGACTTCTCAAGCGCGCTTCAAAGGCGGAAGATGGCCGGCGGCTGCACAGGATCCTGTGGTATAGTGTTTTTAGATGCTATACAACACATTGACCGGGTCTGATCGGAAGAGAAGGGGGTGGAGTACAAGGCACCTCAAACGCCGCGCACAGGCGCATATGTTTTTCTTCCAATTTCTTTAGAAACGAAGAAAAGACACAAAGTAATGTACGTTCTCTTGGGGAAACATTTGCAGGTGCGGTGAGATGTGCATAGTACGTGTCGGTGGAGGTTTCTCGTAGGCGGTTGTGGCGAAAAGAGTGAGTACGCAGACGCAGAAGCTAGAACCAAACCCCCCCCCCCCAAAAAAAAAAAATAGCGCATACACGATGGTGCGCAGTCAATCGCACGCACTATATTTTACTATTACTGCCTTTTCTTTCTCTGCAGTTTAGAGTGCGTGTGTGATGGGGGACTTCCGCGTTTCGTTCCAATCTTTTATCGCCTGCTTTTTGGAGACGTGCTCCGCCGTCAACGCGCGTGTGCATCGTCTCGCTCGACAATTTGTTGTGCTGATGAAACTCCCTTTTCTCTGCTGTCGAAAGGGTGCTTCTTTGTCGTGAGTTTTTCTTGTTTTGCCTCCAGACGCAGAGACGCAATGCGAATGTGTCGTATACCGTTTTCTTTTCTTTTCTTTCCTGTTTTCTTTTGGAGGTATCGATGCCCGTATCTGCGCAGCTTCATTGTGCGAGAAACACAGTTGCTTCTGTTCGTGGTGCATTTCTTTATGGTTTGCTGATGCGTAGTCGACTGCAAAGGAGGGAAAACCGCCGTGTCAGCGGAAACATTTTTTTTTTTCTGGATGGAGTGCAAATACAAAGCGGAGTGCTGCTGAACGATCCTCAAGTGTAGTCGCATCTTTCTCTCTCTGTTAGTAGCGCCCTTCCTTTTCTCTTTCTTGGCTCCTTTCAATCGCCTTTCCCGTTGTCTTTATATATTATTCCCTTTTGTCTATTTTCGGCGAAGTATTTTTATTGCACACGAGAGGAGCTGGCGGGTGTGCAGGCGTCGCTTGTGTGTGTGTGCGGCCACCGACGGCGTCTCCCTCTTCACCACCCTCCCCCCCTTCCTCCTCTCTGCTGTCTTGATATCTCAGAAAATGAGGCAAAAGACACTCTCCAAAAAAGATTCAACAGCAGACACGAGTACACAAGTTTATATATATATATATTTTTTCTATAGAGAGAGAGAATCAAGCGAAAGAAGAGAAATCTGAATTTTAAAAAGGAAAGAAGAAAGCGGTGAAACCTTTTCTTTCTCATTCATCGTTTACGTCCCTCTTCTTTCGGTATCCGTTTTATCCGCGAGGACCTTGCCACCACAACGGAAGCAACCCGCGAAGCAGTCTTCGTTTGGTGACACGGCAGTGAAAAAAGATAAAAAAACATCTAACAGCAACGGCAGGAGCGCGTTGATCGATCTGGCAACAAACTGAATGATCTCATTTATTTATTTGTGGTACACATTTGCTGAGCGAGATCGCAGGCGCTGCACAGCTGGCCAGCTCGTCACAGCGTGCAAGGGCAGTGAATTGCCGGTGCTTCTGATCCCAGCGAAGAGTTGCCGCACGCGTTTCACTTCGTTTTCACCGAAGTGCATGCGGAAGCGCTAATGAGGCGAAGTCCATTAAAAGGGAATGGATTAAAACGAGGGTGCACGACGCTGCACGGCCAAACGCACATCGAAACATTCTTCTCCTCTTGCCTTCTTCTTTTTTTTCTCTCTCGCTGATTTTTTCTCATCGACTTTTTCTATTGCGTCATCACCAACGTGGTGTCTTGCCTTCTTCAAAAAAAAAAACCCAACACCTTTTGATTACTGCAAACACACCCACACTTATGCAAACAGAATCGCTATTAAGTAATTACTGTAATCCGCCTTACGGTTACTTACTCTGTAGAGGCGCACAACCGCGTAGGAGAACAAGAAAATAAGTTTCCACATCGGCACGAGGGGGCTTGAAGTGCCTTTTTTTTTCTAGTGTGTGTCTGTGGCAACTGCTCGGTTCACCTTCCTCTCGCTTTTACCTCCGCAGTTTCCTTGTGACCGTTGGCAGCACCGCGCACTTTCTGAAAGCAAAGAAACGGCTCTGTTTTCCCGCCCTTTACGGTCATAATAGCGTGTTCCTGTACACGCAGCGTATGCAGTGCCTTGAAGTTGTGCGTGTGCTGCGTCTTCGTCCTCTCTCTTCTCTTTTTTCTTTTACGTTTCGAATTATTCGCGCGAAGAGGAGGAGCGCGCCTAATTAGCTTCGTATCGACATACAATCACGCCGCGCACGTGGGTGTACCCGCTGCACGTGCCAAAAAGAGGAAGAGAAGAGAGAAACGTACATTATTTTTCGGCCTGAGAGTTCTCAGCCGCGTGCAGCTCCTCTGCCATTTTCGCTGATTTCCGTTTCGTCTTGTCTTGTCTTTTTTTTTCCACTTCTCAAATATAAAAGGCTGTGTTTGCACGACCTCACACGAGCACAAGCACAAGCACACACGACGCTGTGTGTGTTGGATGTGTTTCCTAATCCTGTATCCACGCGACTGAAAAACTGCGGTGCTTTTATGGATTTCTTTCTTCTTGGTTTCTTCTGAAAAGTAAAATAAAACCCCACACAGCTTGAGCTGAGGACCTTTTTTAATTTCTGTACTTTTCGCGCTCCTTCAAAAACAGCCTCTTTTTTTTCCCGTTGTGTTCGCTGGGGTGTACTGAAGAAAAAAACAAAAAACCGCAGAAGATATTTTACTCAATCGTTTCTTTTGTTTAGTTGTGTTCTTGTTTCCCCTCCCCCTCCTCCCTTTACTAGTCACACCGCACTTTTCAGTTCTTCGGTACCCCTTCTCTGTCTCCGTAAGCTAACGTCATATCTTTCTGTATGTGTTTTCTGTATTCTTTTTCTAGTTTCAGCTCTTTAACTTCCTTTTTCTTTTGTTTTCTTTGAAACGTGAGCTCTGTCCAGTGTTGTGCCCTTCACCCGCTCCTTACTTGTTGTCCTCGGCGGCCACCGCTGGCGCATTATTCCCCCTTCTGTCCTTCTTTTGTATTTGGCTTTTTTTTTTACGTGTGCGTGCTGTAACGACTTCTTTTTCTCTCTTGTGTTTTTCTTATCTGTTCAACTTTTGTACAGTTGGGTGCAATAACGGACGTTCGCGTTCTTCTTTCTGTTTCACCCCCATTTCCTTTTGGTAGATTCTCCCGCAAATTCCACGGGTTTGCTAAAGTGTTGTGACGGCAACGGCGCCGGAACGAGGCGACACCGCGCAACTCCACTTCCACTAATATCGTTTTCCGCCGCTGTACAGCTTCGGTAACCGAAGCTTTTTTTTTGGGTTTTGGTTTGTTGTTTCGTGCCCTTTCTGTTGTTCTTTTTCTCTTCTCTTTCCTTCTCTTCTTCATTAACGACACCCACGCAGAGTGGAGCCCTCTCCGCTCCTGTGCTCGCCATTTTACTGCGACGACTCATTTCCCCTCATTTTTGTGGACGTCGAGATCAAAAAGAAATCCTTTAGATATATTTTTTTCTGTCTTGAGTGGAACGAAGTTGAATAGCTCTCTTTCTTGTTCCCCCCCCCTGTATTACAATCGTGCGGTGACCGTTGTCAACGGTAGTGCTAGCCACATAAACAGGAAAAAGCGAAGCTGTTTTGGACAAGAAACGTATACACATAGAACACGACGAAGAACTCAATAATATATAAAGAAAGAAAGAAAGCGCAGCCGAGCTGCATCCAAATCGACACGGAAGTTTCTCCCTTGCCGATATACGTTTATCTCCTTCAACATCGCCTCGTTGCGTCTCATCTGTCTCGCATATACGGGCACCCGACTGGAATTTTTTTTGTTTTGCTTGAATCGTTGCAGATAGTCCCTGTTCTTTGGCTTCTCGCATCGCCTACCAGATAGTCCTAAAAGAAAGAAAAAATAGCACTAACAAGTACGTCTGTCGTATCAGGCGTTGGAGCAGGACAGAGACCCTCTGAGCTAACACGGCGCAGTTGAAGACGCTTTGAAATAAAGGAGTGTCTTCCTTCTTGTTTTGCTTTTTCTTTAAAACTTGTTCTTTCCCGCGTGTTTTGGAAGTTTATCCGGTGTTGTTGTGAACCCCCCGCCCCCCAAACCGAAGAAGCACTTTTTTCTTTGACGGCTTCCCGCTGCTACTTTCTACCTGTACTTTGGTTTCTGTTTCCGGTAATAATTCACTGACGCTGACCGCAACGTGCGCTTGTGTGCTTCTCCTTTTTCTTTCTTTCTCTTCTGCTGCTGTTTTCGGCACTAGGGTTGTGTTGTTCCTTCGTGGGGCATCTCGTGTCCAATAGGTTTCTCTGCCTGTCCTTATAATCCTCCCTGTCATCAGATTTCTACTTTATTGTGTCAGCCGTTTTGCTCTGTTTTTATTTCGTGGGTGCGTTGCGGCAAGAAAGAAATCAGTCGGCGTCTGCGTGCGCACTTCGCCCCGCCTTTTTCTTCTTAAAATCGTCTTTTCGGAGGCCGCGTTGTTCCTTTACTTTTTCTTTTCCTTTTGCGTTCTGTGAGCGACACTTGACGTGAAAGTGTGGACGCCGCCACCGTCGCCGAAGATCTGAGCTGATACTTCGGGTGGCATGCTCCCCTCTTTTCAGCACTTCGCGCAGGACGGCGCACGCAGTCTGAGCTCCAACGTTAATTTCGCCTGCCTGCGTCCTCCACACTGCTACGAAGACTCGCTTTCCTCCGGAACAGCAGGGCGCACGATTGTCGTGGAAGATCGGCCGTCGCCGGCTGCACTTCTCTGCATTTCGGTGCCGCTGCCGATGAAGGCTGCGAAAGAAGACATGCAGTTCTTGACGGCGGAGCGAGAGGTCGCGGGGCTCGTTCGCAGCCCTGCCAGTCGGTGCGCTCCTCGAAGAAAGCTCGATCAGGTCAGCAGCTCCGCGGAGTTTCCGATCAGTGATGCCACACGGTACTTAGACCTGTGCAGTGACACATCGGCGGCAGAGAAGGACGAGGGTGACACGGACAGCCGCAATGAATTTGACTGCACCTCCATCAGCAACGCCTGCGACACGAGTGTGAACACGTCCGTTGCTGCGTCGCGGCAGGCCGGCTGGGGCGTTGTGTGGATGCACGTGTTTCCGCAGCACATCGCCGGTTTTCTCACTGTGCGAGACGTGGTAGAGGTGTCGGCGGTGTGCCGCACGGCGCAGGAGGCGGTGCGGCAGCCGTGGGTGTGGCGCTCGCTGGCAGCCTACCACTACGCCGTGCACCCCGTCAGCGTCGAGCGCGTCTTCTACGCCGCTGCGCAGGAGTGGTCGACGGACGTGGCGGCAGCCGGAGGGTACGACAGCGACGTCTATCAACGGCCAACACGGCTCATTGCGTGTGAGCAGCTCGTGGCCTCCACTTCCCCCGTTCTACGCCAACCCCAGCTGACACCGCGACCACAACAAAACATTGAGGAGGACGCGCAGGCGTCGACAATGTCGACTGCGACTGCACCGTGGCTGATGGGCGACAATGCTGGGACCTCGGCTGCAGAAGACGCCGTGGAGGTCGGCGAGGAGGAGGCAGACAACTCTAGTAACGACGGCGAAGGCCCGGATTGGGAGTTCCCCTCTACGCAACCACCACGGACCACCCGCGAGGAGGACAACGATTTCATAGAGACAATGGAGGAAGAAACAGCGGAGAGATCAGCGGTGATGGCCATCGCGCCTTCCAGCACCACAACGGATGCCGCCACCACGGATGCTTCCATTGCTGCTGCTGCTGCTGCTGCTCAGTTGGCTCCCCGCACATCGCTGGCCTCCGGCTCCCGCTATCTCTGGCAGACCACCGCCGCCGCAATGCCGTCCCCCTCAAGCCCCATCTCCTCCCCACTTCCCGAGGGTGCGGGTGAGGAGGACAACGCTCTCTATCCTTCTGCGACGGTCGGTGTTGTTGTGCACAGAACGTTGATGCCTTCACCGCAGCTGATGGCTGGTTCTGGTAGCCCCGTAACCGGCGCGAATTCTCTTAGCGGGCTGACTTCTCCTCGTTCTCCTGCCGCCGCCGTTGCTGCTGCTGCTGCTGTTAACGGTACATTGTGTGCAACCCCAATCGCATTGACGCATTCGCAAAGGTCAACGCCACTCACGCCCCCGCTTCCCGTATACACTACTATTGCGACGTGTGCGGACGGACCCACCTCAGCCGTTGAGCAAAGGGGCGGCGCGGGAGATAAGTGCCTGGCATCCAGTCGGACAGCAGTACGCGAGGAACTGCCGCCGCCCTCGCCGGCGCAGCTGGACAGCTCGTCTACGGAAGGCATCCTCTTTCATCCGGAGGAGAAGGGAGGCGAGGACGCGATGACGCAGTCGACGCCTTTTTCGTCCCCTACGCTGCTCTGTCAGCCCTCCTACACGCTTGGGGTGACCAACAACGTGCCTGTGGCCAACGCGGACGGCGGCGTGGCTTCCCCTGCTTCGTCTGCTGCTGCTGCTGCTGCGCCTTCTTCTCCTGCTGCCTCTTCCCCTGCCGTCGTGCCGATGTGCTGCTACACGCTCTGCCGCGCCACCGCCGAGCGCACGCTGCTCCACCGCAAGCCAAACTTTCCGTGGTACTGCTTTAGCCGCTACCTCTATGCCAACCGCGTCCAGGCAAGCATGTCGCGCTGGGTGGAGCTGTCGAGGCGTGCACGTGCGGAGTTGTGTCGCGGTGCGTGGGACGCCGCCTACGGCAGTCTCAGCCACATCATCCACGACCTCCTTCAGCAGGGCAGCTGCCGCGGGGTGGAGCACCTCCTCCTCCTGGCCCAGACATTGGTACGTCGCGCCTCTCTCTGCTGCCATCGCGGACACGTGCACCTCCTCGCCGCCTTCACCGACTTCTGCACGGCGGCGCTGCTGTGCCCGGACAGCGTGGCGCCGTCTGACATGACGGAGCTGTGCGCACGGGAGGGGCTCTCAACCTTGTCGCCCGAGGCGTGGATGCGGTCCTACGAGGACGCCGCCCAGATCGCCTCGCCCGTTGTGCTGCTGGGGACATTGGCGCAGGTGCCGTTTTTGTTTCCTCAGCACCGCATCCTGTGTCTCTGCGGCTGTCTCGCGGCGTACATGCGGGCCTACCGCGTCTCCGGGCAGTCCCTCCACCATTTGTTGTGCCGTGCAGCGGAGTGGGCCACGCCGGGCACGGTGGAGGAGTTGCTCGTGCGAGCGCTGCGAGAGGTGGCGCAGGCGCAGCAGTACCCGCAGCACGCCTCTGCCTTGTACGTCCGCAAGGCGTGTGCGACGGCGGACTACGCCCTCTCCCTCATGCCGCTGCAGGTGCGGACGGCGGTGGACGCGCTGACAAGTGCGTGGGTACGGGACTGCTTCAGCACCGAGGCTGCCGTGTACGGCGCGGCCATGACGCAGTGGGCAGCACGGGCCCCCGAGGCCGCCGAGTTTGCGGGCACGACGGCGCTGGACGTGCGCTGGCTTGCGTGGCTCACCTACGAAGTGCAGACCTTTGTGTACAAGGAACTGACGGACAAACCGCCCGTGAGAGCAGCACTCGCTAGCGTTTTGTTGGCCTTGACCGCACACGATCGCGCAGACGGCCTCGTGCGCATCGCAGCCCAGTACGCGAACTACGAAACACGCACCGAGGACCTCGTCCCCCCGCTACCACGCCACGCTGACCGACGTCGCGTCACGCAGCACCTGTTGCATAATGCGTTGCATCTAAGTCCTCTGCACTCCTCGGCGGCGCTGCTTCTGTCACGCGTGTACGCCGTCGCGGAGGACGAGGAGGGCGAGGCGGAGGGCGGCGCGTCGATGGCCAGCGCGGTCTTGACCGACTGCATCCATCGCTGGGCCAGGCGCTTCAGTCTGCTGGAGCTGGGCAGCCCCTCTACCCGTCTCACCGCCACTGCTGTCACCGCGGCGGGCTCCACTGTACCCTATTTGCACCGTCGCGAGCGCAGCCCTGAGGTGTGCTTTATCCCGTCGGAGTTGCTGGTGGAGCGTAATGGCTGTCTGCACATGGTGGCTGACCTTGCTGAGGCAACGGAGCAGCACCAAGGCCTCTCTTACCCGTATCAGATGCGTGCGGCGATGGCCATGGATCGCGGCTACCACCTCGCGGCCATACTCGAGATGGGCCGCATCATAAAGCTATCACTCGACGTCAACGATGTCGCGCTGCGCGTGCGGTTTTTGCAGGACGCGACGGAGCTGCCGTCAACGCGAGCTTCACTAGTGGCAGATGAGGCGTCAGCTGCCGCCCTCACACCGACCCAGTCCTTCCCAGCTTCTTCACTCAGTGCGTCCTTCGAGAGCTCTGTGCGGGTGCAGGACGCTTCTTCGCCTGCGCTGTCCCTCGCGTCCCCTCCGTCGCCCTCGCTGGGGAGCGCACCGCCGCTGCGATCGACGCACCGTGCGTGTCTGGCGAGGATGTCCGGCCTTCTGACGCTACTGCATCCGCCCGAGGCTTTTCTTCGAGAAGAGTGTGAAGGCGACAGCACCGGCCTCGTGGGCGCGTTCGGAGGAAGCCAGTCGTGCAGTCGCCTGCTGTTTTCGCGCGAGCTGCCGTCGATGGCGACGCGCGAGTTGGGCAACGATCATGTATCTCGTGTGGCGAGTATGGCTTTCAGTGAGGCAGAGGGCGACGTTGTGCTGCCGAATGGTGTTAGCGCTGTGAATGCCGCACATGTTCGTGCGTTCTTGGAGGATCTTCTGAGCTGTACGAATGATGCTCCTGGAAGTGTAAGTTAGCAGACGTTGACGCGCTCCCCCACCCCCTCCCACATATGTCAACGGTTCTCAAAAAAATGAGAAGTTCAGTTGTTTATGTGGGCTTTCATAGTTCGTTTTTGCGTTTTCCTCGAAAAGCTTGCTTTACACACGGACGTACACCCTGAGATCACCGCACCTGTGCGCACCCGGCCAGCGCCGCGCGTCGCCTGTTTCTTTTCCCTTTCTTCGCATGTCGGTGTGTACGCGAAACACCTAATAAAATTACATGTTTTTTTTTATACCCCTCGTCACGCGAGTGATTACATCTTTCTTCTGTTGGTAGTCTTTCTAAACTCTCTTTGCATTAACACTTTGCTGGTCTTTTTCATCGGATTGCTTCATTCTACTTTTTTAAAATATACATATCTTCTGTCTCGCCTACTATGTATAATTGCTATTTGTCCTTTCCATTTGTTTCTGTACGGCTGATTGCTTTCTTCTTTCGTTTCTGGACTGTTTGCTGTGATTGCCTCGGAGGTGAGAGAACTCTTGTTGTGCGGCTCTCACCTCTCCTTTGTTTATTCAACACACACACACGCACATATATATATATATATATACAAATATAAATTCTCTTGAGTGCTGTGATTATTATATAAGAGGCAAAACTGCCTACATGCTTGATGCTTGTTTCTTTCATCGTTTTTCTCCTTTTGTTCTTCTCTTTACCACTTAACCTGTACGTTGCTTCCTTTTGTTTTGATTTGCTGGACGGTACTTGTCTTACTAACGCGACTGCCAGCGCGTATCTCTTTGCTTTTGTCGATGCTTGTATTTCGTCCTTTCTATTTTAATGTCTATGCTTGTAAGTTTTTTTCTTTTAATGCTTTGTGTCTTCTTCTATCGATTACGCTGTACTTTAACTTCTCGTGCGTGGAGTATATATACATATATATATATGTTCTCCTTCGTTTTACTGTCGATTCGTTTGCTGTTTTTGTTGTCCCCATGCTTGTCCCCCCCGCCCTCCCTGTGGAGCCGTTTATATATATATATATATATATATATATATATATATATTACATACATTGCCTATTGTCTTGTAGAGATCCCTTTCTTCTCTTCTTTCTTCTCGTCGTTGCCGATAAACAAATACCCAGAAAACCTAATACGCGTGTTAAGAGGGCGGAGGGGCGAAGACAGTCTCCGGCGAAAAGTCTTCGGATGTCTTTCTTTGAATTATGTAAATGCTGTACTAACTAAAAAAAAAGTCGACATCACCAAACACTCTACCACTGGCCATACCCTCAGCAGCAGAGTGCTGCACTCGCCTTCGCACAAAGGCCTCCTTTTCTGTTTCTCCCCGTTCTCTTACTTTGCCGTTCGTTGTCGTTGGTGTGTGTGTGTGTGTGTGTAGAAGCGAGATGCAACGGGGTGTTGGAACCGTAGGTGTATCTTGCCTTCCGGTAGCTCGCAGATGCGTCTCTTGCTCCGGTGACTACATGCGAATTGCGCGCCCTTCACGGCGAAGATGGAAAAGAAGCTTTAAGCGAATACGTGGGAAAGCAAGAGAAGATGGGCGATTCCCTTCTTTTTTTTTCTGGTAGAACTCGAGTTATTATTGCTACTAACTGCAGTTGTTCTGGTGCTTGAAGGACGAAGCGCCACAGAAGGGCAAAAACACTGCCGCAGTACAAGAGTCTTTTTTTTCTCCTTCTTTCTTCATTGCTTTCAGAATGCTGGGGCGTGTGCCTTTTCCTCCTGCATTACGCGTCACCAGGAGTCTACCCTATATATATATATATATATTATTTGTGTGTGCTTTGGTTTACGGATCGTGTTTTTCGTTCCTTCTCTTCTCTCCCCACCCCCTTCGTTCATAAAAGAAAAGGAGGGAGAGCAGGCTGTAGCTGTAAACCCTTTCGCTGTGAATGCTGATTGTTTATGCGAGAAGCTTTTATAGGCGTTGTGTTTACGGATGATTATTTTTATTGTCGATCGACGCTCTCTTTTTTTTTTCTTCTTTCTTTCTTGGGTTTTCCTCTTTGAAGCTCACGCGAAGTTATCAGAAAGCTTTTTGCGTATTCGTCCGCTCAATGTAGGTTGCATGAGAGTTTGCGATGAGAGACCGGAAAGGCAGGCGCTGCGCTTTGATTCTCCAGCTAGCTTTTAAGTGCCCCCACCGGTAGCAACAGGCTTCTGTGATGCGGCTCTACTCGGAAGGCAGGAGTGTGAGCTGCCCTTTTTCATTCGTGGGGGGTGTTCTGGTACTTAACCGTCATTAACGTTGTCGCCACAAAGGTGGCACCGCCGACGCGGTAGTGTGCTATTCTTGCTCTGTCAATACTCGTGAGACATTGAAAGCGAAAAGAAAAAACGAAAAGGCATGATGTGTGGCTTTACAACGGCGCATCAACAGCAACATCGCAGAGCCAGAAAAAGAAATCGGCGTGCTGTATCACCCAAGTTGCCTGTTGAAACGGCACTTCAAAAACAGCTGGAGTCTTTTGTTTTTCTGCGAGTTGTAAGTGCGTGTTTTCTTCCTCGGAATCGACTTTTTCTTTATTTCATCTCTTTCCTCTTTCCTCGCCTCTTCTCGTATTCTTCGTGCCTCGGTGTCGTCTCATTGCGCACGCGTGGCCGCCTTTTTTTCTTCTTTCTTCTTTCTTCTTTCTTCTCTCTTTTCTCTGTTGCGTACCTCGACTGCGCTTCGTTCTGCTGGGACCGAATCACATCTTGTAAATATATATTCTGTGCGCATGTGATGGTGGTTTCCGTCAACTTCGAAACATCCATACCGTCTTCGAACCCTCTCCCTTCATAAATCTATCTATGAGTGTACAACTGAACGTAAGGAGCTGTTCGGGAGTAACCATCAACTTTATATATACATATATATACATAATAGGTAGCATTCGTCAAAACTCCCCTGCTGTGTCGTCGGTGGACCACAGCAGCGCAAATAGCTGGAATAACTGTCCCTGCACGATCATCTATTCTTGTTAATTTTTTCGTTTCTATCGCCGTTTTTTTTTCTTTTCTGCGCAGGCGCTTCTTTCTCTTCAACGTGCCTGCGCAAACACCCCAGTCGTAGTGCGCGTTGTTGTGTGCATCTCTCTTTTTTTCTTTTCTGTTCTCTTCTGCTTGCGCTGAGGCGGTCGGCCGTGCACGGGGAGAGGAGCGCATTGCATAGAGGATAAAGGAAGCGTAGGCACTCTCTTTCCCTTTTTCTTTCTTTTTTTTTAAATAGGAATTACGGCATCTGAGTTCGTGGCGACGCTTCTACAGGTGTGTATATTTATTTTTTCTCTTCATGCTTGAGGCAAGTTAGCGGAAGAGTGACGTATCGTAGGAAATTAATTCCCGGCATTCTTCTCTCGTCGCCTTTGAACTGTAGTAGCATCGCAAAGTAAGGAGGCAAACCGACAGCAGCGCTTCGGCCTGTCGGGAAGGAAAGCCTTTTTTTCTTCTTCTAGTACCGCCGTTGCCGTTCCGTTGTTGTGCGTCGTCTTGTAGTAGAACAATATCAAAAAGCAAACAAACCAGCAAACTCAAAAAAGGACTTTTGTTCTTGTCTCGCGAAGACGAGATAGTGCCAGGGGGTGTAAGAAGAACATAGAATTTTATCCCCCCCCTCCCCCAACCTCTCCATAGTGTCAATCGTCCTTTACGCAAAAGTCTCTCCGAGAACACGATATAATTCTGCTTTCATTTCTTGTTTTTAGAACTCGGGGAGAGGACGTGTCTTTTGCCGTTTGTCTTCTTTTTTTTGTTTTTTTTTTTCGCTCGGTAGATTTCCGGCATTATTCTTTCTTTTGCTTGCTGTTTTGTGAGTATTCGGTGCTCCGCGACGCTCTCCAGGAAGAGAGGCGCACATCTTTTTTCTCCTCCCGCACTGACGACAGCGTTTCGGGTTTCGGGGCGGAGACGAGCCTTCTCGCTCTCTTTCTCAAGTGCAGGCAAGTCCTGTGCGTGCTCTTCCTCCTCTTCCGTGTCGAGCCACCTGCACCGTTGCTGCGATGTTTTCTAGAGGCGTAAACGACGATGTTCTCCGCAGCGAGGGGCACAACGTCCCGAAGCCGATGACGGACGTCGAGCGCGAGAATGCGGAGCCGTACCGAATGAAGTACTGGTACAGCTTTGTTGACCCAGCCCACAAGAACACCTCCCGCCCCATCGTAGACGTCTCCGCGCCCTTCAACCTATTGGACGAAACCCACCAGGCCCGCCGGTTTGGTATGCAAAAGCTAGGCCTCAACTTCCTCTCGTTAAACGAGTTCATTGGCACGCGCGAGGATGTCCCGTATACGGAGAGCCACCACACGAGCGAGATTGTGCGCCTCTGGCTGGCAGGGTTGAACGTGTGGTGGTGCAACTACTACATCGCGCGTGGGCAGGTCTCCGGCAACGCCGTCGGAAACCCTCGTACGCGCTTTGCGTGGCTGATGGTCCTTTGCCTCGGTATTCTTCGTGTGAACGTCGCGGGTTTGGTGGGCGCCGGCGGCTACTTCTACTCCTACGAGTACCTCTACACGCACGGCCCGGCGTTGTTCAAAATACGCGATCCAACTCCGAACGGGTGGAAGCGTGCGTGGGACGAGGGGCAGACTAGTTACCTGGCCCGCTGCGTGGCGAGCATCTTCCCTCCGCTGGGCTACGCCGTCTTCATGGGCCGCTGGAAGAAAACGGGCTTCTGGTTCGCCTTGACGCTTGGCACCAGTCTCTACTACGAGTACGCCCGCCAGAACGTTCTGGCCGGCACACGGCTCTTCTACAACTACCTGGCGAACCAAGAGGCGGAACGACAGGCCGCCTGGGGTTCGCTGGCGCCGCGGCTGAAGCATCGCATAGACCCCGACACCAACCGCAGCGAGTCGGTAGCGCAGTTCAGGTACTTCCGCCTCACCTCAGGTACTTTGCAGAACACGGTGTGGGAGAACTGCACACACGAGACGCAGCCGCTGGCCCGCAACGGCATTAAGATTCCGAACCCATACTTTAATTGGGCAAAGGCACCGCAGAACTACAACCCGAAGCCGTGGAAGGTGAAAAACGATATGTGGGAGATGCCGCAGGTGGTGGACACGAACATGCGCAGCGGTACGATGGACTAAGAACGGAGCAACAAAAGCGAAGGCTACAAATACCGTTTTTCTTCACTTCTATCTCCTCTAGGTGGGAGGGGGGATACTCCCGATGCAAGCGAGCCTGCCGCCACTATCACAAAACCGCGTTCTCCCCAGCGTTGCCACCTCAGAGCTCCGAGGGAGCGTGTCGAAGCAGCGAAGTTGGTGATGCGGAGGAGGGACAAGAAAATTAGTGGCTGAAGTACGACACATTTTGTGCCTCCTCTGGAGCGACGATGAGCCTGTCCTTTTTTCTTTGTATTTGCGTGTGTGCTACTGCGCGTAACGTTCAATTGGTCTACGCCTCCTTTTTCTTTTCTTTTCTTCTCTTCTCTTCCCCCTCCCCCTCTCCTTCAGGAGACACGTGAGAGTAAAGGAATGTGTGGTGAGACGCGTTCCGCTAAGTTTCTGGTGTGCGCTGGTAGCTGCGTTACCGTGTGTTTTTTTTTTTGATTTGCGGTGTCGGTGTCGGTGTTGGTGATGTGGAGCATCTCTTCTTCTCTTTTTTTCCCCACTGTTGTAAATGCGGTTTGCACACAATTGTTGGCCTTTCTCTTTTTCCCTCGTTTTCATTTTTCGCTTACGCTTGCGGTGTTTTACCTTTGTATGTAGTGCTTTCATTTAGTCGTTAGTGAAGCAGTCAGACCGAACGAAGAGGTCAAAATAATAATAATAATAACAATAATAAATGGAGAAGGAGGGTGGAAGAAAGCGATAAGGGCGCGGGACTCTGATCCATTGCCATGAAATGAACCAATGCACGTGCGGCACATCGTAGGGTGTAAGAACCACGCACTGCTCCCGTTGGCACGGGGGAGGGGGAGGGCATCTCCTTAAAAAAAAAACATCGACGCAGTCAGTGACCTCATCTTTAATTATGGTCTCTTCCCTCATAGGAGGTGAGTCATCGCTACTGCGGGTGTCTTGCATTTGGCGTCGTCCGAAGAAGTCGTAAACGCATACACACACACGCACACATTATTTGCTGTTGTGTTTCAGAGCTACTACTCGTAGAGATGCCGGGGCTGCCGGTACAACGGTGACACGCCTCTTCTTTTATTTTATTTCTCTTCTCCCTCTCGAATGTGGCGTAGTGATGTGACTGCCGTTTGTCCGCTTTTCGTGTCCTCCATCTTGTGTGCCTTTTCTCTCTATCCCTCCCTCCGTTGAGAAGAGGGGCAATACAATACGAAGGGCATCACTCCGCAGACTATTTGTGCGTTGACACTTGTGGGCAGCGCAGAAGCTGCATAAATAGCAGTGACCGATCATGCCGAATGTGAGCGGGGAGGCGCGGCAGCGTAACGGCCTCGCGGTTCAGCGCATGTTCCACCGCGACGCCGATCAGCGCGCACGCACCGGTGCCTTTCTCACACGTGAGCGGGCAGCTCAGTCAACTCGGCATTCCTCCAGCGGCCACTACGACGGCTGCGAGGCAACAGGGCCGTCCTTTCGGGTGTCGCCGACCTCCGCCGCTGCGCTGGTTGGCGCCGTCGGCGGTGTCGGCGGGACAAGCCGGCCTGCGTGGACGTCGCCTGATGGCCGAGGGCTGCTGCAGCAACCCGCCGTGGATGCTCCGTCGCACCTCAGTCGACAGCTAGCCCTGTCCGCGGAGATGCGCACCTTGACCCGAGAGGAGCAACAGGCCGTGGCATCGCGGGCCACCCCGGTGCAGCAGCCGACTGCCGCCCTTCGTCTCGAGGAGCTGTGCGGTGCCGACCGCTCCTGCTTTGTGCTGGCGGTGCAGAGGGCGCGCCACGCCCACGCAGTCGTGGTACCCGACCCCCGCGTTGCCCTCACCCCATACGAAGCGAGCAAAGAGCAGTGGAAGGCCTACCATCATCAACAGGCGGTCCTTCGTCATGAGCAGACCCTGCCGCGGCGGCGTGCGGTGGACCCCTACATCCACCTCACCGGCGCACAGTTGGACGTCGGCCTCACGGTGCCGAATACGTACACGGCGGATGTGCTGGCGGAACGCAGCGGCGGCCGGTGGGTGCTGGACAACCCGCATCGACAGCAGCTCTACCGCGGGGCGCCGGTGATGACGGCGGTGATGCACGGCGAGTTCTACGCCGATGGAGCGGCGCAGCGGGCCGCGGGGAAACCGCGGCGCAGCATCGTGGGGAAGAACCGGCGTGATGTGCGAGTGACGAGCGAGATTAATCGCGCCGAGCGTCGACAGCGGCAGCGCCCAACGAATCCGTGTGTTTGTACCAAGTAGCGGTCCTCTTCTCTCCTTTGTGAGGACTTGCTTGTGTGTCCTGTCATTCCCCTGCTTTTTTTTCTGTCTTGATTGCTAGATCGTTTTACTCCCCTTTTGAAATGAAACGAAGCTTCTGCTTCCCCACAGTTTCTTTGGCTTCCACCGATAGGGATAACCGCCTACGAAGAGTCTAGGCCGAAGAGAAGCACCCGATACGGATACGATAGATAGATCCACATAGAATTGATAGGATGCCATGATGTGTGTTTGCTGTCATCGGTGTAGTTACTGTGTCTCAGGAAAAGAAAACCGCTTAATACTATTTTTTCTTCTGCTCCAGCTCTTTTGGGGAAGAGAGGCTTTCGTATTGTACAACGGTCAGTTAGAGCCGGTAGTGACTGGGAGGCGTGCTCCACGGAGGGGCTGCTCTCTGCTAATTTCAACTGCGTCTTGTTCTTCTTGTCGTTGGACCGTGCTGCTGCCGTGAGAAATAAGGTGTCGGTATACCATGTGCACATCAGATTTCTTGGCTCTGCCTTCATCGCGTTATACATATAAATAATATATTTTCTTTTAATAAGAAAGCTATTGTACCTCCCTCTCTCCCCCTACCCCTCTCCATCTTCGTCTATCGTTCGTGCCGTCTGGAAACGTATTGTTTGCTGTGTGTGTTCGTCATCTCTTTTCTCCATCAAACACATGCGCGCTCACGCGCCCAGCATCTCTGAAACGTCCGTCCATGTAAACGTAGCTTCTGAAATTTAGCCCCTCCTCACTGTTGCCAGTCCAGCGCTCTCGTTGGCTTCTTTCCCTTTTCTGCTGTTGGGTCTGCATTCTCCGTGTCGCTTACGTTGCCTTGTACCTCTTCTGTGCGTCTGTGCACCTTCATCGCATCATCATCTGACGCACCGGGGTAAGGACAGCGAAGGAAGTTCGAACAGAGCCGCAAAACAGGAACGACCCCCCCCCCTTCCCACACACACGCACACTCGATCAAGTGCAGCACCTCAACAACAGAAACGTTCTCCGTGGTTTTACCTTCCCTTTATTCATCTGATCTCGTTGGTGTTGCGACTGCTCCTTTTTTTTTTGCTTCTTCCTTCTTTTGCTTCTCACGTTAGTTTTGGCGCCCACGCCTGTGTAAAGAAGCCGGCCTCTTGTTGCTGTTGTTTAGAGTACACAGAGACAAGAAAAGTATGCAGCAATGTATCGCACGTCACCCTTCAGCGCAGCTCACGCTGCTCGGCACACGCATCGGGGCGAAGGTCGCGAAGGCCGTCTTGATGTCCGTCGCCGCCGGTCGGCTGACTCCTGAGGTTCTCAGTGAGGCCCTTCAGTCCTCGTCCACTGTCCGCGGCCATGTCCAACGCGAAGCCGTAAAGCTGCTCGTGGTGCGTGTCTCGATGCGCACCCCCCAGCAGCTGCAATGGCTGCTGCAGCTCGTTGGTGACTGCCTTGGTGGGCTGTCGTTGACGGGCGCCATCAGCTCCCTCACGCAGCGGTCCTTGATGTACCAAGTCGCGAACTTCGGCATGCGAGGATCGGCCGCGTCCGCGATCACCACCGCTGCCGTGCAAATCGGTCTCACGACGTGCACACTGGTGACCACCAACGCCGCCTTTTGGCGCAAAGGGGATCACAAGATGTCGATGCAGCAGTACCGGTACGAGCTGCTCACTTCGTTTTACACCGGCGTCGGCTCGGTGGCGGGCGGTGCGGCAGGCGCCGCGGCGGGCTCGATGGTGATGCCGGGATTAGGCACCGCCTTTGGCTCCGTCCTCTGCTCCGTAGGCGTCGGCTACGTGCCCGGCTACCTGCGCGACAAGCGCGGACCCGATGATCGTCGACGTCAGCAGGCGATGGAGCTGCAGCAGTACACCCCGCTGCGCATGCTCGACACCCACGAAGAGGCGGTGCTGATGTACAAGGAGGAGCTGGTGGAGACGGTGGCGGCAACGTGTACCACTACTACCGCTGCTACTGCGGCAGCGAATATCACAGCCCATGCTGTCGCACCCACGACATCGGCGGCGCCCGCCTCTTCCAACCCGGCCGAGCCGTCGCAGCCTGCGTCGACAGAAGTGAAAAGCGCCAGCAGCGAGGAGGACGCAGCTGAGGAAGAGGGCGAGGTTGTTTGGCTGGACTTGGTTCGGGCCACGATCCCTTCGTCTACCACAGCGGCTCCGGCCTCCTTTACGAGTACGGCGGGGCACACGGAGGAGCGCGCTGGCTCACACGCCACCAGCCCGGCAAGCGCGTCCGCTTCCTCGTGGGATGGTGTTGGGGAGGAAGCGAGACTGCGCGAGGGGACGACCGGCATGCGCAGCTTTCTGCGCTTCAGCCCTTCCTTCGGTCTGCCGACGTCTGCGCGCGAGGCGGTGGACGGACATGCCGAGGCTGCGGTGCTTTCGGTGTCATCTTCCGTGGACGATGTTGTAGAGGGCACCGCAGGAGCAGGTGGAGCCGGAGGAGAAGGCGACTGCACTGAACGCTTCCAAGGGCACGCAAAGTACATCTCAGTGGCAACAGCAGAGGAGCTGGAGGCGGCGGTGGCGAAGTTTGGTGGTGAGGACGACTTGATGCTCGTCTTTGCTGAGAAGAAGTAGTTCTCGAGCAATTCTTCTTATTATTGCTGCTCATTTCGTTTTTTTCGCGATATTTCATGAGGAAATTTGTAGCCATGCACCACAGCAGTCGTTGGGATTATATATATATGTTTGCAGCTGCTTGACATACAAAGCTGGGCTCCTTTTTGTAGTGGCAACCACAACACCTCGCCTCCTTCTTTTAGCTTTCGCGTTCTTCTTACCTGCTCGCCGTTCCTCCCTCTGAGGAGTGGGAAGCAAACAAAGCTGAAAGGGTTCCTCTACCACGCCGCAATGATCGTGTTGTTTCGATTAAAGGACGTATTTTGTATTTTTACTCGGAGGCTGGTCATTATTATTTGTCGTGAACGTTACTTTCCGCTGGTTAGACTTTCGTTTCTTCTGCACGTCAGCGGCATCAGCCGCGCGCGGTTAAGCAAGTTTTTTTTCCCCCTTCCCTAATGGTCTGCTATACACGTGTTGTCCCTCGCTTCGTTATTTATGCTTACGTAATTACCTCTTACCTGTCTCTCCCGCCTTTGCAGTGCAGAAGAGTTGTGTGTTTGTTGTTGATGCTATTTCTCCAGAGGCGTGTCCTTTTTTATTTATTTTCTACTTTCTTCTTTCTGTTTCTGATCTGCTTTTTCTCCTTCTCTTTTCTCCTCCGGCTGTTTCTTCATTTCAGAGTATAAAACTGAACATCTTCTTCTTTCCTTTTCTCTCTTCTTATCTCCTCCTGGTGCCCAACGACACACATCAGCGAAGGCGCAGCCGCATCCGCAGCTTAAAAAGAAACTTTCAGTGAGTTTTTTTTTATTTCTTTCTTGCTCTCCACAAATAGAACGCTGAGAAACGAACCACTCGATTAAAATGCAAACCGGTGAACATTGCTTTTGTCTCTCATGCAATTCAGAGTCCCTTCCATTGGACGGTGAGTACGATTTTGCCGTGTCAACTCATCTCTCTTCGAAACGGCGGCGACGCTCCTGCAGCTGTTGCTCCTGTCATTCATGGATACGCATAGATGCCAGTTGAGCCGTTCGCATAATCTCCCTTTTCCCCCCTTTTCTTTCAATTGCACCCCGCCTCTTTCAACGCTGTCGCATTGATTATTCTCGTTTCTTGTTTTGCTGCCACACCTTCCGCCTCATCTCAACACAACAACAGGGAAACATAAAAAAAAGCCGAAGCGAAGAGGAACGCGCGTGCTAGTGCGCATATTGGCCTATAGAGGCGGCGCGTTTCTGTCAGGTTTCTCGCCCGCCTCTCGCTCTTTCCTGCTGGGGAACTCAACCGCGGCACACAGTGGCAAGTCTCTTCGCTACTGCTGCGCACGTAACGACACCTTCAGTCTGCAAAACACACACACACACACATTTATTCTTGAACACTACTTCATTGCACAGAATAGAAACACAGAAGAAAGAGGCGAAACCGTGTAACACTGATCTTAAAAACAACATCAACGACGGTAGATCACGCATTCAAAGGGTTGTACTTTTCTCCTTCTGTTTATTGTTTTTTTTTTTGGAATCCAAACCGTGTGCGTAGTGCGTTGCGCGTGAATTACTCGTCAAACTGACGGAGCTTCACTGGCTGCCACACGGCTGCTCACCCACACACGCACATACGCTCACAAGAAGATCTATCTGGCATTCCGCAGTTTATTTCTCTTCTTTCTTTTTTTTTCCTGTTTCTGTGCCTAAACAGCAACCCCACCTGAAAGAGAAAAACCCGTTGTGATCTTCGTTGTACTTTTAATATATATATATATATGTATTTTAGTGGCTTTTCGTTTCTGTTTTATTTGAACCTCTTTGGCTTTCACCGTCAGTGCGTACGCGCACTCCATTCGTTGTGCCTTCCTTCGAAGATTTTTCCTTTCTCGTTTTTCAATTCTGTTCGTCGCACGCGCTCACCTGTGTATCGTGCCCGTGCGACAGGAAACCGCTTAAAAGTTGGAGGAAGTCTAGAGAACAAGGACTGTCGTTCGTTTCATTCTTGCTTTCCATTCTCTCTCAGTTTTAATAGCTTTACGTCTTGCTTTGCTTTGTATAGTAGTAGTACTTCTTTGCTAAGTTCATGAACGCCTTTCTGTGTGGATCGACCCCTCACGGCGCCATGTCACCGCCGGGCAACTTCTCCGCCATCCGCACCCGCTCCGCTCAGTTCTCACCTGACACCTCCTTAGTCCGTTCTGGTTCTTTTCTGCAGCCCGCCGGCGGTGAGAGCCCTCCGTCCCCGCTGAAGCCTTCGCAGTCCCCCGCGGCCCCGCCCGACGCGGAGGCGGAGGCGGTAGAGCCGCTCACTGTCAGCGCCGTCAATCGCTTCGTACAGCGGCTCCAGCAGCTGGAGGACCGGGAGGGCGATGAACCCGCTCGCCAGGCAGACACGGCGGCGATGCCCGTTGAACGAAACGCGGTGCAGCCCTGTGGAGAGCCGTCGCCGCCCACCCATCCGGCGACCACGCCAGCGCAAAGCGACGACGAAGTGACGGACAGCGAAGATTTAGAGGTGTGCACGGCACACACGGCGCGGCAGGTGCGTGCGTTTCTGAATGATCTGAAGGACGGAGACTTCTCCCGTGGCCCCAGCCCGGTGCCGAGGAGAGTGGTGGACAGCGCAGCAGAAGAGATTCGGCAGCAGCAGGAGCGTCTTGCAACGTGCTCGTCCGCGGAGCTGCGGACACTGGCGCTGGAGCTGCACACGGAGCTGGTGTGTACGCTGTACGATGCGGTGACCTTGGAGGCGAACGTGATTGAAACGGACGAGGACGCCGCCGTGCTGGAGCGCGCCGTCGACGAACGCGACGAGACGATTGAGCTGCTCCGGGTGCAGCTGTCCACCACCATGGACGACAACGTCGACCTGCACGATGGTAAGGAAGCGGCGCTCCGCAAGTTGCGGGACGCGAAGACCGAGATGGCCCTGCTAAGTCAGCGCTATGCGAAGCTGCTGAAGCAGTTAGACCTGAAGAAAGAGGAGTTGCAGCTGAGCCTCAACACCAGCCTCAGCAACTCCCAGCGGACTTCTTTGGCGATGGCAGGGCGGCGGGATGTGGGCACGCTCACGGAGGTCTTCACAGCTCGTAGAGGCACGCATGACCTGAGTGTGTCGACAACGGAAGCCGCAGCGGTGGACGACTCCCCACTGAGTCTTAGCGGGCGCTCCAGGTCCGGGGTGCACAGCGCGTTAGAGGAGACACAGGATGAGCTGCGACTGGCACGCCACACCCTCTACGAAACCGAAATGGATCGCCTTCGGCTGCAGGAGCAGCTGCAGGAGCTGAGGGAAGCCACCATGAGAAGCGATAATTGGAGCAGCTACTCCACGTACGCGGAGCGGTGCCAAGACGAGATGCACGGGGCGGCGCGGCAGTCCGTGGAGGAGAGGTGTGAGAGGAGCGAAGAGCGCGCCGCCTATTTAGAAAAAAAGGTAAGCGAACTGCACGAAGAACTGCGGACGTTAAAGGCGCCGAAGGAAACAGGAAATGAATTCTCCGTCGCAACAGCGGCGGTTGCGGACGTGGAGCGGAGCGCAATACACGCAGCCCCGTCCAGCGACGCGGTGACGTCCACTGACTCCTCTTCGCAGGTCTTGCTGTCAGAGTCGCGGGGGTCGTCGACGGGGCGGAGCGGCGCCCGCACCCCCCTCTCTCTCAGCCAGACGCACTCCATCAGTACAGAGGCGCAGATGGTGGTGCTGCAGCGGCAACTCGCGCGGGCGAAGACGGAGACGGCGCATCTTGAGCAGGAGCTGCGCAAAGAGCGCGAGAAGACTCAGCGGCAGAGCCAATCGGAGAAGAAATTGTTGGACAGCGTGAAGTACTTGACTCAGCAACTGCGCGCACGCGAGGCACAAGAGCGCGATGCGCGATCGCATCGCCGGAGCGAGGCCGGCGCGGCACGCGGCGACGGTGAAGGCGAAAGCGGGAGCAACGGACGGCGCGGCAGCTACTCCACGATGGACCGTGCGAGTTACGGTGGCTTTTCACAGCATGAGGAGAGCAGCAGTAGTTGGGAGATCAAAGAGGACAGTGGTATTAATAAAGGAGAGGTCAACGGTGCTGCAGGGAGTCGGCAGAACCACCGCCACGCCACGACGGAGCTGCCACTATGACACGAGTGTCACGTTGCCGCAATGCGTGACGCCCGTAAAAGTCAAAGGGGGGGAGGGCGTTCGCACGCAAGAAGCACACGCTTTGCCCACCGCGAGCCGTGCCTCACCGCACAATCCCTGCAGTGCCACCTTTTCGCTTCGCTCGCTGTGTCACGAGACGCCAGCGCGAGTTGGTGTCACACTGCCGAGAGAACGGGTCTGTAGGGGCACCGCTTAGGCGCCTTCAAAAATCGACGTGTTGTGACGGGGGCGTCGGGACCACTCCAGCGTCCCTGCGGTGGAGGCGAACGGGCGTGCCCAATCGAGTTTAGACCAGCTGCCATACACACGCCAGCAAATAGATGGAAAAGAAATGTGTTATGTACACACTCTTGCGAGGCAACGAGGCAGCGACGCAGGTGTCACCTTCCGCCTGCTCGTCGGTTGCTGCCGCCGCTGCCTGCGCCTGCGTTGCTGCTGGCGCGTGTGCTGCTTCCTGATGTTCTGTCGTGTGTTTTCTTGTGCCGTTGTGTTTCACGCCCGCCGTTGCCGCCTTTTCGCTTTTCGTGGGCGTATTACCGCAGAGGCGAAGAGGCTCTACCACCAACGCCGCTCTAACAACGCCTGCGTTTGCACCCGCTTTGTTGGTTATCACCTCGTCTGTGTGCGTCACGAAAGGACGGGTGATGTCTTGGGGTTTTTCTCTTTAGGTGCCCTCCCTTCTGCTGTTGGCGGCGTGACATCTACACCGCCTCTTGCGATTCTAATGTGCGCTTTGTTTTTCCCCAATACTTGTCTTTTCTTCGAAAACCTAAACTGCCATTTTTGTTTCCGTTTGATTTATCTTTCTGCCGTTTGTATCGCTGTTGTTTATTCGGCCTGTCTGTCTGTCTGTGTGTGTGTGTGTGTGTGATTGTACGCGTGTATGTCACTTACGCCTGGTGCCCACAATTTCTGTGCGTTCCGGATGCCTGATTTATATTCTTCTATTTCACGTCTACCCCCCTCTTGTTTTCCCCTGCTTTCTCCATCGTTTGGTCTTAACAGCGCCATCCTGTCTTCTCAATTCCTTCACCCTTCTCTCTCTTCCACCTTCTCTTTTTAAATGTCTCTCCGACGTAGACGGATGTGCATGCCGATGTATCTTTTCTGAGCTGCAGAAAGGAGTGGCCGTTTCCGTCCACTGCAGCGTGTGTGTGTGTGTGTGTGCGCCATGGGTTGTGGCAGCAGTGTTGTGGTGCCGCGTTGTCCAGCTTTTGACTGTCCACGGTGTAGCCGCTGCTTAAGCACTTTCGAATGCTGAGTGGTGATGTTCTTCTGCTCTTTCATTGGCGATAGATGATGAGCTTCTTTTTGAAATTGCATAGTTGGGTATTTCTCTTGGTGCTGTTACACACAGCTTTCCCCTCTTTTTTATCGGTCGTTGCCTACGAGTTGCTCCTCCCCGCCAAAAACAAAATTGAATTAAAGTGGGCACCCAAACTCGTACAGGAGCAGCGGTATCCTCCGCTGTTGTCAGGGGTGTGTTTCGTCACAGGACAGGCACGGCGTAACGCTGAACGTGTCCCGGCCGACTCTCTCTTCACGGCACCTTTTCCTTTTGCTGCGGCCGATGTCTCTCCACTGCACGAAGGACAGAGAACACGCAGGATGGAGGGACCGACTGAGGAGTGGAACAGCGTTAGCCACTCAGGCGGTGTAGCGCGCGGCGCTTGCCAAAGTCTTGTTTCCGACTATCAGAGGAGAAACAAGGAAAACTTGCCCGCCTCAAAAAAGACCAAAAGTAAAACACGCGCTATTATTGATGTGCAGTTATCTCATATTTGAGCCCAACGTTTTCTCTTCCTGCTCCTCTTCCTCCGTTTTTCTTTCTAAACACATAGAGGGCACGTTGAATGGATGCTGCGTTCCCCAAACGGTTGAACCTGCTCACCACTATTGCTGATTCACACACTCTAAAGATTGAGAAGTGGGCGGAAGCGAACTGGCGAACCTTATCTGCTACCCACACAAACAAATATCAATATTAATAAGAACAACACTTGGTGGATAACATCGAGGTGTCACCTTGCAGCGATGCTGCCTGTGGTCACGCAGCAGGATCCGGGGCATCATTTACGGAGCAGATCCACCCTATCCCCACTACAGCAACTCCAACAGCAGCGAAGCGGGGCAGGTTCTTTTCAAGTGGCTGCCTCACAAGCTGCTGCCGCTGTCTGTCCGCCCTCTCTTGGCTTTGAAGAGTGCCGCTCAGTGCACGACCTGCTCATTTTTTTCTCTTCCGCGCATCTCCCCTCTTCCATTGTGCACGACCTGACATCTGAGGAGCAAAAGGCGACTGCGCAGTTGGCGACCTCGCGTGGTGTGTTTGTGCGGGGACACAGTGATGCGTCTCTGCGCCCGCCTTCGTCGTGGAACTCGAGTGAAAGGAGAGAAGTGCGCCAGGCTGTCGTCCGTCATCTTACAGACCTTCTGGTGAGGTCTCCCAAACGCTCCGGGACGGGCTCCTCGGCGCCTTCAATGGAAAGCTTTTTCCTCTTCCTTGTGGCAGGCGAACACGATGTGTTGAATGGCGTGCGACAGCGAGGGCAAGCTAAATTTGCGTCTGAGGTCTCTTCCCCACCCACCGCCGCCGCAGCAGCAGCATCAGAGCGCTTACAAGACGCACACCGAACGCAGGCGTCGGGTCGACGGAGCGCAATGGAGCGGGAGGCGTTCGCACTTCTCACCCGCTGCGCTGCGTGTCTTTCACTCCGTGGGCAACAGAGTCCCTCCCAGGCGATGGGCCCCTCTCGCCAAGGGGACACAACCCACAGTGGCGGCAGCCTCAGCACTCTGCACGGGTGCAGTACTTTTTCTCTTCTGCGCACGTCCGCCGGCCCACTCAGTTTAATCGGGCCTGCTGCACCGTATTGGTGCTCGACGGGGTGCGTCGGCCTCGATCGTGCGTTAGGCGGCGGTGGGTTCCGCAGCGGCTGGGTGACGGAGGTCTACGGGGAGGCGGGTGCCGGCAAAACACAGTTGGGGCTGCAGTGCCTGCTGCAACAGTCCGCCCACGACCTATGCAAGTCTGCCGCTGCGTTATGTCTCGCACACAATCCGCAGTTTGCAGCGTTGCGCCTTCTTCAGCAGCAACAGCAGCAGAACACACAGAGCACACAGGGAATGGTGCAGCGGTGCAACGAGGCGTTCCACGTGGAAAGCGTAAAAGCAGCGCGATGTGCGGTGGTGTACCTGGTCTCGGAGGAAGTACCCACCTCTCGCTTAGGCCCGCTGGCCGCCGCCGCGGTCCGTCGCGCCGTACGCGCAGTGCAGCTTCACCCGTTAATAACGTCGCTGCCCAGCGGGATCGTTGAGGCCGTGATGCGCAGCGTGCGCCAGACCTGTACCGATACGATGGTGCTCTCCTGCTTGCAGATACGTCACATCGCGTCGATGCAAGAGCTGCTGCGCCTTGTGGAGCCCCACGCTGCCGCCGCTCCTCCGCCGTCTTCACCTGGGGAGGGACGGAGCAGCTGCAGTTTGAGCGATGCGGTGCGGATGCTGAGCGGCTCGCTTGGTCGGGCGCTCATTGTGTTGGACTCCATTGCCGCGGCGGTGGTTGCGGGGCAGGCCGACATACACGGGATAGCACAGACAGACGCATCGGTGGCTGCTATCGCGACGCAGCTGCGATGTGCAGCCGCGCGGCACAACTGGTGCGTCGTCGGCATCAACCAAGTCCGTGCTACACGACACCACTCTACCGGTTCGTCGTGTACGCAGTTCAAGAGAACACGGTCGCCCACCTCGTCATCGTCGCTGTCTTCATCGGGGTTTTCCGCAGATGGGAGTCACACGGTGGTGCCGGCGCTGGGGCTTGCGTGGTCCAGCGCGTCTCAGTGTCGTGTGCACCTGCGCAAGTCGCTGTCGCTGGGCGTGCGTCAGCTCATCCTGCGCCAGTCCCCTGCGCATCCCCCTTCTCAGGCGAGTTACGTCATTACGCAAAATGGAATCGAAGATGCCTGATAATCGGCATGACAAAGCGGAGAGACCTCTTTCTGTAAACATGTTTTTTAGATCTTCCACCTCGACCGGTTGCGTCTGAGGTGCTTCCCGCTCCCGAAGCTCACCTTGCTTCTTCTGGCGAAGGTGGTAGATATCTATCCTCGGACGCCTTCCGCGCACACACACACCTCCCCTCGTATTAGAACTTCTGCTACATGCGACTACGTCTAAGGAAAAACAAGAACAACGAATAGTATTTATTGTGTTTACGTAGACAAAAAGGCAGCTTGATCCACCAATAGACGCACTCGCGGCTCTCAACGAGAGTTTCATATGCATGTGTGCTCTCTCTCTCTCTCTTGCTCTGTTGCCAAAGCTGTGTTTGACTTGCGCGTCTCTCCGCAAAAGTTCTTCTCTTCTTCTCTTCGTCTCCTCTTTTCTTCTTCGTCCTATCGGTTCTGTTTTGTTGTGGGCTCGAATACTGTTCGACACCGTCTTTCTGTTAGTGCGGCCTCCTTCCCTCTCGCTCCTCCTCCTTATCCAGTCCTCCGTGTGCCAGTGCGTGTTGAAGCCTTTCTTTGTAAATCGCTTCTTCTTCACTGCGGTCTCTCCCTTTCCTTCTCGAGCAGTTGGTTGATAGGAAAGAGAAAACGGACCTCTCTCTCTGTGAATTCACATCTGTGATACGCCCGACCTCTTCCGTGTGTGCGCTTCTGACGGTTCTCCTTCCCCGATCACTCCTGCTGTTCGCGTCGGTTCGCCCTTCCTCACCGCGCGCGGTTGTGGTATTCTCTTCTTTCCGTGCTTTGTTGATTCGCTCTCAGCCCTGTCCGTGGACCGTGTCGGTACTCGCACGCACGCGCGTCGATGTGCAAGCAAGTCCTGCTCCCTGCTTCTGCGCAGGCTTTTCTTTTCCCCTACGTTGCTCTGCTACGCCTACTCTAAAAGGAGCCATTTTTTCTTCTCGTTGCGGAGCGCTCTTCACCGCTGTCGGTGCCAGACAGATTGCGGCGACACAAGTAGCCACAAGTAGCCACCCAGACAGACACGATGCCGCATCGCCAATTTACACGAGTTTCACCTACTTTTTTTTTGTCCTTTTCCCCTTCGTGCATCTCCGAAACGTGAGACATGTCAGCGAGTAGGACGGTGGAGGCGCTTCTCACGCGCCTGCGCTCCCCGAAGAACGTGCGGTCGCCGCTGGTCTTCTGGACGGTGCTCGTCCTCGTCTTTATGGCCACCTTCATTATCTCCTCCTTCCCTCTCAGGCTTTACACCCCTACCGTCGGCTTCCAACTGAGGCAACACCGTCAGCTGCCAAAGCCGAGGCCAGTCTCACCGGTCGTCACGCCTGCCGGCAGCTCCGTTATCGAAGGCACGTACCATCGAGTGGTAGTAGTCGGCGACCTGCACGGCGATCTCGATCGTTTGCGCAGCGTACTGCGTGCGGCACAGGTTCTAGATGAAGTGACCGACAGCTGGCGAGACGGGTGCACCGACATTCTCGTCCAGCTCGGCGACGTCGTGGATCGCGGCCCGGATGCACCAGCACTTTTGCAGCTCCTGCACCGTCTGAGAACGGAGGCCGCCAAGGCAGGCGGACAGGTGGTCACGCTCTCCGGCCACCACGAGATGCTGGCGCTCATGGGCAGCACTAGCGACATACACCCGAGTCTGCTAGAGGGGTCGAGTGGCTCGCTGGGCTTTCGCCACCTCTACGGTGTGGGCGGCCGCTACGGGCGCATGCTTGTGGAGGACAACCTCGCTGCCGTCCTCATCGGTGATGTAGTGTACGTGCACGGCGGACTGACGGCGACCTACGCGGCCTACGGCATGGAACAGCTGAACAACGAGCTGTGGTATCAAGGGCTGATGGCGGCGAGCCTGTCGAAGCACGTTTTTCACTCCCCTGACAGTCCGCTGCGAGACCGCAGCATCGTGGCGGCGGCGATGCAGAGCAACTGCGGCCCCCTCGACGAAGCCCTACGTGCCCTGTCAAAGAAGGAGGGCATCACGGTGGGTGCGATGGTGGTGGGCCACTCTGTCATGGAGAAGGGCAAGGTGGGTAGTTGGTGCAACGGCCGTCTGGTGAGCGCGGATGTCGGCCTGAGCCGCTACATCGAAGGCGGCGGCTACGAGGCGTACGTGACCGTCGATCCCTACGTAGCTCCGGAGAAGGGGAAGAGGGCGCGCAAGACCGTGTCCACGGCCTCACGCATTCACGCTCACTACCCTCTGGGCAGTGGTGTCCGTGTGCCATCGAATACCTAGAAACTGACAGACAACGACCCGGCTTTGTAACCTCCCCGTTAAAAACAAGAAAAAAAGACTAACAACCCGTGAGAAGAGGGAAAAGAGAGGAGTGATGCGCACCGCCAAGCGAGCACGCACACATCTCCTTCTCTCATTCCACCCTCCATCATCTTTTTTTTCTTTGGTACGCACGAATCTCAAGAGATTCTTCATTCGCTCCTTTTACGTGCATCGGACAAACCCAGGCGATGTGGGCGGGCCAACAGGAATTCTTTTTTTCCCCGTATTAATAGTTAAGTATTTGGTGGTGTTTCAGAAGAGCGAGAGGGTTACTTCGTGATGCTTTTGAATTCAATATCGTATATGCACATTTCATTGAGAAAAAGGAAAAGTAGGAAAACGAACAGTATGGAGGAAACAAGCGGTGACCTTTTCCAAGGCGGGAATGCGCGCTTATCCACTTTGATGTTCTCCCTTTGCTACCTATTCTGTTCTGAGAGCTTGCGAGGGGAATAGAAGGAACGGAAAAAAGAAAGAAGATATGGTCAGCGGATGGGATCGGCGATCTCAGTCATTTGGGAAATGCATGATACTCTCCTTTACTTCTATCGCCTGTTGGTCGTGACTCTTCTGTTTCTGTGGGTTTTGCATCCTGGGTATATTGTCCGCCAGTGTGAAGTCTCCGGCCTTCCAAAAATTCCACCCGCCCGCCCCCGGTCCCTACCACGGCAGGGACCCATGGGATCTCTGGAAGGATCCTTGAGTTGGGTAATGTTTCCTATGCACTTCGTAATGCGATGATATCTTTGAGATTTGGCCGGGGCCAGGGAAAAAGCGAAAACATTGAATAAACTTGAGGGCATTATCAGAGGGTGACTGATAAGCGAAGGAGGGTGAGGTTCCTAGAAGGCAGTGGTGGATTAGGACTCGCGAGTTACGCATTACACAAATGTCGTGACATTTCTTCCACTCTTGACTTCCCAACCTTCCTATTCCCCTTTTTTGCTTTCTTTTCTGTTTGTTGATTAATAAACCTTTTTTGTTCCTGTTTGGAATCTCCCCCTCTTTTCCTTCCGCAGCGACCAACGTGCGCCAATTAGTCCATCCGCGTTGGCTTCACCGCCTTTCTATGGGCTTTTTATGTTTTCGCTGACGAGGAAATGCAGCGATGCGTGCGGAGAAGTACCCCAGACAAAATTAAACCAAGACGAATTGCTTATTATTATTATTATTATTACGGGGTGTCCTTTTTCTTTTATAGCTTTTCCATTGACTCTTTTTGTTCTTCTTTGTTTTCTTTCGCAAAAGGGAAAAAAAAATATGAAGAGAGCGAACGACGGACAAAGCGCACCCAGCTGAGCGTTGATGGCGCGCAACAGCGTAGATGCCTTGTTATATGGCTGTCTCTCTATACCTATAAGCACTCCCGCATGTATTTCCTATTAATTTTTCCCCTTTGATTTATAACCTTCTGCTGCATTCCATTGGCACTGAGCCTTTTTGTGTTGATGTGTTCGACATGGAAGCGTTAACTTGCGTGTTTTTTTCCCCCAAGAAGCGTACCAGCACCAGTTTCCTTTGATTGTGTCGCACAAGCGTGTGGTACGCTGCTGACGGGGGTAATAGGAAGAGGATCTTCGCTAACGTGCGAAGAGTAGACACAGAGTGCGTGAAGAGGAATGCGCCACGGTATGTGCTGTTGCCCGTGAGGATGACCTACATATATTTATCTACTGTCGTTCGCTTGGAGGCGCGAATTGTATATATAAAGCCCTCCAGCGAAAAGAGGAGGCGAATAAAAGCCCAAAGCAAGACGAAACGGAACGCGGCCATCCTTGTGTAAGATAAATAAAAGAAGAGAAAAATGTTGTTTTTGTAAACTGGCACGTTCCCGCACGTCAGGACATCTTTTGGCGACACTGCCTCTTTTTATGGAGGAGCGTATTTCCCATCGATGACGACACACAAGATGAAGCAGACCGTGCAGCGTTATTGCGTCTGCAAATGGGCATGACAAGGAGTTGGTTGCCAGGCCGCCGAGGTGGATGCAATAACCCCCCCTCTTACTTTGGTAGGCGTTGCGAGCAACCAAAGCGTTTCATTCCAGCGGTCGTCGTTCTCGATGAGCTCGTAATGATTTTTCTTTTCTTGTTGTTGGTGTTCAATTTGACTTGTGCGGCTCTCTCTCACTCCTTTTGCTTTCTGGTCTTCTCTCCTCTTCTTCATCTTCGAGAGAACAGTATAGTGCTTTAAGGAAAGAGCCATGCAGCTCAGCCAGAACGTGGCTCGCACGACGGTGCCGTCGTACTATCACATCCGCACCAACCTTCCGCAGCGCAAACCGCAGAACCAGTGGGAGGGCGTGTACTACTTCAGCGGTATAACGAAGCGTCAGCAACACGTCGTGCTGCTGCAGCGCAAGCGCGAACGGGAGCAGGTTCTCCGCCAGTACAATCAGCGCGTGGCGTCCCTGCGGAGCCAATACGCACAGCAGCAGCAGACCCCTCTCACGAACCTCGCCGCGCGTGTGAACTTGTCGATGGACCTGGCCAGCTGCGGATTGCATACCGAGGCTTCCGCTTGCGTCGATGCGATGCATCAGGCCAGGGAGCTCCGCGTGATGGACTACGTGAACCTCCTACGTGCGCTCAAAGCGAGTGAGATGGGCACTTGCGTGCTGCACAGCGAGGCGGGCTGCGATCCGGCACTCACGTTTAAGCTGCTCGGCGATCAGGCTGGGGAGGAGCGCGCGGCGGAGGCGTATCGGTGGTACGATATGGCAATGACCGCGTTGGCGCGTGAATGCGGGACTGGGGTGCGGGTGGAGACTACGCCGGCCGCCTCGCAGCTGACAAACGCGCTGATGGAGGCTCTCCTGACGTGCGGCTACGTGCACGTGAGGGCGATTCCCGACGCGGTGTACGACCGAATGGGAGCCCGCGGCATTAACCCGACGATGTCCACCTACGACAACGTGCTGTTGGCGCTGTCGCTGACGGGGAACGTGACGGAGGCCGAAGACGTCTTCCGCTTCGTGCGGCATCGTCATGGTGAGCACATGACCATTCACAGCTACAACGCGCTGCTGCTGGGCAACCGCGAGGCGAAGCTGTTCGACCGCTGCGACGGGCTGTGGCAGGAGCTGGTGGACCGCCGCTGGCCCCGTGCGAGCCCGCTGACCTCCGAACTGTACCTCCGCGGCGTCGTTGACCACTCCTACGCCCCCAACTCGGAGGGCCTGCAGCGTTTCGGCAACGTGCACGCACTGGAGAAGAAGAAGATCCCCATTGTGCTCGCGCAGATGGATGAGCTCGGTATCCCGCGCACGCACCTCTCCAGCCCGCTGCGCGACGAGGTCGAGGACGCACTGCGGAAGTTCTCCATTTACCGCGGCAAGTTCTACGAGTGGGGCCGCGCCGTCAAGCAGTTCGACTTCATCGAGTTCCGCCGCCGCCACGGCTGGATGTACGACCTCCACGCCATGAAGAACACCACAAAGATTCTGCCCCCGGTGCGCGATCCAAGTCAGCCGGACAGCACGATGGCGGCGGCCGCCACAACCGAACTGCCCGCCTTCTTCTCGGAGCGACACCCGTGGGAGCGGCCGGCGCTGGAGTCCATCTTGTCCGTTTCAGCGGAGCGCGAACGGCTTGACGACGTGCGGGCAGGCGACATCTACTACGACGACACGAAGAGCCTGCACGAGCGCAGCAGCACGTGGATGAACGAGGTACCCGAGACGCGGTACGACCAGCTCTACGGCGTGAATCACCCGGACGTAGCGAAGATCGGCATCCGCGCGCACCTGGATGTGGAGTACACGAACCGGACGGAGGTGATGGAGCGGGATGCGGCGCTGGTGCGGAAGTCGATGCGCCGCGGCCGCCGTCTGCGCCACCGCGTGGAGGTGTCCCGCACGCACCGCAACGAGGGCTCACTGACCGCGAGGGACAAGAAGTGAACGGGCGCAGATGGGAGAGAAGTGTGGCGGCTGGGTGGGGGCTTCGTTGTGAAGAAAAGGAAAGATGCCTTCACGTCTTGTGTGGTGCGAACGGAAGGGGAAGGGGGGAGGGGTTCGGTTGAAAGAAAATGGTACTCCTGGTGGACAGAAGCAATGGTGGGAGCAGAATGCCCTCACCTACGCACGCATCTCCTTTCTGTGCCTTTGCCGTGCGCAGCGCCAAAGTGACGATCAGCTGTCGCGCTTTTGTTTTTGTCGGCTGTGCGTTTCTTCTCAGTTGGGCCTGGCTTACGCTTTTTACACATCTTCGACTACTAAGACACAAACACACACACAATCCCCCTCCCCCTAATCCAAAGCAGACACGAAGAAACAAGCAAACGCAGCGGAGGAGCACCGTACGACTTGAATGCGACAACGTGTACGTGTCTTCGATAACCGCAGCGCACAAAGGAGTTTATCAATCGGCGGAAGGGAGTGCTTCTCTCGAATGAACGCAGACATCAGTTTTCTACCTCACTCCGCTTACGCAGACGTGCGGGTAGAATTGTGTCTCACGTCTCCGTTGCATCTCCACGCACACAGCCTGCGATGGTGTACTCCGTCGCTGAGGACGTGGCGGACGACTTCAGGATGAGGAGGGCGGCGGGGGACGCCAGCGTCGCGGGTAGGGGAGCTGAAATGTGGCAATGAATGAGGTGGCATCCGAAGAAGAAGAAACCCCTCACGAGAGGTGGCAGAGCTTCTGTTGGTGGTATCGGATCCATTTCATGCGATCTCTTCACAACAAAAGGGTGCTTCTCTCTTTGTACCACTTTCAATTTTTAAAAATATTCTTTTATGGGAGCGAAGCTGCATTGCACACCTAGTTAATTCCACACTAATTTTTTTTCTTAGGCTCCTTTCTCTTTCCGTCTCGTCATCATGGGACGTAATAAGCCGCGCTCCAAGGCCGTAGACGTCACGAAGAGTCTCCTGCAGCCAACCAGCGTCACCGACCACATTGCGGTGCAGATCAACCCCAATTTTGTCATTCAAGTAGCAGAGGAAGACCTCAGCCCCACGCAGGGCAGCGAGGCCGCCTTCGCCCTCCGCCGGGAAGGCAAGCTAGACACCACGATGAAGCTGTGCCTCAACTGGCGACAGGGCAACTGCCACAACCACGCCGCCTGCTCCTTCGCCCACGTTGTGCGGTACTTCGGCGTCACAGGCGATCTACCAAGCCCGGTCACGACGGGCCGGACCGGGGCATTCAGCAGCACGGTGGGGGGAGGAACGTATAGCAGCGTGGCAGGAGGCAGCTCCACTGGGCGCAGTGGTGCAGCCGGTTCGGCAGCGGCCGCTTCGGCCACGTCGTGGTCTCAGAAGCTAGCCCCACCGTCGTACTCGGCTACGGCGAGTAGAGGTGCGACGACGTCGCGGGCAGACGATCGGAAAGCGGCTCCGCAAGCGGCTGCCGCCACCGCCACCTCAAAGGCAACGACAGAGACCAAGCCAGGCACTCCACCTGCGCCACAAGCAGCAGTGCCAGGCGTAGCAACGGAGCCCGTCGCAGACAGCGCGGCGTCGACCCGCTCCGCTGCGACGACGTCCGGGGAGTCGGTCGGCGCAGCGAGGGAAATGGCCATCGCCCCTCCGACACCCGCGTCCCTCGTGCGGCCGGCTCTTGCTCCCCCTGCTGTTGCCGCTGCTTCATTAGCGCCAACTCCGCCAGCGGTGTTGTCTGCAGAAGGGCTCCGCCTCATCTTGGGGTCCCTGTCCGCCACCGCCGCAGGACTGCCGGCTGGTGGGGAGGACGAGGAGGCGACGGCAGCGCCTTCTTCTTCGGCTCTGCCGCCTCGGGAATTTCTGTCAAAACTGGAGGCCGCGGCGGGAGACACGCCAGCTGCAGAGTGGCAGCAGCACCAGCAGTCGGTGAACACGGTGGATGAGATTCTGGACATGCTGGGCAAGCTAATCATCGGCGAAGCCTTCGACAGCTCGAGAGATATGGCGGCACTTTATCAGTTGTGCGGGCGGGCCTGCCGGAAGGAGGTGTTGCGCAGGGTGCATTCGCAGGCGCAAAGCGACGCTATCCACGGACATGAAGCTGCGTTTGGGGCGCCGTTGGCGCAGATGGCGGCGCAAGGGCGGCTCTTCTCCACGGCTCCCATCGTCATGCCCTCCGCGACGAGTAGCATTGGTCAGCTCGGTGGCGCGGGCATCTCGTTGGGCGGCGCCCACGATAACGAGGTGGACGACGGCGACCTGCTGGTGCCTGGGCTGTCCTATCAGCATCTAATGAATATGTTTGGTCCTGAAGAGTAGCCGTGCTGAGTGCGTGTGGCGTTGCTGCGCCTGCGTTGGTATCTATGTGTGCGCACGTTTGCTGACGGCGGGTGCCGATTTGTTTCTTGTTTTTTTTTTCTCTGGTTGTGCGGCGTGCGTAAAGCACTCGGGTTTACTCCTTTCTGTGGATTTCTTCTTCCAGCATGCTCTTTTTGTTTTTGTTGGAGGGCCGCCGGTGTACAGCCGCTGTGAGCCGCAGAGGAGCGAAGAGCAGAGAAGGGTCACAGGCTGGAAAGGTAGAAAGGACAGCGAGTCAGTTGCTTCACTGCATGTTATTGTTATATATATTTAAGGTTGCGGTCAAAGGAGCTCGTGAAAGAGAAAAACAGAACCGTTGATGTTGGAAAGCGAAACGCTCTGTTCTCTTTTTCTTTTTATGCTGTTGTTGAGAATTTTAGCCCCTTCGTTCGACGCAGAGTCAGCGTCAGCGGTGCTACATCGCATCCTTTCCTTTCGTGTCTGTGTGCATCTGTAGCGCCTCCTCGTCGTTGCCTGCCCAACAAAAACGTTGAAGCTCTCCGGTTGTACTCGTGGGGAGACTCCGTTTTTATTCGCCATCAATGCGCGTCTTTCTATTCGACCGTCCAACGTCCGCAGAAGTATTCCCTTGCTCAATCGGCGCGCTTCTCTGCGGGCCGCCTTTCCTTTTCCTCTTTCTCGCCCTCCCTCTTTGTTGCGAGTTGCCGGGCGCAGCAGCCAATCGACGTTGACTTGAAAGGCCGCTGTAGCACAGCCGTTGCACTCGTGACTGCGTTGTTGGTTCTTTTCTTTTGACTTAGAGTTTTCCCGAGGACACGTCACTGGTGTGCGAGATGATTTCTTTTCTCGTTAGCAAGTGCGGTGCGGAGGCGTCGGAGCTGCCGCAGCTGGTAACGCTTCATCGCCTTTTGCAGGAGGACGAAAGGGAAGGCGCGGCGGGGGCATCCACTGCAGCGAAACCTGTTGTGCAGGACTACGCTGACAAGAGCACCCCCCACGTCGTGCGGAGCTCACTGGCGCATGCAGACAACTCGATGCTCGGCTTTTTACTCGACAGATGTGCTACGGTCGAGGAGCAGTCGCAGTGCCCGCGACTGCAGCAGATGCGCGGTTGGCTGCTGCAGGAGGAGGAGAGTGCGAAGCGTGAGAACGCGGACGCGGTGCACGAACCAAATGTGCCGGCCGCCGCCACCAGGACTGGATGGGACGGCACGGGTTCCGCGAAGCAGCGGGAGGGCACCGGCATCACCCCCACCCCCACTCACGAACGTATCTTTCATCGACACCACGAGAACACGACAACGGATAGAACACCGCCGTTGAGTCCCGCCGCAGTCACAGCCGCCGAAGGCGCTCCTCCGGCTCCTGCGATGGCAGTCATTCCCGTACCGATTCTGCCCGGTGTAGGAGATTGGAAAGGCACCATCACGGTCCTCGCACCCCCTCCCTCACCGCAGACGTCGCAGCCCGCACGTCAGCCTTCGAAGGAGGGAGAGGCAGCATCTGTTTCCGTCACCGAACCTGCCGAGGGCGCAAGGAAAGGTAGCGATACGGCTGTTACGGAGACACCTGTGCCCTTTTCCAAGAACGAGATTCTTGCCGCAGGTAAGAAGACGCCGAAGCACGACAAGGAACAGCGCAGCGGGCCCGCTGATGCCCCTCCTTCTGGAGGTGCAGCGTCTTCTTCGACGTCGCCGCCACCACACCCCACCTTATCCGCGTACGCCGGCCGCATGCCCCGCCCTGCGAGCGAGGCCCTGGCGGTCCGCAACAGCGCCACGGTGCGGCTCCTCTCCGGTCGCGGCGTGCGGATGTCTCCCTCCAACCTTTCCTCTCCCATCCCACCGGCGTCACGTCCGATGTCCGGCTTTGCGCGGCGCTTCATGGCGGACCTGTATGAGCGCGTCAGCACCCCAAAGACGGGGGTGACCGCGCCCCTCTCGCCGGGATCTGCAACGGGCCACGCGACGGGCAGCGGTGTGCGAGCGGCACGAGAGCACAATCCAGCGCACGGGCAGCTGCAGCAGCAACGGCAGCAGCAACGGCAGCAGACGCCGTCCACCTCGCTCGCGGCCACCAGAGCAGAGGCGTGGCACGCGGGGGCAGCGGCGGGCGTACGCGGTGCCACTGCCTCCCGCACCGGGACTGTGGTGGCTCCACCGTCGCGCTTTACTCCGGTGCGTCCGGCGGGTCGACGCGCCTCGGACTCCGAGCCGCGACCACGTCGGAACTCTCTCCATCGCCCTGCAGGGGTCGTGGGCTGCCCTCCGTCTGTTGTGCTCCCTGGTGTGGGCGCTGCGGCCCGACCGGTGCGGCCGCCCAGCTCGGCGGCTTATGGCCAGCACGTCGGCACCACTTCTGGCTGTGCGGATCCGGTTGGGCTGATGGTGGTGGGCGCGCACATTCACCTGCCCTCTGCGCCGCTATCCCGTTCACGATATTTGTGATGGTTGGGCGGAGGACGATAGGAGAGAAGAAAACCTTTCTTGGTGCTTGCGTGTGCGTCATACCCACGCCCCCCGCCGTAGCCCCAGCACTTGCTCTGTTTCTGACTGCGTGGGCGAAGGCCAGCGAGTTCTCATCATCTGTTATTTCTTTTGCCTTCTCAAATCTAGGCATTTGCAGGGGCAGGACGGCGCGTATCCCCTTCTGCTCCGTGGAGTTGCAAAAATCTGAATGGATGCGTGGGGTTCCATCCATGCGGTTTCGTGCAGCAGTGTTTAATAGAGACATCAGCCAACAAACCAACAACAGAAGAGAACAACAATGGAAAAACAACAACATTCAATCCGCGAATGAGTCTGTGATGGTGCGCAGCGAGCAGAGCTCCGCAACATTGATGTTTTTCAGCGCCGCGCTCGTTCAGCGAACTCCGTCTGCTTCCCTCTTCTTCAGTCGCCGCATCCGAAAAAGCTGTGGTTCTTTGTTCCTACTTGCTCCCAGCCCTTGGAAGCAGCAAACACACAAAGCAAAAGGTTCGCAGTTGTCTCTGTCTGGACGTGCGAGGCAGCCAAAGCGAAAGAGTATGCAACCTCTTGATCTCCGACATTCATGTCTGAAGCGCATCTCTCGTAAAACAAACACACACACACTCCGCCCCTTCTCTTTTGAACTTCACGCGGAACTCTCTGCGTCACCTTTCACAGCAGCGACGGCCAAAATAGAATCTAATAATAACAGCAGAACTTTTTTTTTTTTCTGAGGAGCCCCATTCATGGTGGAGGAAAGCTACATAGATGGCCACCTCGGCCCGGTGTTTGATTACGCCGAGCCGCTGTCGCTGCCCATCGTCGCCCGCATTCTCCACGAGAAGCGCATCGGAGCCGAGGAGACCGACAAGTCGAAGGGCGTCCTCATTCAATCGTGCTGCGAGGCGGTGGACATTTTGCAGGAGGACTGCGCCCCGGAGAGTGTGGTGAACACCCTGCAGTCGCGACGGCTGCGCGTCCGCGCGGATGGAGGCCACTCCGCCAATGCTCACCTGGCAGACTTGTCGGTGGATGAGAACGGTTACGCCATCATGCCGGCGGAGGGAACTGCCGGCGCTTCTGCTGCTGCTGCTGCTGTCGCATCGGTGACCTCGCGTGCGGAGCGCATGAAGCCGTTTGAGGTGATTGCCTTGACGACGCTGCGGCCCACCTCGACGAGGGAGGCGGTAGAGCTGATTCCGTCTCTGTACCGCTTCGAGGATGCGGAGCTCGATGACGTGCTGGGGCTCATATCGTACTAACGCGCGTACGCATCGAGGCGGCTATTTTTTGGAGGGTAGTGCATAATGCTGCCTCGCTGGTGTTTTCTCCTTTACGCGCTTGGCGTCTGTTTGCTCTTGTCACCACAGGCTTTCGTCTGCGCTTTAAAGAGTCTGATAATGATGTTTGCTACCGGGCTTCAGCACCGCTCCACCGGGAGATTTAGTGTCTTTCCCTATTAAAACAAAGGAATAATAAGAGGAAAGGAATGGGACGAGGAATGGTCGTCTTCCAATGATACTTCTGTTCCGGATGGTACTGCGAGTAATAAAGGACACCCAAAGCGATTCGAGTCTTGCGCCTACGGCGCCTGTTCTCTCTATGTTTGTGTATATAATATGCGCGTCAATTCCATGGCATCAAGCGCTGCCTTTCTCTCCCGAAGGGCGCCCCAAACGTATCTTTGCCACTATTGGAATCAACGAACACTCAACAAAAGCTTTCGTTTCTCCTTGTTCTTGTCGTTACCTTCTCCTTCATGTGTGACACAATTCCCTCCATCTCATACGCTACGACCGCATCAGGAATGCGGATTAGAAAGAGGAACAAGATACCATGACTACATTTAAGCGCGAAGACCTGCGCCGCGTGAGCTTCAGCAACCTCGACGAACACTGTGACGAGGACATCATCTACGAGCTGTGTCTGCAATTCGGACCTATCCGCAACATTAGCTGGCCCACTGAAGTCAACCTCACAGGCGTGCCACAACGTGCCTCTCGCTGCTACGTCGACTACTACAACGCAGAGGACGCTAAATACTGCTATGAAGCACTCTACCGTGCACGTGTGAAGCTGTACAACAAAGAGCTGCGTGTTTATCACGCGAGTGTCGACGTCGAGGCGCCGGGCGGTGCCCCCCGCAGCGGCCCAGGCGCGCACGCAGTTGTGGGCCTGCACGAGGTTGGCGCGAAGGTAGTCGTGCGCAACGTCGATTACCGCGTTACAGAGTTTGACGTCACGCGCTTCTTCGAGAGCTTCGGCGCCTTCGCTGCCCCACCGCGCATGCTGCGCGACTCCGTCGGCAACTTCCGCGGCACCGTCGTGCTGTCGTACAAGACCTTCGAGGCGAGTGATCGCGTTATACGCGACATGGATCAGAAGACGTTCCGCGACCGCATTATTGCGGTGCACTACGCGCAGATGGAGGACGGCAGCGGGCGGCTGCACGGCACCAAGGAGGAGCGGGCAAATGCGGTGCTAATACGCGAGGAGGAACGGCGGTATCGCGAGACGGTGGCGAAGGAGATGGCCCACATACGGCAGGAGAAGCAGCAGAGTCGAGTGCAGGATGCTTCTTGGGCGGAGAAGGTGAACGTGTATAACCGCCCTCGCCGGTAAGAGGCCCGCAAGTTTGTTTTTGTTGTTGTTGACCTTTCTTCCGCCTTTGCTGTGCTTTTGCGTTTTACGTGTTGCAGCGACCGACCTCACGGAGGTCGCAAACGAGTATCTGAGGAAAACTGCATCTCTGCCGTTTCGATGGCCCCTCACTCCGCTTCCACACCCCCTCGTGATGACAAGCGACGAAGGCTTCACTGTCCGCGTGAAGTAGAAGTTGTGTTGCGAACGGCTTTAGAAGAAGAGAAGAAAAACTTGCAAACACTTAGTAATGGGCCAAATGATCCAACAGAATAAGAAGAATAGTAGTATCATGAATGGCTACGCCGCTTCACTGCACAGGAAGCGTTACTCTTATTCTCCGACATCTGCGCGTGCTATCTTTTCCGCTCTTTTCTTCTTCCCAGTTTAAGCGTCGGGCGATACGCAGCACGCACCGTGCCTCCGTCCGCACGAAGAGACCATTCCTTGGCAGAGTTCTTCTTGTGCCTCTGTTCATAAAACATAGTTGAAGGGAGGCGGTCTCGATAGCGCGACGCCAAAGAGGAGAGAGTGCGCCTCATTGCCTCGGCTCAAAGATCTGAGAGAGCCTCGCGCCTGGGTAACACCCCCCTCCCCCTCCCCCAACACATATAGACGTGGCTCAGCACTACACTTTCTAGTTTTCTTCATCTTTTTGTTGTTTTCGTACGTTTCTTATACCCGTTAGACGCCATGCAACGTCGCGCCTCTGGTCGGTCCCCGCACGGCGGCACGGAGGAGCAGTTGCAGCGTGCTCTCCAGGAAAACGCGCAGCTCAAGTCGCAGAGGAGTGAGATGGAGGCGAAACTAACTAAAGTGCAGACGCAGTTTCGTCGGCTCACAGCGGATTGGCCGCGGGTGCGGGAGGGACCGAATGCGAGCGAAGCCCCCTCCTCGATGCACGGCGGCACAACCCTACCGCGGCAGGCATCACCATCTTCATCATCGGTTGCGCGTCCGCACTCCGCCGGCGCAGGTGCGACGATGGCTTCTGCTGCTGCCGCGGCGGCGGCCGGCCCACCTTCGTCCACCGCTCGTAATGTGCTGCCGTCTCTGCACCCGAATCAGCGCGGCATCACCTCCCGCGCTCCCTCGACCGCCGCGACGCCGTTGAAGAGGCCGTCGGTGACGGGCAGTCACGCTGGCGGCCCCAGCTCCGTCGGTGGGTCGGCGCTTGCTGCAGCCGGTGCGCCGCGCGGTGTGAACGAGGCGGAGTTCGCCGCGTGCAAGGCTGCCTTAGCCCACGCACAGCTCGAGGTCCAGCAACTTCGCTCCGCAGCGGCGCAGGCACAGGGGACGAGCCCGCTTGGCGGTGCAGCCGTCCCCGACGCCGCCACCACAGCGGCACTTGCGGCCGCGCAGCAGGAGGCGAACACCCTGCGGGCACAGTTGCAGCAGGTGCGCGAGGAGCTGAATAAGTCTCTCTTCGTCCAGCAGCAACTCCAGGCGCAGACAGGCAAATCTATGGAAGGCTTACAGCAGCAGATGCAGGACAGCAACATGGCCCAGCAGCAACTCGAGGCGCAGTACCGCTCTTCCGTGGACGCCCTCACGCGCGAGAAACAAGAGCTGGCGCTGAAGCTGCGTCTGATGGAGGTGGACAAGCAGGCATTTGAATCTGCCGCCGCGGCAGCCACTCGCAGCGGCAATCCAGACCCGGCCGACGTGAGCGCCGTGCAGGGCGAGCTGCACCGCAGAGCAAGTGAGGTGACGCTCTTGAACAGTCGTTTGCAGTACGCGCAGGGGCAAGTGGAAACGCTGAAGGGGGAGTGCGGGCGCCTGGTCGAGGAGCTAAAGCAGGCCTCCACCGCACACGGCGACACGAAGAAGGCGCTCTTCGCCTTGGAGCACGAGGCGGCGGCGCTGCGGGCGAAGTCCTCCACGTTGAGCGACGTAGAGACCGCCCTGCAGAAGAAGAACGAAGAAAACATCCACCTCGAAGCGGAGCTGATGAAGCTCGTCGGGTCACTGCAGTCGTGCAACCGCGAAACAGAAGCGGCGGTGCGACTCGAGTTTCAGTCACGCCTGGCAGAGGTCCAAGAGATGCGGGACACGGCGGAGCGAGAGCGGCGAGAGACGGAGCGCAAGCTGCTGAACAGCCAACACGACCTCGCCGAGCTGCGCCGCACCCTGGAGAGCGTGCAGGAGGATTTGCAGCTCTACAGAGGCCAGGTTGCAAAGGTGGAGAAGGAGAAGAGCGTTCTGTCGGCGCAGATCGCATTTGCGGGCCACAGCGCTGCCGCCGCGGCTGCTGCCACGGGTGTCGATCTAACCGACGAAGACTTCCATCGGGCTCTGGCGGTGGCAGCCATGAAGAAGCGCGCAGGAAACTCGCGCTCAATGCTGGATGCCGTGCTGCGCTCCTCACACGCTGAGAACAAAGACAAAAGCCGCGCAGCTGGAGCAGACGATACTGCCACCAACGGCGCGAGTACGGCCGAAGGGGCGACGGAGGCAACGAACGCGCTGGACCTCTACGAGGCCCTGAACTGGGACGATGACTGGGAGTTGGGGCAACTGCGGGAGGCTCTCGCCACGGCCGCGCTGGATCTCGAATTGGCGGAGACACGGTGCCAGCAAATGAAGGAGCAGGTGAATCAGTATCGCAGCTCCTTGCATGAGATGAGCGAGGAGCGGGACACGCTGCTCGAGGAAGGCATTGCGCTGCGTGGACGTGTCACACACGTGCAGACCATTTTTGCGAAGCAGCAGTTGCAGGCCTACCGCACCGCGGCGGCGACCGGTCGTGATCACGACGGCCTTATCGCCTTCTCTATTCGAGGTCTGCAGAGTCAGGAAGAGGCGATGTGTCGCGCGTTGGGCATCGGCGATCTGCATTCCCCCGTGCCCTTCTTCTTCACGTTGGATGGCTTATCAGACTACGAGACGATGGTGGGTCCCACCCTTTATGCGTTAGATGATGTGGTGGACGTGCGCTTTCAATACGATGACCTTGCGAAGGATGCCGTCACGCTGGCCGCGCTTGAGCACACCACCTTTGTCTTCCAGTTACACTCCACCAACGGGGCGGGCTCACGGCTGGTGGCGATGGCGGAGCTGCCCGGCATGGCCTTGCTGGCTGCCCGGGAGCTGTCGATGGAGGAGTCGCTGACGCTGCTAGACGGCAACGGCGAGAGCGTCGGCTCCATACTTGTAGAGTTCTGCTGCTCTCACCTGGTGCTGCCGGTGCTGCTGGGGGCACCGCTGTCGGACCCCGCGGCGACTTCCGCCACGCTGTCGACGGCAGCGATCAAATCCGCCATGGTCGCCCTGCGCACCGTGCGCTTTCTGCGTGTGCAGGTCTTCTACGCAGAGGGCCTGGCTGGCTCCGCCGCGGACAACACCCTGCCGCAACCCTACGTTTTTTACACCGCCGCGTCCCCCTTGGGTGGTTTGAGCTGCGTGCGCGACACCGTTGTGCGGCCCGGCAACAAAGCCTTCACAACCAACCCGAAGTTTGACGTCGCGCCGGTGGACCACCGCGTCCTCGTCGATCCCGCGCTGATTCGCTTTATCGCCTTTGGCGCCGTCAGCTTTGTCGTTTTTGATGAACGGGCGAGGGAGGTGCAGGCGAATTTGGGCATCGTCGAGGTGGCCCTGCGTCCTCTGCTCGAGTCTCCTTTTGCCACCATCACGACTACCCAGTCGTTGCACCCGCAAGGCACGCTGAGTCTCGGCATTTCGTGGGTGTCGGGGCCCTGAAGGTCTGTGCGCAGCGTCTTGAACGTTTCTTCTGTTGCTGCTGGAAAGAGGGGGCGAGAGAGGAGTGCGGCGGATGTGCTGGTTTTTACTGATAGAGGTTGTGAGGCCACCCGGTGGTTTTACTCGTTAGGCTGCCGCTTTGCCCGTTGCATGCTAATAGTTCAAAAAGTAAAGAGAATTGAATGCGTGTGTTCTTTTATTGGTGCTTGGGTGTGTTGACGTGCTGGCCGATGAAGCGATGGCACAGGCACGCGGAGAAGGTCGAAGTGAAGTGCAATTTTGGCCGTATCTTCTTCTTCAATGCCTCCGCCAACGAACACTGAATTTCTGATCGACGATGTTCGCCAAAGGCGGCTGCCTCAACGCTTGCTGTGAGGTACACATTTTTTTCCCCTTTTCTGCTCGGACGAGTCATGATGAATGCATTCGGCCCTGCAGCAGGTGCGTTCGACAGCGTCGTGGCCCCCCTCTCCCCCTCTCCCCCTCCTTACCCACTTCCCCCCATTCACTTCTCCGTTTCTCTGCAATCACCACGGCGTAACGCACAGCTTAAATAAAAAGCGAACGGTGTGCACACAACTCTTGGAAGCGAAACAGCAGAAAAGCAAAAACCAAATAAGATCGTCGATTGACCCGGTGCTGTTGCGGCCTACAGAGTCTTTGGCGACGCGCTACTTTCGTTGCGGTGAGAGAGTCATCAAGACGTCTATCAAAGCACAGGCACACGTACCCACTCACTCACACAGAGAGAGAGAGTTCAGCGACCCCGAATTGCTCCTCTTCCACCCCCCCCCCCTCCACCAAATAGGACTTAAGCAAAAAGAAGATACCTTCGAAGAGCGCCTCGCCCAACACCCGTTGCATGTACAACAACATCAAAAAGCAAACAAACGAGCAACAGTATTGTGAATCAAACATTTTAACAGCATCATTCCCGCCTCATTCCCCCCGATTGTGGCACGCCAAGTCTGTGATCGCTACCAGAAAAAAAAAGGTCGATTGGGTTGGGCGACACACACGCCTCCACAAAACACACCTACAAGTGCTATCTTTCTCCGGGTTTTTTCTTTAACGTTTCCTTCAGAATCCGAGAAGAGGAAGTTAAAGGCAGCCCGTGTAGGTCGCCATGCTCAACGCTTCAACCGAAGTGCACCCCTCGGTGTCGCCGCGGTGCGGTATTGCTTGCGCCAACGTGGACGCCACCTCCTCCGAGGGGAGCGCCGCCTTGTCAACGCTCGGCTGTGAGGCGACGTGTGCGAATGCGTTGAGTGCCTCGGCGGTGCGTGGGACGACCTGGCGTGACGTCGCGTCCGTCGCGCCATCTCACCTCCTGCTTTCGACTTCCAGCTCCATGATGGCAGGCGATCCCGGCCTGACAGCGGAGATGACGCGCACGGAGACACAGATAGGGCCGTCGTTAAGCTGCGATGAGACTCAACTCGCCACGGCGGCCATCAACTCCTCGGCGCAGCACGCGGTGCTAGCGAAGGGCATCAACAGATTCCACGAGCTTGTGACGCATCTGCCGTCCCTGACCACTACCGCTGCCTCGGTGTTCGTCAACGCGACCGCCGACTCCCGCAGCAGCAAAGAGGAGCAACCGTCGTCGCTCAAGTCCACGATTAGGCCGCAGCTTTCCTACATAACGACTGCGGCGGTGGGCGGGGGTGTTGGCGCCTCTCCAAGTAGCCGCAACGCAACGCCGCTATTAGCGGCGCAACTTCCGGCCAGCACGGTGCCCACGCACTGTGACCGCATGCTGTTGATGTGTCCACAGACAGAACAGTGCGTGAACGACGTGCCGGCAACCTTGCTGCACCGCCGCGTGTGTGCGACCGCCGACCCACTGAAAGCGGGCGCGGCCAAGAGTGAGTTGGCGCGGCTGCAGCGCAGCGGGTCGGGGTGTTTCTTTACTGCGGCGCGCCGGCGAGAGAGGGAGCTGGGCAGTGCGGACGGCGCGCGGGCGGGCGTGGGAAGAGACGACGACAGCAGACTCTCCACGGCCTCGCTTCGCCTGCCCAATTCCGTCTCTTCCCCCTTCTCCCCTCCATCCTTAGCATTCCAAGCGAACGTGTGGGTCACGGCAAGGGATTCGGAACGTACAGACACCAACAGCTCTACTTTGCAGGCACGGGAAGCTTTTCAGCTGTATCTCGACCACACGCGCAGGACCGTATTGAGCACAGAGGCGAGCGCAGCGGATCGGGCCAAGGCGTTCGATGAGCTGACGACACACTCAAGGGAGCTATTCGACTTGCTCGACGAGATATACACCTCCTTCGACGGCCCGGATCGGCGGAACTACTCCATGTTGAAGGTGTTGCCCTTTGATGAAGCGTTTGCGTCCTGCTCTAGTCTGGAGCCGCTCGTGCGTCCAGGGGCAGGCGCGGCAGCGGCAACCGCTGCGACGACCTCCGCAAGCAGCGATGATGAGATGCGCAACGCCCCGATTGAGCCGCTGTCGCTCACCGCTCGCACCTACGCCGCCCACCTCCCTCCGTTAGGCACCAATGCGACGACACTGCGGCTCCTGGACGGCTTCGAGCGTGTCCGTCGCAGCAGCTTTAACAGCTGCAGCGACACCAGCGTAGCGTACCTCGACGTGGTGAACAACTACTTTGTCCTGAAGCTCCTTGGCGTAGGCGCGACGGGGCGGGTGTACCTGACAGTGGATCGCAACACGAACAGATACTACGCCATGAAGACGGTGCCGAAGCGCACGCGACGCACCGCTGCTCACCTGCTCACCCTCCGTCCACACTCCTGTTCGTCGGAGCCGAGCGTGTTGAGGCCGGCGGTGCCGATGTCTTCGCTTCCAGACAACGGCGTAAAGCTTCCGCCGAGGTACACCACGGGCGGGAGCGCAGCCGACGCGGTGGCAGCCCCGATCGCTTCCGCCAACGGCACCTCCTCCTGCTCGATCGTCCGCACAACCTTTCTCCCTTCGACCGCGGAGCACAGCGGCAAGCAGCAGATGAGCAGTGCGAACGCACCGGACCTGCAAGAGGCCGACATGGAGGGCTTCTCTCGCTCCGCTAGCCACACCAGCAACCTCGTGATCCCGTACACGGAGAGCATCGTCGGCGGCGAGTCACCGTCGTCATCGATGGCGGACGGCACTTCACACAACATGATTTCTGCAGTCGTGGTGGATGGAGGTCTCTCGTGGCCTGCCGAGGTGCGGCCGTCGATTCCCTTTGCATCACAAGGCGCTGATCCGCTGCACTTGGCGGCGAACAACGGCGGTGGCAGCTGCAGCATTCCAACCACCCGCCCTTCAATTGTTTCCTCCCCTCTTCACGAGGCTGTTCCCGCTGCACCGCGGAGGAAGGACACGTCTGTTACACCGGCAGAGGGTGCGCTGTCAGCGGTGGAGCGTGAAATACGAGTCATGCGGCGGGTGCAGAATCATCAGCACGTCGTGCAGTTGAAGGAGGTCATCGACGACGACGACGAGGACTGCGCGCACATGATCATGACGTACGCCGCGAGCGGTCCGCTGACGACGGCGCACAGCTTCGATCCGGCCTTCGGCGGCGCGCCGTGCGACGTGGTGCGTCCTTTTACGCGCTGCGCCCGCCTCCTATGGCAGCTCGCCGACGCCCTCATCTACGTGCACCGCCACCACATCGTGCACAACGACGTGAAGCCGGACAACGTCCTCCTGACCGACTCGGACAGCGTGTTGTTGACCGACTTTGGCGAGAGTGTGCTGGTCCCGAAGCGCGTGCAGTCGGCCACGGGTGCGCGGCGGCAGCGGCAGCACTCGCCTCGCGCAGATGACCTCAACGCGTCCGTCGCGGTGCCGCACAACCGCTGGAAGTTGTCTCGCACGTCTGCGGACAGCTTTCTGGGTGGTGGCGGTGGCGGCGGCGACTTCAATGAGCAGTCTGTCTCGTACCGCACGCATGGCGGCTGTAGCCCTGGCTTCAGTGGAAACCTGGCCCGCGTTTCGCAGGTAATGGCGACGGAGAATTCTTTCCAACCGGACTCGTCAATGTTTCTCGCCGTCGGCGTCGATGGTGACGGCCGGTTAAACGATGGCCGGATTATGGCTGGTTCGCCAGCCTTCGCGGCGCCGGAGCTGATCGACAACAGCACCTGCAGCTACAGCTCCGACACGTGGTCGTTTGGTGTGGTGATGTACGCCGTCGTCTTCGGCCGCTTACCTTTTGCAGGGCCGTCCATCAGCGACACCTTTGGCGAGATCCTCCACGGGGCCTTGACCTTTCCTCCACTGGATAAGATGCCGCAGAGCGCGGAGTTGACCGAGGCGGCGTACGAGCAGTGGGTGATGCTTTGCTCGCGGCTGCTCGTGCGGGAGCCGCAGCGTCGCCCCTCCCTCCACACCATTCTGCGCCACCCATTTTTTCGGTCCATGGTGCCCCTTCCCTCGACACCGCAGAGCTCGATCATGGAGGCGTTGCCGAACCGCCGGCGCTCGATGCTGAGTGCGCGACGGCTATCCGCGGACGACCCCAACAGTCGCCTGCGATCTGCGCAGAGTCGTCGCGGCATGCAACTCGGTCCGCACATGGACGATTTGTCACCCATCTCTCGCACCGTCCGCTCCTCGCCGCGGTCCGTGAACAACGAGTTGCTGTCCCCAGTCGGCTTGTCGAGCGCGTTTCCGCTGCATAAGGCCACGGTGCCGGAGAAGAGCGACACCCGCACCGCCCACGCGCCGTCTAACCCCACGCCACCGTCTTCTTCTTTCGCCAAGAAGCTCTCCATTCCGACCCCACCGCGCATGAACTCCACCGCGCTCGCGCGCGTGCCGGCGCCACCGGCAACCCAAACAGCGAAGGACCCCGGCCCACCCAGCAAACGCAGCTTCTTCTCAGCCAAACAGGAAGACGACGCACCCACCGCGACGGATCCAAACATCATCGCACAGGTGTCGTCGCTCATGAACTCGAAAGGCACCGACACGCAGCTGCCCCGCCGTTTGTCGTACAACGATGGCTCCTCCGCAGCCCTCCCCGCCCAACCACAGCGCCTTCTCGAGACGCCGGCGATGTATCGCCAGTCTGCTGATCTCGCGGGCAGCGGTCGCACGGTCAGCCCGCGCGAAAAATCGTTCTTTCCCGACTCCAACGGTGTGTGCAACGGCTTCCGCCGTGCCCCGTCCGGGCAGACGCCGGTGAGTGCGACGCTGATGATGGACTGCACGGCGGTGCCGTCCACGACGCCGGCACTCGGCGTGGCATCTCCGTCGGATGCCGCCACCGTCGCACAGGTGACAGAGAAGGAGGAGATGCGCCGACTTGGTCTCGCCCTCCGCGACGCTGGTGTGACCCCTGCCACGTCTCGTGTGCTGCCGCACCCCGACAAAGCTCAGAGGGACAGCGGTGGCAGTGGTGGCGACGGCAACAGAGGCGTGAACTCGCCTACAACTGCCGCCGCCACCCCCAGTCAGCTGCATCCGGAGGGCACCAGCGCAGACGCCGAGTCAGGCGATCGCATCGTTCACGAAGTCAGCGTCAGCGGCGCCACTCGCAGGCCATCAGATGACCAGGGTCGATCCAGCAGCTTTGACGACGCCCTCAGTCGGCAAGACGCGACCAGCGATTACTACTCCTACTGGAACGACTCGGATGAGATCCAGGTGAGCAGCAGCAGTAGCTGCAGCAGCTGCATCAGCGAGGAGGCGGCGGCGACGGAGGTGGCCGCGCCAGTATCGCAGAGGGCGACAGAGTGCAACTTCAACCCACACTTGCCCCTTGGCCCACTAACCACACGCGCTCCTGTGAGACGGTGCGTGGCGTCGGCGAAACAGCGGATGGTGGTGCCGGTGCTGTCGAGCCACGAAGAAGTGCAGGGGCGACCGAAGCAATGCAGTCCCTCGATGGTGAGCATAGTGGAGGTGAAGAGCATGACCGCCGAAGAGAGGCGTCTAGGTGATCCTCGACTATCGCGAGAGCACGGGAGGTCCACAGCAGGAGCGTCCGAAAGCAGCAAGAAGACCCTTCGACTTGTGGCGGATGCGAAGCGGGATTCATCGAAAAGCCCCTCGACGTGCTCGGTGCCGAGCGGCGACAAGCAGCACAGCAACTCTTTATCAATTCCGGAGGCATCAGCGGAGGAAGTAAGGACGAGACGGACACCGACGCCAACGTTGTGGTCACAGCTCAAACACAACCATTGAAGGCGTGATGCACTGTATGTTTTTTTTTTAATATTTGGAGAGCTTTTCTACTATCATTTTATTGTTACTATTGTTGCTACGAGTACCTTTCTTTGTTCTACCTCTCGTAGTGTTGCATGTATTCATGTATTGCGTCTGTATAGTGGTCACCAAGTACTTGATGGCGGCACATGGTAGGCTCACTTATATATAATCTTCGTTTGTTTTATTGTTGTGTTACCATGAAATGGTTGACAGAGAGCATCACAAAAGTCGCTCGAGAGTCGCGTCGGTTCACCCGCCTGCATCGAAGTACCGTTCATTTCTTCGGTTCTTGGCGTCAGGTTTACGGCGTTGGAATGTGAGGGATGCGAACCGGGCGAAAGAAAGCACGCCTCTCTGTTGCCAGATCATTTTTGCTTTTATTTGCCTTTGAGGACACGGTTACCTTCCCCGTCCGTTTGCTCATTGAATGTCCTATTCTTTCGTCTCGTCTCATCGATGCGTTCTATATTTCGAATAGCTCTCTCTCTCTATAATATTATATATATATATATATATATATATACGCTACCGGTTCGTCTTTCT